TTTTGGTTGCAATCTGACCGTTATTTGGTAGCGTACCGGGTACTTTTGGCATCACCCCAAAGGACAACGCTTCAATTTATCCTCCTTCAATATAATTACGATTTACTCCCACCATTGCATCTCGTAAGGATGACCGCAACTCTCCTACTTTTCGTATCCTCCCAAACTCTTGGTCAACTATGTTTCTTACCATGCGTTGCATGTGAATTTGGTCACCCTGCGCTAGACATAGTAAACTTTGGAAGAAAAACGTCCCTTTCAGACATCCGGAAAAAATGGTTTCAGAAAAACAATAATCTCCAGACGAACTACGTCAAAATAGAACTGGACGGAAGTGCAACTTCACGATATGAACACGGCATGCAAACTTGTTCGTTGCTGAATAATCCAAAACTTGTAAAACTCCACTCTGACAATTGTGTAAAAATATTACTCGCAAAAAAATTCAACTTTACTATGAAAACCTTCACCACAAGTTTACTTTATAGATATGGAAACGTTTTAAGTAACATTGTGGCAGGATCGAGAATAAATAATTTAATAACGGGAGAAGGTGCTGGAGTATTTTCTTGGATCGTCCCAGGCGTAAAAATAGAGCCGTTTCGTTTCGCCGTTGTTGCCGATCCAACCGATATGAATCTCACAGCGATCTTTATGCCGTTTGATAAAATCACTTGGTTGGTTGCGTTCTGCATATTAACCTTGGTGGCAATTTTGTTGGGGTCATTTTCCAAACACACGAATATAGTGGTGGCATACAGGACATACTGGTTTTGGGCTGCGTCCGCATTTTTGGAACAATCGGACGCTAAACCACTGTACATGGTAGCAAGAAAGAACAAAATCCCTTTGCTGCTTCCCCTTTGGTTGATTATGTCCTTTTTTTGCGGAGTATTCTACAAGGGGGCCTTGTACTCATACGTTACCGCCTCGCCAACCCCTTCAGTCCCATTAACATTGGACGAAATTGTTAAAGAAGACTTAGAAATTTTGACCAGCACAAAACAAGTAATTGGAAATCAAACAGGGTTTCCCCTTATCAGCACCATGAGAGACTTACTTCCAGCGAACTTAAGTTTCGTGTCAACCGATCCTTACTTGAATAGACTCAGAATAATTTACATAAAGTTTGAAATGTTGTTAGGTGACGAGTCCGAACTGGCAAAAAATATTTCAATGGGAAAACCTGTGAGCGTTTCTCCTAATAGGAGTGTCACGTTGCCACGAAAATTCGTAATTTTAAACAGTGCTACAGATCTCACGGCATTTGTTCAGTCGATGAAATACTTTTCGAAATCTGTAGTTGTACAGAGTAGGGAAGAGACACCATTCGTCGCCAGAATTCCATGGCTTGTGGGCAGCAATTTCTTTTATGATCTGTTTTCTTACGGATTAGCGGCATTAGTTGAGTCGGGATTGTATCAAAGATGGATAACGTTGTCCGATATTGGGGCGCAACTGGAGGCATTATCTGGAATTGATGCTGACATGAAAACCGACAAGCTTAACAGTGTTAATCATTATGCTCGTTTATTACTTGCTTCCAACAGTTATAAACCAGTGTGGGCGGAAGCACAACAAGTCACCCTGAATGTAATGAAAATGCCGTTTGCATTTTGTGGGATTTTTGCAACGTTACCTATTCTAGTTTTTTTCTTGGAGAAAGCAATGTTTTCCATGTCAGGGTTTGCCATTCACGTTCCCAGTTTTTTTAGCAGACAAACACAAGTTGTTAGCATTAAAGATACTCAAATCCCATTGTTTCGTTGGGTAGAGTAAACTTTGCTTAAATATGTACATATATATATTATATATACATACATAGATAAATACATACACACGTTATTTATTAATATCATTATATAATTATTTATTATTGTTCACTACTGAAGAGGAAATCAGTGCGATTTCGAAAGATTGAGAAACTAGATAAATAAATATATCAAGTGAATTAAGGATGTACTTAAATCATATTATCCGATCATTCTATTGTACTTACAACAGATTCATTAATGTTTCATCATCAAGTATGAATTTTGAATATAAATGTCAACTTTAAAATTCAGTACAAAATTAAAGTGTCGGTATTCCACATTAATCTTACCGACAAGCTAAATTTTTAGTTTTGAAAATTCTGTTTATTCAGTATGTAATTTTTGAGCATTTGCCATTTTCTGTTTATTATCGAAATGTATGATTATGCATATCATTGAAATGTTTAGACATAATTTCGTTTCAGAACGGACTACGACATTCTGCATAAATGGATAGATAATATATTATCGACCCATCTCAAAGCTTCGTCCATACTTCACGTCATCGTCTACTCCTAATCCGATTTTTATTGGTCGAAAGTTTTACTTACCGCAGTGATAAGTTCGATAGCCTAAAAAATCGGATTGGGAGTAGAATGTGATGATGACGTGAAGTATGAACGAAGCTTATGTAAGCAATAAAGGAAAATAATTCAATGGGAAAATGGTATTAATTTCATGTATCATAAGCGTCATTACCAACTATACAATACATGTTATCATAAACTGAATGTAACGTTCTTGGGTACAATTGGATTACATACACAAACGATTATTTTGAAACGAATACATAAAGGTAGAAAAGCCCAATAATTTGAGCTATTCAATTGATTCTAATAAATTTGAATATTAAAATAATAGTGTCACGAACGTTGAAGAAATATGTACACTTTGACATTTTGAAGGCTACTTACCATAGCTTTACTTTAGTAATTAATGGGGAACAAATTATTCGACAATTCGGGTCAAAACTCAAGAATGACGAGAATTCACCACATTTTGACACCATTTACAATTTTAAGTTTACATCTCCCAAATTCCATGTTAATTTTGGAGGATAAGAAGCATTTTATAAATTTGCCAGCAGTATTTGATAAATGCACATTTACAATTGTGAGCGACTTTAGTGAAGACCGCAGACCATTCCATTCCTCCGTAGTCCCACAAGTAGGAACATTTGCCAGACCACAAGCCGTGCTAATTGATCATACTTTTATAAAGAAAACAGAAGACCCCTCCGCCCCACCAGACGTTGTTGAACCCGTTGCCGTACGTGGACTGCAAACGTCACCGTTCAAACATAGCTTGTGCAGTGCATTTATTGTTTACACTTTTTGGACACCGGACAATGCTGTGCGTTTCCTATTTGCATATAGATTACTTATGCAAGCCAGGAAACAAGCAAATCCAAACTTTATCCTGCTTCAATACGATTTTCCCATGCTGCCTCCTATTCACGAGGTCAAAATGACCTCTGCCTACCTAATATTTTCAACATTTCAAAGCCCCGTTGGCTCCTACTTTATTCCTTGCATACCATGTGGCTGGGGGAGGACTGTGCTACAACAATTAGAAGATTTCAATCCTCAAGCACAACAAAAATTCACATCAATTTTGGACATCCGAACTTATTGGTTCTTCACGAACCGGAATCTTCATAGCAATGATATTAATATTAGACTGGACGGTAGCACTGGAAAATTTTGCACAGTACGGGACAACCCAAAACTTAAAAATCTTGTATCTAACGATTGCGTTAAACATGCTTTATCAGAATCCTATAATTTTACGATAGAGCCTGATAGTGCACTACCGTTACAAAGTCATGGGCAAATTCTCAGTGATTTTCCAGCAACATCTGGCATCAACATAATGCTCCTTAATTTGCCTCAAAAGGATTATCGGTGGGCTGTTCACGGTGCGAAAATGGACTCATTTCATTTTGCAGTGATCACAGATCAGACGGAAATGGGCCTTACCGCGGTATTTATGCCATTCGACTTGAAGACGTGGCTGCTGACGTTCACCGTTTTAACTCTAATTTCAATTCTACTGGGGCTGTTTTCCAGACATGAAAATATTGTCCAAGGCTACAGAATCTACTGGTTTTGGGCTGCATCCGCATTTTTGGAACAATCCAATTCCAAACCGCTCGCTTCCGTGAAAACGCAGAACAACATGCCGGTCATAATACTTTTATGGTTAATCATGTCATTTTTCTGTGGAGTGTTTTATAAGGGAGCTTTGTACTCGTATGTTACGTCTAAACCTCCGCCGAACGTTCCGTTAACATTAGACGAAGTTGTCCAAGATAAACTAGCAGTTTTTACTTCATCAAAATTTACCATGGGCTCGCACCCTGTGTATGGTCTTAAGATATCAATTGAGGATTTGCTAGAAGGAAGACACGGACACTTTCTCGAAAAGACTAAAGGGAATTCATGATAGGTTAAAATTATTAGCTGGTGACGAGTCAGAAATTGCGAGAAATTTTTCACTGAACGAAAACGTAGAAGTCTTTCAAGATCAAGACTTGGGCAACGTGGAAGTCCATCAAGACTTGGGCATAAAATTACCAAGAACTTTTGTCATGCTGAATGGAGCTGTTGACCTGTCGTCATTTGTCCATTCGATGAAATACTTTTCGAAATCGGTAGTAATCAGAAGTAAAGAAGAGACTCCATTCGTTATGCGAGTGCCTTGGATAATTCACAAGAACTTCTTTTACGACATATTTTCGCGTGGGTTGGGGTCACTCGTTGAATCAGGAATTTATCAGAGGTGGGCGAAATTGGACGATATTGGTGTGCAACTGGAGGCATTATCCAAATCGGATATAGTGAAAAACAATTCGAAATCGAATGTGAATCACTTCGCACGACTGATGTTATCTACGAATTTTCATAAAGTCGAATTGGTCGAAGCACACCAGGTTTCTTTGGCCGTGATGAAAATGCCATTTGCTTTTTGTTCAATTGTTGGACTGTTTTCCGTCTTGGTGTTTATATTTGAAAATGTGCAGTTTTGGTTTGGAAAGTACATTAATGCAATGAATTCTACCAACTGGAGATACAGACAGAAACAAGTTTTACAATTTAATAAGTAGAAGGGTGGACCATTATTTTTTATAATAATCCTATTACTTCTTAAGTTTCAAAACTTAATGTTTGAATGCAAATCTTGATATGAATCTGTTTAGCAATATTTTATTCATACAGAGTTATTTATTATGTATCATAATTAAATACATAGTTTAAATTTCCATGATAATAATTGACCAATCCCACAGTTTATCTTAGCTATCAGCACCCTTATCACAGATTGCAGACCTTTTCGCCAAACATCTTTTACTCTTCTTTTCATGTTCTGTAAGAGTCGACTTTTGCGTAAAACTTATAGCACACCACCGACACTTATATCTAATCCCTTTATGCATGGAATCCACATGAATTACCAAATTACTTCTGTGTGTGAACATTTTGCCACAATACTTGCAACCATGTTCCTTTAGTCCCTTGTGATATTTCAAATGAATCGTTAAATGCGATTTAACCGTGAACAAGTCGCCACAAATTTTGCATTCCCATTGCCTTCTCACACTCAACTTGTTGCTGTGACTGTTCTTATGCACATTAAGGCTTGAAAGGCGAGTATACGTTTTTCCGCAAACTTTGCATTGATTTGGCCTTTCTTCCGTGTGAATTTGCATATGTGTCGTAAGAATTGAGGGGGCTCGGAACCTTTTCGAACAAAAGTAACACTGGAATTCCCACTGAGATTCGACGATAACCTTTTCGTCAGGATTGAGATGACTGTAGAGATGCACCTTGACGCTTGAGTGTGAAAACTTCTTTTTACAGAGTGGACAACTTATTCGATTTCTGTACGTGGTGTCCCAAGCCGACCAGTAGTGAAAGCCTGGAGTGTTCTCTTCTTGGTTTGTGACTGGGTTGTGATGCTCACCACGGACGGTTTCCAGCTTTATCTTAGGAGGAAGGAAGTCGTCTTGAGATTCGTGTTTCCATTTGGTTTTGTCGTGAAAGATGGGGATAACAGGTCGGGAACGACGAATAGGTCCTTTTGTACGACCTCGCCTTCGCTGTTCCTGCGAGACTTGAAGGTCACCTTCCCGGTTCGGTTGTGAATCACTTCTTGTTTCTTCTTGTTTCCATGCTTGTTGGAAAAATAAGTCTTGTTCCTCTTCCAAAAGGACATCATTGTAGTCAAGGTCTAGCTCCTCCTTTATAATGATATCATCACAGTTTTCTACCCTAGGGTGGAGACTAACTGTGGTCTTGTCTTCATTATCCATATCCTTGGATTTTGGTGTATTATAATGATGGAATGTGTCTCTTGGTTCACATATATTCTCGATGTTCCTAAGAAAGTTCAAAATCTATAAATGAATAAGGAATAAGTAAACAATTATTTAAAACTTTCGACTTACTTGAAGCTCGCAACAATTGGAATTTTATAAAATTTAGTAATTTCCGATGCTCCATACACTCATGAGTTACTTATGTACTCGGAGTAAGTCGTTCGAGTTGAGTTACATACTTGATGCTCGAAATCTAAATCAATTTAATCAATTAAAATAGTTTATAAGAAAAATTTTGGCTGTGAATCACAAATCACAACTTGTGATGATCACGTTGTACAAATCAATTGATATTTATTACGAACCTGTTACACGTATATGTAGACATTCTTGTTTTAGGGTCAATTAAATATCACAAAAAAATGTTATAAGGACTGTCTGCTAATTTTTGTATGAATTTATATTGTAAAAATTTAATTCTCAGCAGTTTCTGCAAGTCAATCCACATGGATCTTCTTCGCATACCGCATTTTCATTCTCGGGAAGTTGTTTCGAGACCCGAATAGACCGAAGTAAAGCTTCATGTGTATTAATAAAGTTTTCATGTTTGATATAATGTTTAAAATGATGTCTTATTTCTGATTTGTATATGTAAATATGTTAGTAAATATACACTTCAATTTGCAACAAATTATTGCAATTTATTTAGAGTTACGAATAAGTTCAGAATTATATCATGAATTATTTACTTTATAATAAGTTGTAAATTTTTAGTAAAATCTTACCATGTATCTGTCTGAATTAAAGTAAATAATGAACATTTTGTAATATTATTTTATGCATAATCGGAAATATTTTTCACCATGTCTTAACAAATTATAGAGTAAAACGTGGCTTGATAAACAGCTTTAGCATGTTTTCAATGTTCATTTAGTAATTGTTGTTCGTGAAGCCGCACCTTGCCAGACCTAGCGATTGAACAATAAATAAAATTGAAGTTTACTTGTAACATTGAATAATTTTATATCATTTCATACCGAACCAACTAAAAAATGTACGAAATACGCCACAGCCATCATTATTGTTGTTGTAAACTGTTCGAGGGATTTTTCTTGATGGTTCAGATTCAGATGAAGACCGATGCGTTGTGGGCGTTGGCGTTGGTGAAGTTGTTGCCTTGTCAGCTAATGCAGTTGCGAGCATAAAAACCTAAGAAACCCAAATTGATATAAAATTTCAGAAAATTGTCCATGATTGTAATAAATATTTACCAGGAGAATAATGACAGGCTTCATTTCTTAAAATTTCTTCACAGGTTTCTTCTAGGACGGAAGAATAACATATGCACTGTCGCATTATATGCATGCCGACGCAATATGAAGGTGTCTGATAATGAGTTTTTAATTACAGGAAAGATCAATTAAAACATACTTAAAGCGCTAATTTGATATTATGACTAAACCCCCACTGTTAACTTGTGCTCATGAGTCAGACAAGAACTAAATAGTCCAGGATTAGTTCTTGTCTGACTCATGTACATTTCAATCCTAAATGTAAATGCGTATATATTACCATCGAAATTCGTAGGAATACGGTATTTATACATATTAGATACACTTTATTGAACCAAATATAAGGTAAAGAAATACATGTACATATGCACATTTAATAGTTACATAAAAAAATTAAATATTTGTGCTGGTATGTACATACTTATGAATTCATCTATGCAAATATATCTGTAAATTCGGAATTTAATTTAGAAATGTGAAATTAAACTAAAATATATCTAAACCGCTATTCAATTCCTCCCACTTTTACAATCTCCAGTCTGAAATTGTATCAAGACGAGTAGGTAGGTCGTCACGGTTCCAAGAATCTATAATTTTTAGAGTGTAATTACTAATCGAATTTACATGCTATACAAAAATAACTTACAATTAGTACAATTTTCACAAGATTAGATTTTTGAGCTTACCGGTGTAATTATCTTCAAGTCGACATTGAAAAAGTTTGTTTCTATCTTTATTCGCTTCAGTCGCCCGTGAATGTCCTGCCAATGAGACCATAATAGAAATTTAGCTTTGTTTTAGTTTGCAAATCTCACTTTTTATCAAATTACTATACATAATTGTTACTGTAGTACGAACCTGTCCATTCTCCAAAGACATTAAGGATTCCAACGCCTCAACAACTTTCTCACTTTCTCCCGCAATATCTGATCCCTTCTTGCACATCATGTACAAAAGGTAGAAATAAACAATCACCGTCAAGATGTTCTGGACAATGGAACGCAAAGCCGAGATTGGTTGACACATCAACGACACAATAAAATATGCCGAGAAAACGATCCTCAACAAGCTATGCGCCATGTCGAGAGAGATCCAGAATCCGAACGTTCGGTTAAACTGGAGACTTTGTTGTCTCACGACATTATAAATATTGACTAACATTTCACTATCTCTACTTATGGACTGAGGAGTTTCCATTCTATTACTCAGATTAAAATTATTATGGTGAAAGTACCAAGAACTTTCATTTTTTGAATTTTTTGTACATTTGTCAATTTCCACACTTTGCATATATCGCAGCTTATTGGTCACCACGGAACTAATTCTTTTCAAACTTTCCAAATACCAATTTAGGAAAAAGACCGCAAGGAATGGAAAGAGGGAATGGTAATATCCCATTATTGGTGGGGTTACGTAAGCGAAAGTGTAACTGAAGCAGGCACCCTCTCTACCATGCAACGTAAGAAAGAGCTCGATACTCCATACAGTGATAAGGACAAGGAATAAATATGTACTGATCGATAACCGTTTCTGATATCTGTTGGTTTTCAAACTCGCCTCACATCCGCCGGTGGCTTCTCCTACAGAATCAATCATGGAGAGAAAGCTGTTGTAAAATTTTCTCAGTCTTCCTCGCCGATAAATCATGTCGAGCTTAACAACAACGCAGCATAATATGTGCGATAGAGCTTTTAGTATGACTGCAGAGTAGAAGATGCCACGACCCTTTCCCCAAAATCCTGGGACAGCTATCACCCAATAATTAAATTTTAAGAAGAAAATGCAAACAACGCAGAGTAAAAGCAAGGTGTAAAGTGATCCCAGGATTATGAGGCAGGATTGGGATAGAAAACGGAGTGATTTTGACGAGGTAAAGTTGGATTTGAAATTCTTCGTGATTAATTCCGATTCGTTCTCGTTAATGACTTTCGTTTTTGGTATGCAAGACGTGGATGATAAAGGGATGGGAAAGTATCCCAGAAATTGGATCAGTCTCAGAATCAAAGGAACCCCCATGATTTTGAATCCCAAAAGTGATTCAGAATTCGGATTGAGGTTGAAATAGTAGATGAAACTGAGGTCCTTATATGAACATGCCAAATCCTCCTTATTGAAAGTGGTTACTGCAGATAGTCTAGAAATATATTTATGTACTTGTCTATTTAATTCATATAAATATCTAAGTATTTATTTCGCAGTTTAGCTTGATGAGTAGGAATCCATGTCAAATTGACCCCGTCAGATTTCCCCGCGACAGATTTCCCCGGTCATATTGACCCCGCGACAGATTGACCCCATGTCATATTGACCCCGCGACAGATTGACCCCACGCTATATTGACCCCGCGACAGATTGACCCCCGGCAACTATTAGTTAATACACAAATAAATAGGTATGTCCCATGGACATTGTCCACTAGCGTACCATACGCATGTTCAATCATAACTTTGTTGACAAATTGTTATATTTTTAGCCCGAGTCAGGGCTTATGGAACCGTCATGTCCGTCCGTCTGTCTGTCCGGCACGATAGAGCCAAAACCGCTGAACCGATTGACTTGAAATTTTTACCATATGCATATTGGACAAAGTTAGGAGACGAGTTCGAAGATGGGCGAAATCGGCCCAGTGGTTGACCGGTGGGGGTCGTCGGAGTTGGTGTGGTATAATGCACCAAAATTTCAAAATTATCGTAGAGAGCTGAAATTTAGTACAGAGGTTGCTAATGGCTTATAATGCACAAAAATTCAAGTTGGAAAAATTCAAGTTGGAAAAATTGTTATCTTGAGGGACCCTATGAGGTGACCCATACTGATTTTTCAAAAATCATCATATCAAACTGAAATTTGGTAGAGATGTTGCTTATAGGTCCCATTGGAAGAATATGAAAAGGAATTGGTAAAATTTTTATCTGGAGCGACCCTATGGGGTGACCCATACCGATTTTTAGAAATTGCTTTAAAAAGATGAAATCGGCAAGGTAATACTTAATGGCTTCTCATTATAGAATATGAAGTTAAAAGTGAGCAAAATGTAACCAGAGTGACCCTGAAGGCTGACCCATATCGTTTTTAAAAGTTGTTATTTCCATCTGAAATTTGGTATGGGTGATAAAAACCACTTCTGGATAGCACACACAGCTTTGAAAGTTCAAGGTGTTAAGGGATTTGATGCCAAATAATAGAAAATCTAACAAACATGACTCGGGCTATATGAAGTCTGCACTGTAGGTTTTTTAGCTTAAAATGAGAATAAAAATAGATTAAGAAATTTGCATATTAACAATTAAAATATTACATTATGTATGTATGTATACTTTTTAGTGGAATACATATTTTAGACTTAAATTTTAAATAGGAAATAAAATTAACTATTTGTGTGTAAACACATTAAGTAGTACCTGTATCTATGGCCTGGGGTCAATCTGTCGCGGGGTCAATATGGCCTGGGGTCAATCTGTCGCGGGGTCAATATGGCGTGGGGTCAATCTGTCGCGGGGTCAATATGGCGTGGGGTCAATCTGTCGCGGGGTCAATATGACGTGGGGTCAATCTGTCGCGGGGTCAATATGACGTGGGGTCAATCTGTCGCGGGGTCAATATGACCGGGGAAATCTGTCGCGGGGAAATCTGACGGGGTCAATTTGACGCGCTACCGATGAGTAGAAAGGTCGATATAAAAAATTATGATCATGACTAATTGCAATTCCCTACAGAGTCAACATGATGGAATATGTCGATCTTATTATCAGACAAGGATAACACACCTGAATACGAATACATAAATACGTATGTACTTAATTGGCCGTGACATTTACCAAAGGCGTTTGACATTTTGTATCCAATTATTAATATTGTTATACGACAGATGCAACTAAATAAATAATGAATATCTATGATTGGGTAATTGGATAATTTGGATAATTGGAATGTACAGCGCTATTCCTCAGAAATGGAATTTTGGATAAATTGTTTCTCAAACTAGAGAAAACTGGTCACACTACTTTTCCTCTGACCTGGTAGGAAATAGGATCGACTTCATGGAACGGTAATGGAAAAATAACGAGATTTAAATATTACTTTTCCGATCTCAGTGAAAATAGCTAATTTTAGCAACAATTCATTATAAGTATACACATCATTTAAAATAATTAGTCCCTTCTTGAAACTCATATGCACACGAATAAGATTTTATGGCAAATTTTCTTTTACGTACTGGAGTATAATAATAAATTATAACTTGATAATTTTTGCAGCAATTTCATTTACGAGGTTATTAAAGTGTACTCGCCTATCCAAAAAAACGTCATGTCCAGAATTAGGAAATTCCTGAAAATGATTTTTATTATGAAATTTATTACATGTATTGCATCGTCATATTTCTTTCACAACTAATTAATTAAAACCTTACATAAACCTTGATTCCGTCATCGAATCCTCTCGCATTGAAAATATCCCCCAAATCTAAATGTGGCATGAACGAGCTCTCGCCATAAATATAGGTAACCCCGATGTCCTTTCTTATCAGGTGCATCTTATCATGGAGCGGCTCTTTAGCGTAGACTATGCTCGACATAATTTCACGATAGGCGGCTTCTCCCCTAGAATATTTACATACTCTTAACAGTTAAGGTAATCTAACCAAAATTACATTTTTTCTTATTACATTGGTAACCCCACATTGCAGTAGAGCATATATTTCCTAAAGGCGTCAACGCCTCCCACTCCCAACACGACATACTTTCCTATAAAATCTGCATACATGGATCTTGACAATACTTCCAGTCCTATTATTGGACCAGGAAGTCGAATATGCATCCACCAAACGTCAAAATACTTTGACCCAAGAGAAATATATTTTATCCAGAAAGGTGTCCGATACTGGGCAATGCTTGGAATGGGTTCCGGTATGGGAGCAAATCCCCACGGATCGGCAAGAATTAGGTGGGCCACGCCGTGCGGATATTTGATGGTGTATTTTGCTGCTATGTACCCACCCACACTGAAGCCAACAAGAACCATTTTATCAATTTTTAAGTAAAGCCTCCATTGTTCTAACGTATCCACCCAGTCGGAAGGGAGTAGTTGAGGTGGGCGTGAACTCCGGCCAAACCCTGTTTAAAAAGAGTGTATGCATTTATTTATATAGCTACGAAACTTGCCTAAAATATCAAACGCGTACACTGGATGATTTCTAGTAAGTGAATCAATATTTGCAGCCCAACTTCCCCATCCGAGTAGAAACCCGTGAACAAGGACGATTGGAACTCCTTCAGCGTGCTCATTAAAGACCATCGTCCAAATGTTTTCATGATGCGATGTCTCAATTTTGGTGACACCCTTATTGTTCTTATTGGAGCAAGAATGGCGTATGGTCACTGGAACGTTGAGTCCTCTATGAGCCGTGTTAATGTCTGACCAGTTAGAAATGCCTTAGTTGCTTACAGTGTGTACACAATTTATTTCAACTTCCTTACATGATAGGACCTCTCTTTCAGCAGTTTGCAGTGGGTCCTCGTTGGACCCTAAATATTTTAACCATCTGAAGAACATGGTTGTTTGGAACCAAAAGGCAAAGATATCTTCTCTTTCGTATTGCTGTTCCAAAACTGTGTAGAATATGTACTTCGTTGAGCTTGAAGCAATTTTTTCTAGTTCATTAGGCATTAATTATGTACCTATGTTGCTAAGGATTTTCCTAATACCCGAGTATACAACATAACAATAAATGTGTAGTAGTTTGAATTTCTGCCATACTATACCTTTTATGCAATACCTTTGTATGTGTATGATAAGCATTAGTATAAATTGCATTTTTATTGCTGTACATGCCGCGTATCGCACAGTTTTATGTTCACCATTTATAAAATGCAGTATCTAAAGTGTATTATATGTAAGTACCTACCTAGTATGCGTGAAACTTAGAAAATCTATTTGAAACATAACAATGTACAAAACATCAGTTTCATATAATTCACTTGACCAATCTCCTCATTTGCACACATAATATTACATATAATTCGAGAACAACATATTACACACCACGCAATACAGAACAACATTACAATATACATACATACTTTACGGCCAGCAAAAGTATGCAATCGTGTTTGAAAATCGAGTTAACTGGAATTTTAACACGTATGGACAACAACTGAGAAAAAACCGTTTTTTGAACCTTACAATACTTTTGACTTAATAGTACATACATAAATAAGTATATGCCATTCTCACGATTTATTCTGTGTACAGATTTATTCTATAAAACATGACAACTAATCTTAAGATTACTTATTAATATCAGTTTTTATTATTTATCGTGAATGATAAAAAGCAACCAGAAATTGTTCCATTGCATACTTCATCTTTAGATATTTACAGCCCAATACATTCCCCCACCGTGACAAATCGATATCCTGCCGAAATCATAAATCGGATCGCTTCCACAGCCAGCTCTGAGCTTCCTGGGAGCGGATCGTGATGCAACGCAATGAAAGAATCGACGCTAGGATGTGATCCACTCGTCTCTATTTTATAGTTCTCAATAGCCGCAGCTGTGTCTCCGGGATGACTCCAGTCCAGCGTATTGACATTCCACATGATGACCTCGAGTCCTAACTCCCCACGAACAATGTCCAAGACGGAGTCGTTATAAGCACCGTATGGGGGTCGCATTATTGGAATTCGGTTCCCAGTAATTTCCAGCAGCTTATCTGCCACGGATTTCACTTCATTTGTCACTTCTTCCACAGACCGCCAAGGGTCAGCAAGGTAGGGATGGCTCCAAGTATGGATGCCAATTTGGTGACCCTAATTTCAATAATTTTTTTGCTTTCTATACTCTGAAACTATGTAAGTAGTATTAGATATTCGTGCGTAGTTTTTTTATACCTCGGCAATAATTCTTCTGACGGTGGCTTGTCCTTCGACCGAGTGAAGGTCGCTGTATGTTTGACCACAGACGAAAAATGTTGCCGTGACATTGGCCTCTTTAAGGACGTCCAGTACAGCTTCAGTTCTTCCAGGCAGTGGTCCATCATCTAATGATCAACCCGTATCATGGAATGAATAATTCTCAGCGTAAAGGATGGCTGCGTATTTAGATAAGCAGTTACCAAATGTGAGAGAAAACATCCCAGGCTGCGTGCATTTTGTATGAACTCCGTCTTCTTGTTTTGCCTTTGGGTATGGCGATCCCAACGTTGCTGAATAATGACAAAATGGTAAAATTAAAATGAGATATTTTGTGTATTTTCGGATTAAGTACTTATTTGATTATGCATCTAACCCAGAGCCAGGCTAATTACTCCAACCAATGTAAATATCAGTCCCATTTTGTTAACCATCTTTTCCAATTGATTCCCAGTAGCGTTGTGGTTGTGAATAGTTGTGATCAATGTGTACGACTTCGACAATTTGTACGCGACAGAGTGAACTTGAGATTGCGTAACACTAATGCACGATAACATTAAATTTAAGTGAATTAATTGTCTCGAGATAAGCATGATTCATTAAGCTTAATTAATTGTTACATTTTATCTCATCAATCACGTTAGTCAGATTAGTGGTCAGTTGATAAGTCTCTCTCAATAGTCTTCAGATGATGAGCGTTTGTACATATTTAACTGATTAGCAAATTAATTTAAAATATGCATCATAATTTAGTAACTATGTATGCCATTATAGACATGAAGTAACATTATATATTGCATTTTATGGTGGGTGTGTAATAAATTTCTGAAGTATATTTTAAGACTTTATTTGAAATATTTAAATCAAATGCACAATATTTCTATATGGATATACTTTCAATAATCATCCACCCAATGACACAACACTTTTCCTTGCTTCCGTACTGCTCTTGTTCTTTCCCTCACACTATCAAATTCTCCCAAGCAATCGTCCAAAACGTAATCGTGTTGACATTTGCTCGGTGATGGTTGTGTCGGCCCTGCTTTGATAAGACCTTTGCACACTGGAATCCAGTTATCCTCGTCAGTCATATAAAAGTTAAATGGGCTACATTTTCCCTGATTAACGGCACAATGTTTGGTGACATTATCGTAGAAGGCGTAATAGTTTGGATTCTTCTGAATAAGGTATGTGTCCTCACACTGCCTACGCTCGCAGGTCGGATTCCCCTCGTTGTCGATCAGGATTTGGTGTTTGAGGGAGCAAGGACCCTTGTAAACAGAGTAAATAAATTCGACTTTATAAATTTAGTTCATGTGCTTGATCACAAAATAAATACCTGAGAAAATACGGGGTAGCACGTCCCGTTAACATTTGCCAGGTGGACAAATTGATCCGCCAAGTGACAGTGATTCCTGGTTGATGCTTGATGAAAACACTTACAGTCGCACACTCCTTGTGAGGTTCCTTTAACCAGGAACATTTTCATGTTATGGGGACATATGGCTTGGAACCCGGCAAGATAACAGCGACCCTCATACGTGACCCAAGGGTACCCTTTATATGATCTAAATAATCACAATTAGTCAATTTAGATTTGGACTTAGCACTGATTATCGCTTTTGCATGCTATTTACACGTGTTTAACTAACTTTGGGCAGCCTGGAGCACTTGCATGGCCCACTTCCCCCTCCGTTTTGGGGGGTTCGCTATACCGCATGTCGATAGAGACACCTTCCAACATTTTTTTCTATCAAGTACCAGAGGTTCCCCACATTCTGTTAAGGGTTCTAAAAAAGTCGTTGAGCTTGGCTGTGGAATTTTTTTGTTGAACATTGTAAAACAGCCAATGCATAGTGCAAAAATTGAAGGAAAAAGAAATACAGAAAGATAAACCTGTTTCATAATTTGGTAATACGTATTTAAATCGGAAAAATGTGAAAGACAGCACTTGTTCTGTATAATGTGACAAAACTACGAATGGCTTGGGTAGGCAGTGGAAGTACAGAGGAAATTCGCAATTTAAAACGTTGGAATGAATTCAACCTCAATTAAAAAGTTGTTGACATTATGGATTGCAATGAACACTAAATGCTTGGGCCTGAAATTCCTATGTGTGACCTCTACAGCATATTTTCATGCTACGTAATCCTAGAGGAAATGTCACCCTCATACTAGTCCTTATTATCATTGGTTCGATTTACTCTAATTTTTGGAATGTTTTAGATCATAAGAAGCATTTTATTGCCAAGCAAATCCACGACATGGTTATTGATATTGACGAGCAATATTTGAAATAATAATACATGTCGAAAATCTCCTTGTCCTTGAAGCGTATTTTTACGCTGCGGTGTTTCATGAATAAGTAAATTAGCAGCAGAATAAAAGTTAGATTACACTTTAGACGTTAGGGAAAACTTCGTGACCATGACCTTTTACGTTTTTTAGTAAAAAATCTCAAACTAACCTATAAATTCTCGGAAAGGGAGTTCCGAGTGGGTTAATTTCAACTTGTCATGAATTATTAAATTATTTACAGTCTTCCATCACCTTAAAATAAATTTGACAACCTCAGGCATATGTACAGACAGGTATTAAAATGAACTTGAGAAACTGACATTGATCTGATTTCAAAATGAAGAAACGTCCGATCTTAAATCCAGGCAAAACAATGCTTTCAAAGCAGTGACATGTGATAAATATCTCATAATAGATTATGGCGACAAGTAAATAATGGGACGCTTGAAAATGTCGCTAAACTTGACACATTTCTATTAGCACTGTTTATACATGTTTAGTTGGTTATTTGAAATTTCAGACGACAATTGCTAACGATATTTTATCTAGCATGACGCCAAATAACTGGGTTTATGTATGTCCAGAACGGAAATTTACGTACTATGTGTTATGATAGATAAATTTTGACAGACGTCTACGTAAACATGGTGCATGCTCTATTGTTAGTAGCACAAATTTATTAAATATTTCTACATTAGGACCCAAATTTGGATTTCAATTTTATCCGCAATGAAACAAATTGGAAGTAATAATACCTTGATTTAATTTTTATTTTATGAATTGTACATGCATGATATCGTAAGCTAAGCATAAGAATAATAATGTAAACCTATGTATACTTTAAGTAAGAAACATTTTGTAACTACTTATTTAATCGAGAGGTATCAAAATATTTAGAAAAACGGTGGAGTGTAAAACTATTTAATGACTAACTTCTATATAAGTAAATACTACCTAAATCTTAAATTGGGTAACATCAATTCCCAATTTTATATAAACATTTAACACACTACAAAATTTCTATATTTATGCATATCTTGCCATCAATAAACATTTTGCATAATTATGTACAGTTAATTATCTACTCATTAATCAATGTCTGTCATTTTTAAACAGTAAAACAATGAAAAATTTCAATTAATCTCTCATAATCCAAATTTATCGCCAGTACTGTCAGATTGGCTCGTGTACTTAACACAGATGTTCCAATTGCAAAGTTACCCAGATCCGAGGTTACCTTCAGCATCGTACAATGTCATCCCTGCCCAAAATAGTTCTCCTGATTGCTCTGGCTATTGCCCAGTGTCAAGGTAAAGCACGCAAATAAACTCATATTTGCATACCTTGGACTATGATAATAACCCCATACTTGTTACATATTTACACAAGGACAAAGCTGGGCAGATTTCCAACGCAAGCATGTCCTGGACCCTGCAGTTGATTCTGGATATTCCGGGTGGAACAGGGCGTCGTGGAACACCTGGTTGCGAAACAGAATTCCATCCGACTATGGAAGCAAGAACGTCAACAGTGTCGTCGTAAAACAACCGACATCCCTGCTGAATGACTTCAAGTTCACCAATCCTGGGGTTTGACCACACAAACTGTGCACTATCTGATGCAAATTATCTAATACATACATTTTTTTAAATAGCATTCCGCCGGCCCAGATTTCCACTGGAGCAGTATTCGTCTTTCAACCTACGTAATGCAACTCGTATCTGGATCCGGTACATATGATGCTTATCGGTGTCCGGCTTGGTACGTTCTGGCCAGACTGGATGCCAGCCAGCGACCCATGCATTACCATGGTTACGCCGACAGTCAGCCTGCAACCGGATCACTGCCCCTCAATTTGGGATCGTGCACAAAAATTAATTAAATTGCATTAAAAATGTATCAAATTAATACGAGCTTTGTATCAGTACTAGCAAAATGAATAAAGCTAAAGACCAAAGAAACATACATATAAAGGCTTCAATAAACATCACGTGTTAAACTATTTTATTTATATAACCATGCATTTACATATGCAATTACAACTACTACAATTAGGGACACTTATGTACGGCGCTAGTCGTATAGATTTTCCCAAATTCATGTATGCAAAATAATAATATTCCGCGCATTAATAATATCTTTCAACTCTCTGCGAGTACAATTTTATGCTTAAACGAATAAATCCTACATATTACTATAATTATGCAACTTCGAGAAATTACAATTACTACTACAATTAAGTAATTTTGAGTAACTACAATTAGTACAATTAAGTAACCTTGAGAGTATTTACAATATAATTAAGTAATTTTGAGTAGTTACAATTACTGCAATTAAGTATCTAATTTTGAATTTATATTTGTTGGACATATGTACATATCATCGTTTAAAAAGTGACCAAGAAATTGAGTGTGAGCTGCATCGTGTTGTGGAGGGATATGATGACAATAGAATTCTCAAAGGTGAACAACGAGCCTGCTTCGCATCTCAATCCATGACACGAATTCAGCCAAACTTTCTCCAGCTTTCTCTTTCTGCTCTGATCCAAAATCCACCGTCCGTACACAATCTGCTTGCCCTGTGCAATCACCTTCTTGTTCTTCTTGACCACTTCACCCGACAGCATTAAAGGTGTGATTCCTTCATAAAAGCATCGAAGTCCGCAGGCCGGAAACATAAGGTTGGATCCCGGATCTTGATGCCAGACACGAATGGCCCCAAAGAGAAGAAGAGACACCACGGCAAATAGAATGGTCGAAAACGTGGCAAGATATGGACGACATGAAGAGTTGATCAGTTTCATAATGTTTTCCAGAACCCTGTATTGTCCGGTGGGGAATCCACCAGGGCGTGGGCTGTGAGTCAACTTTGCCCTAAAATTAACACATCAACGAAAATGCTTAAATATACCGACACGTGTGCAAACAAAGCTTTCGACCCTCAGAATTAAGTAGGTTGAGTTTGATGAATTTAATAATCCTACATTGTGGGTTACGCATGAACAGCGTTTGGATTATTGGATGTGTAAATAGTTTATGTAAATATGTAAACAATGAATTCGACAATTTCAGACAATGACTAGTTCAATCGTGTTATAGAATCATGAATAAATAACTAAGGTACTTGTATGATTTTGAAGTACTAAAATAAACTCACTCCAATTTTTTCAACTCGTACAATATCCAAGAGATTCCAAGAAACAGTAAGGCCCAGTTGAATGATATGGTCGTAAAGATGACGGTGGTCAGGTAATATTCGATCATGATGAAGGGAATCTTTTCCAACAAATGGTACGTTTTGCCAGTCCCGTTCGGAAATCCAGAACAAGGAAAGTAGAGCGAACTAGAGAAATGTGGAGCACACGGACTCTCGTAAACCAAGATGGCATGGGCGGCCGGCGTTATGGCGAATAATGATATGCCAAAGGTCAGATATCTCGTCAACCTTTTTTCTTGTGCGATTTCTTCCCTGGATTTTGGTCGTTTTTGGACTAAAATTATCCAACGATGAAAAATTTTGATTAAATTTATGTATATATTTATGCAAATGTTCTCACCTTTCGGAGCGGCCTGTTGGTCCTCAACATATTTCAAAAGCCAATTTACCAAGGTTCGGATTTCTTCTCCATGACGACCAAATTGGTATAATCCGATCGTGGCAAGCGAGTAAATTCCTATCCATCCTGAATTCATTATTTTAAGAGAAAGTGGAAACTCATCTCCGCTAATGTATTGCACTTGCAGAAATCTGTACATGGAAAATGCTGTCATTGTTGCCATGATTAAACTGTGTGCTTGGAAAATTGACAATTGGCTCTTTAGAAGAGGTAATACGCGTTTCTTTGTGGGGTCCCATTGATACGGAAACAGTTGCAAGTGACACCCCAAATCCAGTAAGTAACAAAGAATATATGTGTTTTGTAAACTTAGCATGTTTAGGGAGTAACTCGCTTAACCGCAAATGGTCATTGTATGAATGGCGAATAGTGATTTACATTTTGGATTAATGCCAAACATTGTGCAAATTTTCAAATGTCTGGAATTTATAACTTTAGGAGATTTATTTAACCATAATTTATTAAACATTAGTTTAATGATTCTCATGACACCATGGTTCAGCCTTTTATTTGTAATCATGTGACTTGTGTCAGTTTTACTCGAGTTTCTGGATTAATGAGGTGAAGCAGAAGTAACAGAAGCTACTTATTGCGATTAATTTGTCCGTCGATCCATGAGCAAGATTATTAATGCTTTCTAGCGTGTCATATAGTTCTGTTTTTTAAATAATGACATCCAGTTTTTAAAGTAAGGATATCATCGTTAGCTGACCTTCTAATTTAAAATAATTTCGATGACAAAGATACTTTGTTGCGAGATAAATTGATAATATTATTCATGATTTATCCAAAAGACAAGGTTGTTTTAGCCTATGATAACCAAAAAAATGTCGAACTTCTCGTACTAGAGTTCCTCCATAGTGACGCTCAACGGTATGACATGGTAGATATTTATGTATATATGTCGGTAATGCATGGGAGTTTCAATTCATAATTTTCACCACTTTGCTTCCAATATTTTATTATATCTGTTGCTTTAGTTTACTATTATTGTTCTGCGTCCGGTTAAAGTAAATACCAGTGATGAACGTGATCGTAACATAATCATTAATTTAAGCAACGCCTTGTCGTTGATTGGTCATAATAAATAATCAATATTCAATGATACATATCTATATATATTTTACTAGTTTAAATAAATGAATTAAGAATGAATATATGTAAAACGTGAAATTTGTCGTTTTTTTAATGTATGATGGAAGTAACACAAGTACACTGACGGAATTTGGAGGGATAAGGAATATAATTATTATTTAGCTCTGTTCTATAATTTTCCTCAGTTTCATGTAAGCATATATACGAAGTACGAAATTGCCATCAAATTTATGAGACACTGGAATAGAGCTGTGTATACATTTTCTATTATGTAGATGGATCGCAGCACATACATTGAACAATAAAATTTATGCGGCCTGGTCTAATTTTTCATTTAATGCATATGTCTATATGTGCATACATATACATGTACTTATAAATAACCAACCAATTGCGTAATAAGGTTCTCGAGAATATGCTTCCACTTTTCAATAAAATTCAACTTTCACCCAAATTCAGGCATCATTTCTCTTTGTTCGTTGGTGTTGTCTGTCCATTCTCCCACGGCTTCCAAAATGTTATCCAAAGGTCAAGCATATTTTCGTTGGTGGGTGGGCGCCATGACATTGTGCAACCTTTGCTTTTCAGTCCCTTACAAGTGGGACAACGATTCAAACTCTGTGAAACTAATTGGGAAATTTCATAGAAAAGCATACATTTTGACCCTTCTGTTGCATTTGACCTATTTCATGGTGATGTGCTCGCATCTCGGCCTGCATTACCAGCTAATGACCTTGCCCGACTGTCTGAAATCACTCGTCGTAATATTCGCATACGCTTGCTGTGGAATCTCCCGATTGACTTTTTACATTTGGGAAACAGATTTCTTACTATTGTTGAATGCGTTCTTGAACTTTGAGAAAAATCTACTCCAGCGTAGGTTTGTGTACTGAAATTACAAGGGCATCAGTATGGAATTTTTACACTATGCACATATGTACTTTGTACTTTTAAGGATTTTCTGGGATGGACCCCTTAATTCGAAAAGGGTCAGTCTACACTTTCTTAGTGTTTGGCACAGGAACCGCTTCAACAGCAACGTTCGGGTTTTTAATTTTTATGCTTTTGTGTATGCAACCTTGCACACCCCCGTATATTGGATCGATGATGGATAAGTGCATGACCAACAGGTCAACTTATCATGGGAAGCTCGAGTATGCAGTGACTATGATGGGGGTAACGTTTGATGGATCCATGTGGTTTCATGTATGTACATTAAGTATTTTGTATATTTTGAATTTTTCATGTGCTTAGTTTTACTAATGTGCATCATTTATGTAGGTTGCTATGCCGTGCGCAATGGCATTGGGAAATTTTATGCTTGGATTTTCTCTGTCGCTAAAGAAATATTTGACCGTGTTGTACAAGTATATAATTTACTAAATTTTTAACATATCTATATTTTATGTAAAACCCATTTTCTAAATATTTGTCTCCTCACAAAAATAGCGATGTGGTCATTATAAGTTCATCATCTTCTCATTCAAAGGAAGCTGACATCATTGCCGTATTTGACTATTACGCACAAATTCAACTCCTGGTAAAGCAGATGAATGCAACCTTTCAAGATTTCTTCATCCCGATTGGGCTCGCATTGTTCTCAAACGCATTGATTTTTGTGCTGTACGTCTGCATCAAACTGCACGATGCAATTCCAATGCCCGGCTTCATATTTTTCCCATTGATTCTAACCGATGCACTATTGGTTATTGGGGTTGATTTCGCGTCGGCAGGGTTCGTACATTCAAAGTCGAACGTGGTTATTGCAAAGTGGAAAATGCTGTGTGGTTTTAAGAGAAGGACGCAACTTAAGACTAAAGCGCATTCATTTCAACCCCTGAAAATAAGGTTTGGGATGAATTTTATCGATGAAATGACCTCTCTTACGATTTTGGACTATTGTCTAAATCAGACCGTGTCATTACTGTTGATGAGTTAAACCCTTATATTTATCAAACTTTGTTAAATCACAATAAATATATTTAATTCAGTCTAGATTTAAGATGTCACAGGTTACAAAAATGTCCTTACTGGCTAATTTATATTAATTAATTAATTGACTAAGTAATTATTGAATTTAAAGTTAGTAAATATATGTATAAAAGTAATTAGGCATTAAGTTACTGCAAATAATTTATTATTTTACCAAAATCTTGTCATTAAGTTTTGAAACTTGCTTGTTCAATTTCACTAGAAGCACCGTCATGTTGTCCCGACTTCCCTGAAAGATATTAAATAATTTATTATTAAGTAAGATAACCCGTCTAAATATTTCGTGTATAGTGAACAATGACAATAAGTGCATTTGCAATTCTTAATCTCACCTTAGCTAAACACAAGTCTAAAATTTGATTACAAATGACTGCCAAGTCGACTCCCTCATTTATTTTCATCTGCACCATTTCCGCAAGGTCCTCATTTTTTAAAACATCGAAAACGCCGTCGCTACCTAGAATGGCGTAACCACCTGAGAAAATAGCAGATCTGCTGAAATGAGTGACGTCAGGTGTGGAGGATACCAAGTAGTTATCAGCGTTACTTCCAGATTTGAATCTGCAATCAATTCGTTGAAAACTAATGAATTAAGCATTTTTGAAATTATGGACAAGAACTCACCTAAAGTCTCCAAATGCTCTTGACACAGCTAAGTCTCCATTTACTCGTCGATTCATGACAAACCCATCATTATCATAAATCCTTTTCATCTCTGAAGCATTTATGGGTTTGTGATCTTCGGTTGCAAATATAACTTTACCCTCCGATGAGCATAGTAAGGCACGTGAGTCTCCGAGGTTTGAAAGGTACAGAGAATGCTTATCAATTAATACTGACACAGCGGTAGATCCGCAAGAATTGGCAAAGTTATTTTTCAAGTTTGATAGTTTTTCAAGTTTTTTATCCAGTTTCTTGTATCCTTTAATTAGTGCAGTTTTATAATCTTTATAATCGTGAGATTTTATTTGCTTAAGAATTTGTCGTGATAGCTTCTTGGCGATGATGAATGATACACGATGCCCTCCATGGCCATCAAAAACTGCAAAAAATGACGTTTCGTTCTTCATTCCTTTGAGATCTAGGCATGCAGTGTGAGTATCTTCCATTGAAGGTCGCCACCCTTGCATAGACGCCAAGGCGTAAGAGAGACCATTCGCTTCTGACCGATATTCGGCATTATGTTTAACCTTAATTGGTGAATTCATAACCATTTTCGGCTTGCACGGCAAATAATCTCGAATTTTGTTCAGTATTAGCGTGAACCCCAACTTGTCTTTAAATCTCAGTCCGTAGCTGACAGAAGTATTGGGTTCAGAATTTAGATCAGTCCAACTGATGAACGTTTCCTGTACATAAAGTTAAAAGTTAGTAAATATATGTACAACAAACCCAATTCTAATAGTATAGGTCCACCATTTAAATATTGTGCGTATCACCTTAGAAGTTTCAAACGCCGTATTTCGTCCGATTTTTGAGGAAAATATGACTCGATCTGAAATCACGCTGGTATCCTCCTCATTATATTCATAGCACGTAATAATGCCCTTGACAAATTCCACTCTCCCTATGCCCACCGGTGCCCACTGTTGTATATCATCAAGCCGATATATCATGACGCAATTCACTTCTTGCTCAGTCTTTTTTAAACTTAAGGGTGGGGAGAGCTTGGGTTTTAGAGCATCTGGATCGTTGAAACAGGGAAGGACTACATTTTTCGGATGCCTTGTTTTTTTCAAAGTCGTAGATTTATCTAGAAACAAAAACGAATACTTAATGCTGCAAAATTAGTGGTGATTATTAAGTGGTTACTACTGACCGATTGATTTCTTGGCATTATTAGTTTGCAAGGATTTACAATAGGTAACAATGTGTTTGTCAATTTCCTGGTTTGTCGTAACGACAGTTTTCGTTTTGATGACAGCTCCTGTATATAAAACAATTTCAGGAATTGTATTTGTTTAAAAAAACATAATGTAGATACATTAGAGTTGCAACACACCTTTTTCGTCTTTGGCAACCGTTGAGGCGACAAGATTCTGCTTAGGAACTTTCTCCGATCGTTGATCATCATGAAGAAGAGGACTTTTGCGCTTTGCCGTAGCCCACAAACAACTAGCCTTATTATTTATGTTATCCATCATCATGGTGACATCAGTACACAAATTTTTATTTGTTTCGACGGAAACTTTCTCTTGTGTTTTCTCTGATGGTGGTGCAACTTCTTGACGAGCTAGCGCCAACGTGTCTTTATCAGGGTTCGTATTTTCAAGAGTAAAATTCACTTCTACCTGGAAATTATTAATTAAACATGCAAATACTTATGTATAAATATATACGAAATGTCATTACAACATTACAAAATAGATACATATGTGCATACCTCCATATTTTCATATTTGTAACTTTTGGCATATCTCAATATTGCGATTATATCCCCCACTGCGACGATCCCCATCTCTCTTAATATCACCCTATCTAGATCCTCCAGCATTTTAAAAGTTATTCGATTTTCCCTAAATATCACGCTGTACCGGGTTGCAATTTCTGGCAGGATATCCGCCTTGACGAAAAAATCTCTCCACACTTTCTCCAATTCCATATCGTTATGTAAATCTATTTCATTTGAGAAAATTGTTAAATTATGCTTATATTATTTATGACTATCTTCTCTTACCACTTAAATTACTGCATCATCGTAAAACCAAGACTTGAATTATTTACAGAAATTTAACATAGTTTTTAAACTCACGAGTTTAAAATTTTAAAATATCACATAAGGACCTAAAGTTTGAGTGAATGTTGGTAACTGTGTTTATTTTCGTGTCATTGTTTAAGTTGTATAATACAATTGAACAAGCTAATTTAATTGTATTTAATTGTAATGTGCTTATAAATGCATTATTGACAAACATTGTCAATGACAATTTGTCATTGTCAAAGCTGAACGATTTAGTAAATTCCAGATTTGCAGATCCTTCTCATTTCGTCTCACATTGCACATTCAGATGTCTCATATATGCACAAGTGAAATGTCTCATGTTTCATGTGTCTCATGTTTATTGTTCTTCTGTAAAAATTTATTTTATAAATTATGATTAAAATCTATTACAATTTAATGTAGCTAATATAAGTATACACATCTACAAACTTACAATAAATTAGCTATAAATTATAAACAAAAAAAACGAAAAAAACATTTTTCATGTTTATCACACTGTCTCAATATGCGCTATGTCCGATTATGCATTATGTATCCCAATTATTGAATTAATTAATGACATGACATGCAATATTAGCAAAATAAAAACTGATTCATCTGATTTGCTGTATTACGCCATATCGATCGCTTGAAACTGAACAATTATCACCAAATATGTCACGATTGCTGCAATCATCTAAAAATAAGACAATTCCAAATTTTCATTTATACGCATGCATGTAAATTTTGCATTGTAAAAATAATAATTTACCGACAAGAGAAGACGTAAATTCAAATCCAGTACTGAGTTCCCGATTGTAATTGGATCGAGGGACATAAACCGCCTTGAATCATGGCTATTCTGTGTGGCCACAATAGATAATTTTTAACTTTATTGGCATGAGACGACGGTTAAATATATAAATAAATGTGCAAATACTTATCTGCATACCTCGTCCCCCCACAACTTTCCCAACTTTACAGCCGCAATATCTTTCCCAAAATTTGCATAGCTAGATCCTTTATTAAAATACATGCGTTTTGGCAGTTTACAAAATACTTTACTCTTTTCCTCCAACTCACTCGCACTATTTGCCAACCAGTAAAAGTAACAAGTAAAGCGTAACAATTGCGCAACGGTTATCCAACACAATAAATAGCTCTTAATCTTACTAAGGATAAGAATAAAATACATGCAGAATAATAGATATCCTAAACTGAATAAGACATATATATTAAGTATATTTGCAAAAATAGAGCTAAATTCTTGCACATTTTCTTCTAAAGAAAAGTACAAATTTATAATGTTTTCAAACTTGTGTACACTTCTGGCCTCATTGTGTTGCCACTTGTTCCGCAGCATGGCTAAAAGTAGGATCATAATTAATTTATAATTGGCCACGAAATATATTAGGGCATGCAATCCAAAATTTATCAAAATAACATTCAGGGTGAAAGACAAGTTTTGTAGAGCTGCTACAACGTTAAATTTAAATGCGGACTCTTCCCCTACTGATCCTAACGAGTAACTTGTAGTTATCGCAGAAAATATTATCGTAATCGTGACTTGTGCGATTAAATGAAGAATAAATTGTATCCTGACAGATTTCTGGTGTTTTTGCAATAATGGTGTGAAAATAGTACAATTTTCAAGAGATTTTACCACAGACACAAAGTCGTCAAAAAATGAGACAAAGTGGCTCCTCCAAGATAACATGTCAAGCCTGAGTCCAATTGGGGCAACAATGGAAGAAACGTACCAGATCATGTTGATTATATGGAACACCGTTTGGCCATCTTTTGACGAATTGGTTGACGGCATCTTAAATCGTGAATCATGTTCAATGAAAATTCCAAAAAATATCGGAGCTATGTTAGTCAGAATTAAGGCGAAAAGCCATAGCGTTGGGACTGATTTGAACCAAGCCTTGTACTGAATTTGAATAGGCGAGAAAACAACATTGTGATTGGACTTAATTGACAATGGAAAGAAACCACAAACTTGTAAAATCCTAAACGGCAATCGGGCTCCATGTAAAATGGAGAAGTTTTGCGAATTGGTTGGAGTAAGTTTTTGTTGTTTTTGTTGGATGATTTTCATATTCGTATAAGAATTTGAGATGTTTTATTCTTGGCGACTTTTCGGAATACATCTATTTCACTGAAGAGAAGATGAAATCAATTAAAAAATAATTAAGCAATAGAGACTAAGCTGTTTAATTAAGTAATATTTACATAAGAAATAAATGCAATGGTTTGTTTAGAAAAATGTTATTCTTAGGTGAGGCATAGTAACCATGACCTCTTGAAAAAATGCATGGTTACGGCGAAGCCTAAGTATGCAAACAGACCCCCCCTCCCAAAATTCCACTCAAGATTGTGGCAAAACGGCTAATCGTATCAAAATGGTGTAAAAGGCAATCGTGCAGACCTTGCTGGGTAGATGATGCCCGTCAGGTCTAGAGACTTGACAATCTTATTTTAACCCATTTTAAATCGATTTTAAACTTTCAAACGACTGGCAAATTCACTTTTCCCATGCAAAGGTTGTGACTCGTCCATGTTTTAATGTGCGGAAATCTATAACGCGTCATTTAAAACAAACCCGAGCGAAATCGGACAAGAAATGAAAAAGTTTTCTTGGTAGCATCTGCAGCCAGTTACGTTGCTTGTAATGTTTCTTCATTACTTATAACAAATACTCGTTTCTATTAGCAACCAGCACAATAGAAACATGTAAGCTCTGCACTTACATATGCAAATATCTAAACATATAAATATGTATGTACATATATGCACTTTTAGAAATCCAGTATTAAAATAGTACCAAGCGGTATTCAGAAATGACTACAAAAATGGTATTCATAACTAATGCTCTGACGTAATCATGTTTCGTTTTCTCCCATGTGAGAAAAATTTCACGGTGAAAATGCAAATTCTCTTTCACGTTTTCCATCATAACTTTGTTTAAACTGAGCATTACGAAAAATCCTGAAACACGTGTTTAATCATTTATCTAAGGATACATAATTATCGTGTTTTCGTCAAAATCGGAGCTAGACCGCTGGCGTCATCGTATTGCAAGCAATAGGAACCACTGAGATTTCAATTATACCAGATTTCTAAGTGTGTGTACATACAAAATACATGTATGTATGATGTTGATGCATTTCTTGCCCTTTAGTCCACGGGTGATAGGGGAATTTAATTTGGTGTTCCACGCATTCACACCCACTGGAGAATTAATTGCATATTATGTAACGCATCCAGGCTAATGAGATTTAATTTGGTATCTATTATTGATGACAACTTAAAGAGACTTAAAAACAAAAAAATAAACTAATTCTTTAAAAAAAACTTAGGTGAGGCTTGCTTAAAAGGGAGAAACAAGAGGTTCTCATCGTGTAGTAAAATAATATGCTACATCAATGTTCATCTCATGATTTATAATTTTAGGTGAATACAACAACAAATTATATGCGTTTCGGACCATTTGCCTCGCCGTGGGCCATTTTATGATTCAAATAATTAAAATAACTTGAAAATTTATTAGCGCTCAGTGCATTTGATACACATATGCAGTAATAATTCATATGAAACGATACAGGATTTAGTTAGATAATTTCGTTATCCATAATCTATTGGTGATGTAATGTACGAAGCTTGAGTTAGTTTGTAATATTATATTTCAGAACACTAAATGTTAAAAACTTCGACCTATCTTTGAAATATATTCATGTAGGCCATCAGTATAAGCAGAATCGAATAGTAACGAAGATTGCAACTTATGTATATTTAGGTACAACCATCAATATGGCGCACATACTATATATATACATATATGTATTTGTATGGAACAATTAATCAGGCCCACGGCGAGGCAAATGGTCCGAAACGCATATAATTTGTTGTTGTATTCACCTAAAATTATAAATCATGAGATGAACATTGATGTAGCATATTATTTTACTACACGATGATAACCTCTTGTTTCCTCCTTTTAAGCAAGCCTCACCTAAGTTTTTTTTAAAGAATTAGTTTATTTTACTAAAGTAGTCATGTAATTTGCATAATGATGCAATTAGACTAATTAAATGGAATACGTGATAGATGGGTGTATTAATGGTGGATCAATTAGCCGGATCAGATGGTTATTAGATATTTAGTAATAATAATTCCGATCGATGCTGCTGGGTTTTTTTTTTACTTACACTACACTTATTTAATAATTAAAATTGTATTTCAAAATCTTAACAAGCCATGTTTATTTTCTCCGATACGGAACGATACATATGTAATATTTGCAGCTTACCATGATTAATCTCATATCAAACAAAAGTTGGATTACCGATAGTTTTGAATAATATTTTCAGCATTTCGAGAGAAATCAGTTACGCAACTGAAAAAACTTTGTACCCTGCAATCCAACAAAACGGTTGGGTTGGGTATAAAGTATACATACACAAATGTATATATTAATGTTTTCTTATGGATTATGTGTATTGAGGTGTGATAAGCCTGATGGCTGTCAAAATTGTTAGATAAGCCGAATTTGCATATTTGCATCTATTACTTAATCCTTATGTGCAACCCATATAAGTGAAGTTGCGCATTATGCATCTTTGATCCGGATTTTGACAAAAAAAAACTGCAAAATTTTTTGTCCTTTACGTAGTAAAATATAATTCAGTCTTAATTCTTCCAAAGGTTTGTCAATGTGATTTATCATTTATTTCATATTAGGCATTCATAAATACATGTGTACATGGATTATATTTTACGGACTTACATAATGCAGATAGACATCATGGCAACCGCTAAAGAGGACGTAGTCCATCCAAAAAATCCATGGTCCACTCCCTTCGATCTCAACATCGTCGCCTCAAGTCCTGTAGGTTCCGGCGCATTCGGGTCAATTTGGATTGCTAAACATTTCGAAGATGAAACAACTTACGCCATAAAACGCGTCAATATTTCCAAGGCCCTCCGTGATTTTTCCGACTTGGATAAAATTAAGCGAGAAGTCGACTGCCACACCAAATTGAGGAGCAGTTTCGTCATCCAGTACTACACGTACTGGATAGAAGAGGACGAAACTAAGGAGGATTTCAAATTCGATCAATTGTCCGAAAGTGCAGTTTTGGATTTCGATGATTTCGATGACACTGACACCCAACTTTTGCCAGACATCGGACCTATTCTTTACATTCAAATGGAATATTGTAGTCACAAAACGCTGACCGATTTCTTGAAAGAAAACAACACCATAGATCTTCGTAGTTCTGAAATTAATAGACTATTTTCCCATTTGGCGAAAGGCTTGAGCGCAATTCACAAGGAAGATATTATTCATAGAGACCTAAAACCGGACAACATATTACGTGTAGTGTCCTCCGACGTGGGAGGAGGTGGAGAAGGAATGTCAATTTGGAAAATAGGAGATTTTGGACTGTCAATCATTCCAAGTTTCCAACCTCGTCAATTTTTTGAAACTCTGGAGAATTTTGGGGTAGAAGAACCATATAATTTTAATGAAGACGATGACGACGACGGACTGGATGACGATAATCCCACCTTTAGAGGGACATATTCCTATCGTAGTCCAGAAATGGTTGAAGAAAGTTGCAGCTATAATGAGAAAACAGATATTTTCTCACTTGGGCTAATTTTTATGGAAATATTATCCCCCCATTTGATAGATCCAAAAGTAAGAAAGCTATTATTTCATCAAGTTAGGCAGGGTGGTTCGGTGGTGGAGAATTTCATACACAATCTAAATCCTACTTTCTCCAAAGATAAGTTAGAGCTAATATCGCCTGTACTAGAAATTTTGCCAAAAATGTTGTCCATAGATGAACTTACCCGACCAACGTCATTAGAAATTTTCCAATGGGTTCTTTGCCCTGTGACATACTGTGTTCCTCATCCAGTATTAGATTTCATGGGTAGAGACGCCGAACTTGTCGAACTGCATGAGTATTTAACTCGCCACAGCAAAATTGTTATGGTCACCTCAGACAAATATGGCACAGGCAAAACGCAATTTGTCAAGAAATATGTGCAGAAATATATTATAGAAAAACATACCAAAATGAATGTTCTATTCTTAGACGCCAAAAACAGGGCGGGTTCCAATTTGAGGGGCCACATTTACAAGTTATCTACCGAGCTTGACATTTCGTCTAGAATGAAGGGCTTGGTGAACATTAAGAGAAATGCGGAACACATCTTGCACGAAATTTGCAAATCGCTTACTGATTCGGGAACGTTCTCCAAATTCCCATCCCTTCTTATTCTAGACGGTATTAATGCAGGGAGAAAGTGGGCACTTGACCAAATTGAGCGAGATCACTCGTTTCGTAATAGAAATCGTGTTATAATTGTTGGTGAAAGTGACTTTAATTTTGAGGTGGATGCTAACTCGTCCTTCATATGCATAAAATTATGTCCATTTTCACCCGGAGTTGCAGAAGCATGCGCAAAACAAGTCTATGAAGAAATGTGTCTCCCCGTACCACCCGAGTTAGCCTGGCATAATTTCTGCAACTTTTTAGAATTTCATCCACAAGCCTTAAAACAGGCCAAATTAATTCTGCACCATCTCCTTCCTCAAGACCAACATGCCGATTTTGTTAACAATATTGTATTCAAACTACAACTCATAAGCGCGTCACGAATACCGCTGGAGAACAGTGAAGTGTTTGCAAAGCGATTATCTTCCTTGTATGCTTACTCACTCCAGCAAATGTTGACCCATTCTGGATACCTCGGCAGCCTGAAGATTCTGCAAATATTGATCTGTCTTTACGGAAAGGGAACGCTCTTATCCACTTTGGACGCAATGTTTACCTCGATTTCTGATAATGATGATAAATCATTCAGTCAATCCTTACAGCTATTACAAGCACTTGACCTTATCACAGTTACCGGGGAAAGATACATCGAATTTGCGAATGATTTAATTCCTGATGTAATTATTGCCCCAAATTCTCCAATACCTGAATGGGACACTGAATCCGCCCTTCGGGGAATGGCTTGCATTCGAGCCATTGCAAAACAGACGAGATTAGGCATCATGGACAGCATGTACTTCTGGATGCATGCAGTCCCAAAAACTAAGCAAATTGTGACCGACTACGCAGATTTTGTGGACGACACTTTACATCGACTTAATGAGACGTCACTGAGCAACTACTTTGACCACTTTGCCCAATTAAACATTGAGCAATTTACTGACCTACTGGGAATTCATGACATAAGAACAATCCGGCTGGAATTTCAGTTGGCCATAGCAATGCGGAAAAATGAACAAGATTTAGAAGCCCTGTGGTTAAATCGGGATTTATTAAAGCGATGTAAGAAAATTAAAGTGCATCCGGCCAACGAACTTTACGTCACTATTAGAGACGAAATTGCCTCAGGATTGATTGAAAGGGAAAAATTGGACGGTGCATTAAGACTGCTCCGGTTAAATTTATCTCGTCAAGAGGAAAATATGAAAGATTTGGAATCTGAGCGTATTCTAATCGCAACAAAAAACAGTATTGCGAAGGTGTTAATAAAGCAGAAGAAATATGATGAATGTGTTCCGCTGTTAAAGCAAATTTTGCACTGGAGAAAGGTCAATTTAGGGCACAAACATCTCGTCACGATTAATACCATGGGAGATTTAGCAGATTGCTATTTTCATCAGGGCAAATTTGAACTAGCGAAAAATATGTTTGAGCATGTGCTAAAGGGCGTGATAGGATTTTTAGGAGAAGAAAACCATGCAAAAGTAGAATCCATAAATTACGAGTATATGATTGCGTCATGTTTGGATAAGTTGGGCGATAAGGAGGGTGCACAGGAATTGTTCAGGTGGGTTGATGCGGCCAAGAAAATTATGTCTAAAAGTAACAATACCGAATCAAGCTCAACTAAACTTCAAATATAAATACGTTTAATAATTTCGTGATTGCTAAAAATAGGCATCTTTTCTCTGAAAACAGCTAATGGTGATTTTAAAATACTAAATATGATTTATTAATATTATTAATTCAAGATAATTTACAATCTGTTGAAATTAAGTTGCTGAATAAATATTTCTTTATTTATTCCATATTATGGGATTGCAAAGCGTAATTTTGATGAGGCACATAAATAAGTGCATGGTGAAAGCATTTATGTACATAATGTACATCAACTGCTTTATGATTTACAGACACAAATAACATATTAACGAGTTTCTAAGTTGGAGTACTAGATACACGTTATACAGAAGCACGTGTACATATGTACATAAAAATGTAGAAACTTACTGTGAGGGGTAAGCCCTTCGAGGCCTTCAAGTCACCCATGTATAAGAATATGAACAATATGAACTGAGGATCATAAATACCATCATTCAAACGAAAGGACATGTGGCAGTCTATTTCTGTACATTAGAGTACTTTAATATGACGTACATAGATACTCATGTTCGACACAAATTTAAAATCAATTTCCTGTAAAACAATAACGTAGTTAAAAACTTTACATTAAAAAATCATAAGTAATGCAAACAATAAAATTGTAACAAAGGAATATTTTATAGCTGAAATTGGTAAGATACATACTTCAAGAGTGCAATTCAGTACCTTTAAATTTTATAAATTATATTTTTTTTGTTAGCCATCATGATGCAACCCAATGTCTTATCCGCCGTTATGATTGCTGTAATAATTGGAAGCCTTGCTTCTGGACACACCGGACATAGTGGAGCTGAAAAAGAACTCAGGATCATAAGTTGGACAAATTTAATATTTTTACATATATATTTGCTAAACCTTAATACATAATTTTCCATTGTTTACCCAGTAGACAGAGACGTAACTGATGATATCGTCCCCCACCGTTGCCCTCAAGGTCACACTTGGTCAAATTTTCAAGGCGCCTGTCTTCCTAACCAAGATCCTCCTCCGAGTGTCGGCTAATAATTGCACAACGCATATAAATCGTTGCAAAGTATGAAAATATTTATCTATATATTTTGATAGAGGATAAGACGATTTATTTGACTAAAAATGTAACAATGTCAACATTACATTAGAATAAACCATATATAAAAACATTTTCACAGAAGTTGTCGGAAAACCTGCACATGGTTTTAAAATATGTGTGTCACATTTGATTCCAGAGAATTAAGTTCAGCATTGACATGTATGTATTTATGCATAAATATTTTATGTCAAACCGACGAAGGCATGCAGGTCACTTCCTTTCATTCTCCGTTACGTATTTTAAGCACGATCTGACCGAGATAAGAATCGTGATCACTTTTAAGTACTGCACAAATCTAGCAACCGGATAAATATTGAGTAAATTAATTTGAGGTCAAGTAGGTATGTAATCCGTGAGCTCATTTTAACCAATTCCACAGTCGTGAGCCTAGAGCATTTTCCACCGTTTCAAGCTTTGTCGTTCAAAATTACAAGGACAGATGAGACTTAAATTTCAAAGCACTATCTTTTATCAACCATCTTTTTAATAAAATAGTCCTCCTATGTAGATATGACCATGATGCTAAAATATAAAACGGATCAACAGTTTGCACTGTTTAGCACTCTTTATGCAAATACATAGTTATTAAAAACATACATCTAGTGTTAGCCTGTTTTCTTTTCTTTTGCATCTACCGAAATGACCGAATTTAATCTCTGGACCCCATTACTTATTACGCACACTTGTACATTTTGCTTACTTTTAATCTCAATACACGAGACGCAATTTTGCTCAGCGGATCCGGTAAATAAGTGATTATCAATCATTCAAAACTGGTATACATTTCAAACGCATTCACTAAAATATGTATTTCTACTTTAGCTAATCATCCTCCTCCAAGACCAGACTGCAGCAGCAGCTGCGGGAGGTGTGGCAGCTGTGCAAGGCCCTTGTCCAACAAACGCCTGTTGTACATCTCAGTGCAACATGGCCGGTGACATGTGTATAAACCGGAGATGTTCCGCTATGCTTCCTGTCTCCCCGGGAGCAATGGCTGCCACAATGTGTAACAATGCAGTTATCCCGATCACCCCGGCGTGTACAAGATTGGGGTGCACCGCCGCGTCCTGTGGAGCAGCGTGTAATCTGCTGCCAATGCCCATGACGTGTCAACCAGTGTTGTAACCAGTTGGTAATACTTATTGGCGACAGTAAAAAAATATTTATATTCATTAATCCTTAAACATAGTGCGTTGATATCACAGTTCTAGATTTAATTTTCTCAATTGGTCATCCCTTTTATGTATGTATATTACTTTTTATTCGTAAATCTGTAGTGGTATAAAAAACTGAATGTTAGAGTGCACATTTCATTTCCGTGCATGTTCAGTTTAGTTTCACAATGCTTTCCGAACATTTATTTCTGCTCTGTATTCTTGTTCGTATGATATCGTATGAGTGGATATAATTTCCAAACTCATTACGACAACAATAAGGTTTGTAAATCATATACAGATACTTTAGTTATGGACTAAATATATAAATACATGTGAATATAATTGAATATTTATTGTTATTAAAAAGATTTAATTACTTAAAATATAATCGTAAAATATTTAATATGAAAAGCACTATTTTCCATTTCTAATCAACTGTGGAATGGTTTGGTTTATTGTGCAATTAAGTAAAGAAAGTGAAGTGAGCTGTAAATTTAAAGCCGTTTTTGATTTTTTTGCAAAATCCCAAATAAGCGTTTTATAATTTGAAACTTGAATTGCACCATTAACATCAGATAATTTCAGTTTACCGTGAGTATTTTAAATCGTGAAATTATTATAAATGCACATCCAGCAAAATTGGTGTAAAAGTGTTTAATGTCAGTGGTGGATTTATTCCAGGTATGGATAGCGAGCCACTTGGCTTGTTTTGTATCTCGGGTCTCCCTTCAAGTCGTATAAATCTTTCGCCTTTTACTAAAGATTTCCGTGGAGGGGGACATTTTATGAGAATTTCTCAATTTTTTGACAGCCTGCCTTTGGGTGGGTGACATAACTAAATCAAAGATAAGAATTTCGACAAAATTGGAAAAGTTGGCTTTTCTGTGCAATTTTGCATATCATTGACCACTAACGATTAACAACAATTTTCTTCATTTTTGCATAATTTGACTTTGTTCATTTCATTTTAAAACGAAATATCTATGTACCATTGTCATGTTTAAAGAATTTACTATTCCATGTGTATAAGGATATATACATAAGTATCAGCATAATATGGCTGAAAATCATGAAAGCAAATATATATGTACAAAATTTTATTATTTGCATTAATTCCAGTGCAAAGATATTTAATTTCAGACAGATAAAAGATACTGGTATTGCACATCGAAATTTAATTTGTTTGCTATTTTATGCATTTGTCAGCAAAATCGATTCACCTTTAACCTAATTATTTGTATTTCCTGAGTGATGTGGGCAATCGAAGTGAAGTACGATTATATTTATGTACATAAATACTTAGGTTTTCGACGGTTTAGTGGTTATATGTTTAAGGCATGCAGCGGTTCATGTTCACTCTGCTTGGTAACAAAATTTTTAAATTGTAAAGTCACTCTGACGTCCTATTTGCAACAACCTCCAATCGAACAAAAATTTCTGTAAATGAGAAGTTGTCACCAATGTGATAATAAATACATTTGAGTTATGTGGAAATTATTATTACCGTTCGGAAGCACATCCTCATCTCATATTGAGTGACTACGCAAGGTGACAAGTTTATTACCAACTTATATGTTTTGAATATCGATACACACGAAAGCCGCCTGGTCTGGGGAATGACACAAATTCAGAAAGGACCAGAAGACTTAAAACTTGTAACATTAAATTTAGTTTACTATGTAAGTTTATATCCAATATGTATTAACACAATAAATGAATAATTTACATAACCACCAACTAATCATGATAGGCAACGGGATGGATTACGGGAAAAGTTGATCCAGTAACTGGTTATCTCACCGGGGACGGCATAGCAGAGTTTGTGGTCCAAGATATGCAGAAAATCATTGATTTTAGGTAATGCAAAAAAATTGAACAAATTAAATAATTTCAAGCAATTAAAGTTATATATTTTGCAACCTACATATTTAAATATGTATACATTGCAATACACTAATTTATCTTTCAGAGTTAACTTAACAAACCTTGGGTACAAAAATCCTGCTAGCAGTGATTATTTCGAAAGTGGAATTGGAAAATTACTTCAAAACGGAGAGGCCGATTTGGCAATTGAATATTTATACTTGACCAGCCCTCGTGTGAAAATAGCGTCTCCATTACATCCAATCATTATGGATGGGTACATAATTGACTTAAAATATTAATTATCCACATTGTGTGTTTAATGTGAACTATGCAAATTATGTAATGCAATTAACGTCTCTTATTACAAATTGCACAATTTAGACTTTTCGCTCTCTTTATCCAACCCGAGTCAAGCATCGTTCGAAATATTTACCTGGATCCACTCCCACCATCGATATGGGTTTTTTGGCTTGTTGCTTTATTCACAATTTCCAGTGGGCGCATCTTAATACGTTCACAAAAGAATGGATCGTTTGAAAAATTGAGGAATGTCATTCCCAAAATTTTCGCAGACTCGTTATTTGTAACGGTTACCACAGCGTCTCTTAAGGGTTTGTCATAATGTTTACTAGAAATGTATAAATTCTACTAGTTTTTAGCCCGAACCAGGGCTTATGTAATCGTCATGTCCGTCCGTCTGTCCGTCTGTCCGTCTGTCCGTCTGTCTTTCGATAACTCTCGAACGAGTAGACCGATTTGGACCAAATTTGGTACAGACATGTATCTGGGCAATGCAACGACCGAGTTCGAAGATGGGTTCGATCAGAAAAGTTTTGGACCGGTGGGGGTCACCTAGGTGGGTGGGTTATTATGCACCAAAATTTCAAAATTGTCGGAGAAAGCTGAAATTTGGTACAAAGGTTGCTAATGGCTCCTACTGGATAATAATGTCATCAAGTTGGATAAATTTTCATCTTGAGGGACCCTATGGGGTGACCCATACTGATTTTTCAAAATCGTCATATCGAGGTGAAATTTGGTGGAGAGGTTGCTTATGGGTCATAATGGAAGAATATGACATGAAATTGGTAAAATTTGTATCTAGAGCGACCCTATGGGGTGACCCATATCGATTTTTAGAAATTAACATAAAAAGCTGAAATTTGGACCAGAGATCCTTACTGCTTTCTCATGAAATAATATGAAGTTAAATATGAACAAAAATTAACCATAGGGGCTGTAGACCACTGGGAAGTAGTCAAGGGCAATGGATAGTAAATATTTTTAGAATTTGGAGCCTAGTAGTACGAAAGATTGATGCAAGTTAATGCAAAAATTAGTGTAAAATAGTAGCACATAATTTTATAGAAAACTACTGAGAAACATGGGTTTACTAATCCTGGTTCGGGCTAAGCAAAGCTGAACTGATAGGTTTTAATCATCGATTTCTGCCAAATGTTTAGATCATGCAGAGGAAAATATTCTGGAGATAGTTTCACTGTGCCTGCTTTGCATTTCATCGAACATTTTATCAATGTCCGTTTACTTCATTTTCTCTGCCCGACTACTTGCAGTTATACTGCAACCAACGTATCCAATTCAGAAATGGGAAGATTTAATAGACAATGGATTTACATTTTACTACCCGCCATCTTTCAGTAAATTTGTCACCCACCATGACAGATTTGTAAGTTTATTACGATTTAATAAATTTTTTGGATTGATAGTTATTCGCCATACATTACCTTTCTGCAGTCGGAAATGAACACGATCAAATTTGAATCGGAAAATGGTTGGGTTGATTCATTAAATGCAATATTTACGGATAAGCATGCTCGCCTAGACGTCGGGTTTAGTGCGGCTGGGGGTACACAATGGCAGATTCGTATTCGCGAATTGTCCTCAAAAACACAAAACAATTTTTGCTATTTAATCTCATCGATGGAAATTCAGAAATCAAATTTTGGGTTTTCAAATGCTTTTTATGTAGCGAAACAATCCCCTTTGAAAAACGTTCTTAATAGAAGGTTAGTAAATGATTATGAATAATCAATTGTGGCATTTAATATCCTGAATTGTTAATTATAGCATTTTGCGAATTAAAGAAAGTGGATTATTGAGAAGATATTTGAATCACCCAACCTTAGAACGAGTGAGATGTGCTTCATCCGTGAAATCTAGTTACGATGAAGACCTCGGAATTAATGATGTCTCATTTGCCTTCATAATGCTGATACTGCTTGCTACTTTCTCACATTTGATTTTTGGATTGGAAGTCGTTTGTTATAGATTGACAAATAAAGTTATCCGCGGACTTTTACGTTAGTTATTCTGTTGAGCCTTGCAAAATAAAAATCCTGAAATATTTTAGCTAACGTTTATGGGAATCCTTTTACATACTCTCCACTGCATTGACGAAAAATATAGTTATTAAAGAAAATGAGTGACAGCTTGACAAGCATTGGATTTATAACTTGCATCATACATCCTATTAAGACTATTAGTATTTATTAATTTTCTAGTTGCAAATCTAGACGTAGTTCTCCAGCAAGAGTCACTTCTGGTCTTGCCAATATTGCTAAGCTATCCAAATTTCCAGTTTCTAGCTCAAGATAATTCCTTATTTATTTCTTGTGCTTGATCATAATGGCACGTACATTTGTTTGCATGCAAATACATATACATACATATGCACATCATATGTAGGTATTTCTCTACATTGGTGAATATCTGGATTGTGTCAATGACAATGCGATTGTGCTTGTAAAATTCCAAAGACTTTCTTATTCTCCAACAACACTCGATCGCTAATTCAGAAATACACTAAAAATAGGTTAGCATTTCTTTGTGGTGATATTATTGATGCCATCACCATCATCATCCAGCTCACGTTTCACTTATTTCTCTTGCAAAAATAGATTTGATACATATTCTCACTGAATAGGTTTGGCAAACTGAATTTGATCCTGGAGTATTCATCTTAAGCCAAAGTGAAATTTGCAGTTTTGCCTTATTTGCTGCACCAATTCGATTTCATATCTTTGTCTTCGAAAATTCAGATCGTCATGCATTCAATTTTTTGCCTTCGTATGCAAAAAATTGAATACTGATTCAATGAATTTTCCAGGAAAACAAGCAAGTAATTTTGTGATAAGGTGAACTGAGAATCGGAAGTGGGTATGAAATTTATTTTTATGGGACACACATGCGCATGCAATTGACACGAGAAACCCATCATCTAGAAATACTCTTCTCTGCATGAAACGAATAAGTAATATTTTTTAATCACATCAGAAAAGGAAAATCATGACTGTCGCTACCTCAATTTAATAAAAAGAGGGGCCAGATGTTTCAAACATGTTGCAAGAAAAATCAGCCAATCTACCAAATCGCAAGATCGAGGGTCGGAAAGTGTGCAGAATAAAATCATAAAATATGTCATCACCAGTGTATCTGTTTCAAAATCGCAAATCGTATGTACTTATTTTGTACGCATATTGTGTAAGTCGGGGGATGATAGTGAAGATATGCACTCACGGAAATCGAGCATTCGGCAGGTCTAAAATTAACCTCACGTTCTAATGTACATATGTACGTACATATATATACATGTCTTTAGATATGCATACTTATTCGAGCCATTTATAATTATAGGATGCTGACTCTCCTAAAAATGTGTAGCATGTTTACATACGATTTATGATGTGAATAAATGAACCCCGATAAAGTCCAACTTTTTGCTCTGAGTTATGAGTGCAAGCTTAATTGGAATCTTTTCTAGACGGCTTATGAGTGCGGTGATGAAATATGGGCTCCCAAAATGAATCAATTAAAAATTTTCTTGTCGCCACAAATTCAAATAAGTAAGAATTACCATTCGTCAAAAATTTGAAAATATGTTTATCCAGTCTCATTACCAAATTCAAGGCAGCATTATGTTAATTCAGACTTACAAATCTAGATTCATATGCAAAGAAGATTTATGCGTTACCGGGTACGAAGACGACGCGAGCGAAATTTAGATGATGACGTCCTCGACGATCCTCTTTTTATGGACGAGAATAATTAATACACTTGCAATTTTGCTTGAAAAAAAACATGAGCGTTAAACGTTGTGGTAGTTTATAGGAAGCTAAGAAAACACTCGCGAATACCAGTAGTGAGAAAAGGTAGAAAATTTTAGCAAAAACTGAGGTGACAGTGTTCTACTCACTTATGCAGATCAGGGTGTTCTCTCTCAGGAGTAGAAGGTCACTACTTGTCGGGCCCCGATTTCGATCTCCTTTGCATATGTTGTAGTACTACGTGAGTGCAGAAAAAGTGAAGGAGGGTTAGACTCCATGAGCCCATTTACGCCCGCCACACCCCCTCAAAGGCGCCCAAACCCCCAGAGTTGCCGCACACATTTTTGTGATCCCAGATAGTTGCTCTATCATATCCAATAGCAAACTCAACTTTTTTGAAATTTCGAATTTTTTCAATACATACCCTTGGTCAGAAAATCTTCGAAAATATTGAAAATTTCAAAAAAGTTGAGTTTGCTATTGGATATGATAGAGCAACTATCTGGGATCACAAAAATGTAAATTTTTTGAAAATCTGACCAAAACTCGATTTTTGGCGATGATTTTAGTGCGACAACTCTGGGGGTTTGGGCGCCTTTGAGGGGGTGTGGCGGGCGTAAATGGGCTCATGGAGTCTAACCCTCCTTCACTTTTTCTGCACTCACGTAGTACTACAACATATGCAAAGGAGATCGAAATCGGGGCCCGACAAGTAGTGACCTTCTTTCCCATCGACTGGGAATATTTAGTAATGCAGACTAGTGAAGTATGTAGGAGAAAGCGATCATCGTAAAAATAATTCTAAAAAGTAGAGCAGAAATATTTTAATAGATAATTGTACATTATGTCGTCATAATTTTACACAATTTTCAAAATTCCTAAGCAATTTTGAAATTTGGTTTATGTACCAATCAACTGATGAAAACCAGTTTATTTTAGTCGTATGTCAAATCTGGAATAATATTCGTTTGCGGATTCATTGCTGTATTATTTGTATCCTAAGTTTGTATATCTACATGCGTAAATATATATTCATACTTATTTATCGTCCTTCAGTCAGTGTCACAATCTCATTCCCACGATCTTCACTCAACGAATTTCATAAGAGAAAGACACGGTGGTAGAAAAATTTCCAGACCAAGAGAGTTTGGTTCGTGGTGTGGTTTGTAGACAGAACAGGGGAATTTAATTCCTGTCTTTCACGAATTTCATCATATGATGTACTCGCGGACTATAGGTGGGGATGACTCAGAAGAAAAAGATTGCTTTCACTGTCACCAGTTGTGTCACCGTCAGACCAGAGTGAAGAATAGAGGTAATAAAACCAAAAAAAATCTTTGCTCTATATCCTGAATGTCGCATTTAGCAGGATGTGGCAATAAAAAAGTTGACAAAAACAAACGCTGAGGTATGGCCATCAGCTCACAGGTATACATTACGGATGTATGTATACATATACATGTCACCTGTTTTGTAAGGTTTTGCAACAGCATTTAATAATTAAATATGAGATATCGTTTACTGTAACTAAAGAATACACAAAATGCCAGACGAAGCATGACATGGAGATGGAAAAAGTTGATTGAATTTTATTGTTATCAAGAGTTCGAAGTGAAAGAACATGAGTGAAAGCACATAGGGAAAAATTAGATGTTATCCAGTAAAACTTTCTCACCACTACGACGAGATTGAATATGCTGAATCTGTTACTCCACTTATGCATAAAACGAAGGGGCATTAAGAGACAAAATACAAACAAATTCGAAAAAATTCAAAATATTGACACGTATGTATGTAAGATAAGAATTAGTGGTCTGCTGAGATTATAGCATTTTCCGAGTTCATCCTCATTTCTTAACATGAAACCAACAAAATAATAAAGATTACTGCGCTTATAAATAATATTTTATCTCATTTATTTAATTCAAAATGTTAGCAGCTGCATACATATGCACTAATCCTAAATTCGTATACCATGAAAATAATTGAATCTCTTTGTATCTATTTATATACTTCATATCATCCACTTTCACTTCGCCGTATACAAAACTAATCTTAAGAGACAATGAGCAGAATTTCAGATTCACCAACCACAAAGACCACTTTATTCCCGAGAACAGAGTGATAACTCCAAACTTTTGCTAGAACCGTCCACTACTTTGTCAAGATAGAAGGAGGACGAGGACTATGATGACGAAAGTGTTGAAATTGAGATGTTTGGGAAGAGATGAATTAGCGGACGAGAGGGCGGAAGCATGACAAATGTGGTCGGGGTAGAGCTGGACGAGAGAAATCTTGGTGTCGGCGGATCTCGAGTCGAGACAAGTGGTCTCACTGATGAAGTCGTACATGGCATGGGCCTCAGGAATTAAGACTGAATGAGATTCATACGATTCACGTAACCAGCGACGAAGCCAGTCACCAAGCCAGACTGAAATTATTTACCATACGTAATAATTTATTTCCACAATTTATTTAAACTAAAGAGAAAGTATTGTTACCTAAATTGCAGTCGCATTGCATATCATTTCCAGTGAGGATTAACCCACCTGAAAAAAGTGAGGTTTCCCTTAGCAAACTTAGCATTTTCATAGACCGAATATGATAAGTAGGATATGCAAATGTGTAAGCATTCATAACGCGTACCTTGGAGGAGCTTGGTTCCTTTGGAAAACCAGAATGACGAATTGGGATACAAACTGGCAGAGTTGAGAGTAGAAATTTTGTTAAAAGACAAGTCCAGCTTGGCCCATTCTGCATTCAGGAGTAGTTCAAATATTCTTGCTGGGATTTCTTCCACCGACGTTCGAGTAATTGTTAACTCTGTATGAAGACAGTTCTGGAGACCTTCGAAAGCCTGCTCCTCAATTCGTCGCAAGTTGGTCCCGGTCACCGTTAACTTTCTCAGACCGGGTAAAATGCCGCCGAATAATTGGTCCGAGAGGGTCGACTCTTTGATTTGCACGTTAAGTTCGTCCAAGCTCTCAATTCCGGATAGAACAGCTCCTGATATGTCATGCAAAATACATATCAGTAGATAGTGATTAAGGCTAAACTAATATGCTACATACATTAATTATTATTCAAGAAGACCATTATCAAGTGAATATAAATATGCATCCTATCCCTAACAGGTTTTCAACATTTTTATGCAGTTATGCATGAAAATCAATTTACTGGAAAAGTATCTAGAAAAATACGCATTTTTTTTAAAGCAAATCATTTGTCTTTAAACGCTAGGAATGCGAACTACTTTCTCATAGTCAACGGTAGCATATTTATTTGATACTTTCCCCAAAAAACGTAAGTATTCGAAGATTGTTCTGTATTGTAATTTAATTTGGAATAACCTACCCAATCTGAAACGGTATTTCTCAATGTTGGGGTACGTTTCAACCGAAAGCTTCCTTAAGTTCAATAGGTTGGAAAGCACATCAGAGTCAAATCGATCCACAAAGTCCAGGTCCAACATTTCCAAGCTCTCCAGTCTTCTCAGTCCGAAAAAAGTGTCACGTGTTAAACTAGTAGGAACACGATAAAGACAGTTTTAAGCAACAGGAAAAACGAGATGTTTCTTAGACCAGTGTTTGTGCATAGTTGTGGGAAAAAACAAGAAATTTTGCAATTTAGGTAAAAACAAAACCAGCAATTAGATTTAAGTTCATAAAAATTTGTGCAATAGCGAAAAAGTAAACCTTTTTAATGGGTTTTTGGACAATTTTAGCTTCGCTAGGTTTGAAAGTGGGGTCCAATTTGGTAATCCAGCATTTTGAAGTTGATTATTCGACAAGTCGAGTGAGCGTAGTCTATTCAGAGACGCTATGCTTTGGATGCTGATTTCTGTCAGTCCATTTCTTGACAGGTCAAGTGTGCTTTAGGATTTATGAACTTATTATTTAGTAACATGTACTGCTTGTAGCTGCGAAATTAAGCCTAATCAATCTCACGTGAGGTGTGGTAATGGTAGATGAGGAAGAGTTTTAATGCCACAGTTGCAAATCCGAAGGAGTTTCAATTTTGGAACAAAATGAAAAAGTTCCTAGAATGAGAAATGTTATAAGTGAAATTATAATGCGTATAATATTTTTTTTCATCCAATTTATGTGACAGGCTGTCAGAAATATATATTTAACATACTAATTCATATGTTTGAAATATTTCTTTTTTTTCTTATTTTATACTGCATTCAAAAGTGTATAAGCTGGGAAATTCCCTAGTGAAAGCTCTCTTTTCGGACGCATACCTTAAAATTAGCCCGGAGAAAGTTGTGTGAGAGATCCAGCTCCCGCAGAGAAGCCAGACTGGCAAAAGCGTTATCTGGAAATGTAAGAGTATACACATTGCTTGCTTTTCATGTTCCCATGGGAACTTTTAAATAAAGAAGTGAGTAGTACCCACCCGGAAGTATAGACAGTCTGTTTGAGGACAGGTTTAAATGGACCAAACCCGGTATAGATTCAAACATTGTGCTATCCAGGTGTTCCAAGAAATTTTCAGAAATATCGAGTCTTTTTAGTCGGCGAGAGATCTAAAAATCAGATCAGACAGATTGGTTCATAAATCCATTAGTAAATGATGAGGGCATGTTTAATTTATGTGTTTATCATTTTGCCGAAGTTAATGCTTTGCTAGTCAATAGCATTTCTGTTTGGTTTGAGTGTTAAAATTCGACATAAAACAAGCCGTCTCAATTGTCAGGAGATCAATAATTACCAATAAGTGCATGCTTAGAACAAACTTTCTCTCTCACCTGGGCTAATGCTCCGACGGGCAAGGAGACGAATTGATTTGAAGACAAGATAATAATTTCAATATTACTTCCGACAAGCGAATCTCTTGGCAGGGAACGAATTTTGTTGTTCGAAAAATCCAAATACGTCAGTTTATGGTTGCGAATAAATAATATCTCGGGTACGTAAGAGATCGAATTTGAATTCAAGTGAAGGGACTGAAAAAGGAAACAAAATAATTAAATATGCATATTAAGCTAACCCACAAGAAAAACTAGTGTACATGACTTGTTAATTTCAATCGATCAGAGAGATGTACTCTCATTATCATTAATTATTGATGAAATCGTGCGACATGGAAAATATTTTAACCTACCGTCAAGTCTTTGAGCTGTGAAAAAGAGTCCGGGTCCAACACGGCAATCCTGTTACCATTTAAATGCACTACCTGAAGTAATCCACATAATTTATATAGAATTTATACAATTTTTCATGAGCTTGGGTATAAAAATAGTTTCTTAATATGCGTCCGATTTTTTGAATCGCAAAATAAATTAAAAAATACCAAATAAAACTACTCACCTTAATTGAACAATTGGACGGAAACAGGTCTCCATCCACGCGTTCAATCCTGTTGAAACTGAGATCCAGCAATTCTCTTGGACACACATTACGAATTTTGACCCCATCATATGTCAATTTGTTGTGGGATGCATCCAGAAATTTGATGAGCAACTTTCTCCCATTGTTTCCGTTTATTTTCTCGATCGAATTGTGACTAATGTTCACACCCCCGACGAGACTCCTCCTCCCGAATGCATCGAAATTAAAATATGTGAGCATATTGAAGGCAACGTCAATCAAGGCAAATTTATCCTGTGAGAAAGCACCCGTTTGAATGAGAGAGATTTGATTGTGTCTCAAGTACAAGTTGAGTCCTTCGGATTTTGAGAATCTCTGGGAATTAGTGGCGGACGTTGCGAGAGATAAAGGTGACGGGGGAGGAACTGTGAAAGCGTGTCGTTCAATGGTGTGGATTGTGTTGTAACTAGAATTTTGGGTTCATACAGTCAAGAGCAAAACTTTACGACATATGGAAGAGACTTTTGGGACATGTTATTCAAATGGGGAATTAAAGGCCGTAAAGTTTTGCACCGCGTACCTTTCCGAATAATTTTTTTAACGCTGTGATATAATTTTTATTGAATAAAGCGTGCAAAAGTAGGGGGTGACGTGGTAAATTATTTTTGTCGCCGAATTTTTTTCAAGGAACTACAAGGAATTGAAAGAATTAATTTTGGAAGAGACTTTTGGGACAACACATTGTGCTTATGGCTGTCCCAAAAGTCTCTTCCAAAATTAATTCTTTCAATTCCTTGTAGTTCCTTGAAAAAAATTCGGCGACAAAAATAATTTACCACGTCACCCCCTACTTTTGCACGCTTTATTCAATAAAAATTATATCACAGCGTTAAAAAAATTATTCGGAAAGGTACGCGGTGCAAAACTTTACGGCCTTTAATTCCCCATTTGAATAACATGTCCCAAAAGTCTCTTCCATATGTCGTAAAGTTTTGCTCTTGACTGTAATTACATAACAAATTCCTCTTAAAGGTATATAAAAAAAAGTATGAAATATTAAACCTCAAGTCAATATTGGTCTGAAAAGATGTGTCAAAATTGCCCACGGGGAAGGAAAGAAAGGAATCCGATCCAAGAGTCTGAATCTTATTATGTGAAAGTCGAAGTTCTCGCATCGAGTGGTGAATGTCAGGATGGAAAATTTGTCTTGGAAGGACCGAGATCCGGTTGAATTCCAGATTGACATAAGTTATATTCTTATTCGAGTAAAATGTGTACTCGCTATGGAAGGAAAAAAACGGGATCTCAGAATTTTTTCATCATTTCATCATTAATGTGAGAACCAGTATTCGACGTAATATTTTCTCGTATAAAGCTATTTTTTATGCTAACGTTAACCTGCTAATAGGAAAATAATGAGGCACCTAAGATCTAAGAGCGATAACCAAACGGTAGTGTAAACAAACAAACGCATAAAAAATCAGACATGCGAATCTGTGATTGGAAAAAGTTCATCCTGTCAAAATTCTCCCTTTCCCAAACTATAACTTACACCGCCAACTTAGCCAATGACACTTCACAAAGGAATCTGTGTAGGCGGAATTTGAAGAAACAGAGCAGTTGTCACACATTGGTGAAAGCAGTAGTGAAAGTTAGTGGGAGACAAACTGTCACCAACTCCGCATTCCAACCACCACTCTCACTCACTCTCCTCTCCGTTGACGTTTACATAATAAAGTAGACTTGCTCCCATGTCTACCAAATTATTCCAACAGACACCACCATCACTCACCTGACATTGCCCAATTGGTTGTGATCCAGGGAAATCCACTCGAGTTGTCTCAGAGCTTGGAAAGACTCGGAATTAATGGATGTCGCACTTTTGAGTCCACCACTTATGTCCAGATTGGTCAGTGGCAGTGCAGGGAACGCAGGTATTTCTCCAGTCAGCTCGCAAAATGAGAGAGAAAGCTCAAACAGGCGAGGAAACGATTCTGGTCGAAATACGTTTGGAATTTTATCCAATGTTGGGTGAAATTGGTGTCCGAGCTCGTTTGGATTGAGGATCGATACAGATGGCAAAGTTGGATATGCATTATTATTGTTCCCATGAAGATTATGCACCTTATTGCTTTCGAATGATAACGAGTGGATCGGATTGTTGCGTAGGATTAGTGTTGACAGCGTTTTGAATTTTCGAATCGCAATTTCGTCCAAATCCCCGATTTGGTTGTAACCCAAATTTAGATGGATTAGGGAAATACAGGAACTGGAATTTAAATTGTACTTATTTTACAAGGGATAGCAATTTATAGGGAAAGTTACCCTCACTTTAGAATACGACGAGGAAGTCGAGTAAGACTGTTCCCATTTAGACCCAAGTATTGCAAATTGCTGCAGTCTGCAATAAATTGGGCACGGATTTATCGTCTTTGTGTTAGATTATGAAGGTTAATTATTTTCTCACCAAATTCCATCTCCTTGTGTTTCTCCAGTGATTCATCTCTAATCAGGTTGTTTCCCAAGTAGAGATGTTTGAGCGAGGTGAGATTGGCAATCTCCTCCCAGGGCACACCCTCCAGCCTATTATTATCCAGATTCAGATACTGCAAAGTTGGACTCAACGTGTCGAATGCCATCGGGTCAATAGTTGCAAGACGGTTGTGACCAAGTGAAATTCTAAATGCGTTCATCGAGTGGAAAGCACCGGGTGGCAAACTCGCAATGTAATTTTTGCTCACGTCCAAATCCAAAATCTTAAGTTGACTTGCAAACGGGCGACTTGGCCAATGCTGGTTGATAAGCGTGAGACAGAAATGACCTCAGTTTTTGTTTTTATTTATGTCATTTTGGATTGTTATTTGAAAAATGGTGAGAACAGTATTATGGTCGAAATGATTTGGGGAAAAGTGTGGGTGGGCGTTGCCAATGCACAAAATTTAAGTTTTAAATCAATCAACATGTTTACTTGAAAATTATTCTGCGCGTATTTATGGACATCCACCCACTAAAATTGAATGAAAAGATGTTTGAACAATGTAGAACGGAAAACCAACCTGAATAAGGTTTTGCGTAATGTCCAACTGATTTATCTGTGCGGCTGCAGTTCCTCGCGGATATTCAGACGGAACCGTTTCAATCCCACAACCGGAGAAAACGATCCAGGACAATGATCTGAGTGCAAATATTCCCAGAGGAAAGTCCGAAATAGGATTTTTCATCATAATCAGCGTCTGCAATCACCGGATAGTTTTTATTGCATTTTATTTATGTGTACCATTCTATACTGCTTTCTCTCTTGTTTTTTTTCTTCTTAAAGTAATCATCTGGCATCGATAAAGATATAAATCGTTTACTTGGAAAGTGTTAAATTATAAAAACCATTACATTTCAAAGAATTCGAAAAAAGGAGCAATTTTGCTTTTCCCTCTATCTGCTACATACTGTAAGCAATACGCCAGTCAGCCCGAAAGGCAAGCCCGATCAGTATTTATTCAACACGCGATTTTATTTTCGGGAAACATTTATTCTCAAAGTCGAATCTCTTAACTCAATTAGTTCCTATTTGTTTATGTACTACGTAAGAAAAATCTTCCTCGAGAAGAACGAGTGAAAAAGTGTAAAAATTGGGCGAACTTACCTGAATGTTTGGAGGGAGATTGTGCTGGCTAACATTTCGGATGAAGTTAGAACTCAGGTCAAGCCAAATCAAGCGATGGAAGGTAGGAAATAATTTAGGAGGAACTCTCCCGATAGAATTTCCAGATAACGTCAGTTGACGTAAAGACGAGGTCAGTGCAAACCAGTCACCGTCCAATGTCCGGATCTTGTTGCTTTAAAAATAGACGATACAAATGAAATGTGCAATTAAATGAGAACTGATGGATGCGAATAAAAGTATTTATCATAGATATTTATTTTGCATGTGCAATATGAAAACTCTGCGAGAGATCATTAACGCCGGTTAACGATTTCTTGAAAATATGGTTCCTTCACATAATTCATTTATTAAGAGCAATATTCTTATTTGCCATCATACCAAGGGCATAAATTCATTTAATGTCATGCCAGGTTAGATGAACTTCCTTGATCTTTCAAATAATTTGTTACATGTCTGGGGAAAGTGACCTTTAATTCACACCACAATACGGAATTTGCTACCGAATTTCTTTGTATTTACTACTGGATAGCTTCACCTTGTCCTATATACCTAAATTTAGTCTAGCCATGACTTATATGCACGAAAAAGAAAGCAACTTTACATATGACAAGCCGGACCACGTCCATCCACCCACCCATCAAAGCCGCCCACAGATTCTGATAAATTACAAAGCAACAGTGCACCCATTATTTTCCCGGACAGGTGGCATGCATTGTCTCGTCGAACCTTCGCTACAATAGAATGTTTAGAGATAAATATCCCTTCGTCTCCTCCCACGATCTATCCATATTTATGACCAACCTGATCAATACTCAAAGTAAGTATTTAGGTGATGGCAAACTGAAGTACTTATGTGTTTGTACACCACTGCTGCATAATGTCCGAGGGCAAAGGGTTTGAATGTTAATGGGGTTAATTACGTATACATAGATACTAATTTTACCATCATACATAAGTAATTTCTGAGGATCTTACTCTATTTACTCGTAGACATGTATGCATGACTTTTGAACGTTGCTGTACTAATTTTGCAAATAAACGGCTACTACTACTACCGAATCGCTGTTTATACATTAACATAGACTTACTTGCTGAGATTGAGCCACTCTAGTAACTTAAGTGTCTTAAAGGAAGCGAATGGAATTTCATCCAGTAAATTTGCAGACAAATCCAACACGGTTAAAGAATTTCCCATGGAACTGTAAAAATTCAAAGAGAGAAACATACCTATAATGACTATAATATGTTTAATTTAAAATTAACTCACTGGAAATTTCACTCCCATTCTATTATATAATTATGTTTATGACTAATAAATGGGAATATATTCCGCATTTTTTTCTTCCCACGCACTTTCTCCTCGTTCGAGAAACAAAGAGCTTGAGGAAGACATACTTTAAGCCTTCTGCATTGGAAAGAATGGGTCTCAAGTTCAGTTTTCTACCAGAAAATGACAAGGAGAGGAAGGTGAAAGAAAAGAGAATCGACATTTTCTGTCTGCACTTTAATACTTTATTCACCACGTGGGAAAAAGCGGCGAATGCATGTGTGCCTGAGTTAGTAGGATACGTATGCAGATGAAAAGCCACCCACATACATTTTCCCCAGTGAAACTTGCTGGTGTACATTTTCTGATTAAATTCTAAAGATCACTCTTCATATTCTGCAGCAATATTGCCTACTCTGCTGCAGCAGTTCAACCAACCATGTCAACCAACTTTCTCTTATTACATAGTTTTCAAAATATGGCTACGATAAAGCAGGTTTTCTAATATTACGTATGTTCACCCAGATTTGACTCACCTGAAAGCATACTCTGAGATTAAATAGAGCTCATTTTTGTTCAATTGAAGATTTTGAATTTCCAGTCCGGCAAATGCAGACCCATCCAGAAGACTTAGCTTAGAGCCGGCCACAGTTATGTGGGATATAATTCCGTGGGCATTGTAATCTGGAATGAAGAGAGACCAGCAGAACACATAAATAATTACGTAACCGTACCATTTTAAACTGCATATTATAAATATTTTTATGGCTTTTTGTGTAATATTTACCAGTGGGAATCACAGCGAGAGGAGCATTTACACAGAAAAATTCATATAATGGTCCCGGATCAAACTTGACATTGCTTGACGTGGACGAGTTCACAATATTGTGGATTATTTGATAAATGTCGACTTGGCCACGCAGATACTGTTGATTGACGTGTTGTTGCGGCTGGGGTTGGCTATCATTCTTTGGATTCGGAGGTAAATTGTACTCTTTCTGAATCGTTTTGAGAAAATGGGTCTCGTTGAAGGACGAGTGGTGCCAAAGGGTTAGCAGGATCTCATGAATTTCAGTGCTCTGTTGACAAGGAGAAAGTTGGTTGATTTCAAATTATTATTTAAATAACAAACATTGACGTGAGAATGTTCCCACCTGCTGAATATACTTGCAGTAGCAGAGCGTATTGAAATGACAGCTCAGAAATCTATCGGACGGAACCATCAGTCCTGATTCTGGGGACTCCAGTAAGGACGGTGGTATGAGATCGTTTTGGTAAATTCCACCACCACTTTCTCCAGTTGCGAAGAAAAGTAAGATGAAGAGGGATGGAAATTTATTTCTTGTCGGCAACATATTTTTCAGTAGCAAAATTATTTGGACACCTGTAATATTTGTAAGATTAGGATTACGGATTAATTAATTAAAATAAACAACTGTTTGTGCATTGTAATGTATCAAGCACAAAATTGACAGTCAAAATCACTGAATAAAGGTTATTTTGCTTCTTCAACATAAAGTTCTCGTATTGATAAATCATAATAATTGTAATACATGACCATAGATATCTTTAAACATAGTTATGTGAAGAAGTACTTGTCACGAGAATCTCATCCCAACGTACATATTTTTATGTGTGCATAAAAATCGATGTTTGTAGAAACTAATTATAAAAGCAATAATTTTCCTGAAACACATCAAAAAAACGATGCACAAGGCGGAACAAACTGAATAAAGTGTCAAGTGAAAGGGAAATGCTCCGGCCCCAAAAAATCAGCACAACTGCAAAAAGATTGCATGAATGAACGGAATCAAATCGTAAAATTTGTCATCGCAATTGCAAAATTAGGGAGTTGCATAGCAAAACTAAGTACGTTTTTAAAATTTCTGTTACTCTCTCAATCTGTTGAGCTCGGTCAAAATATTACGTGAATTGCCACAAAGTTAAGACTTTTTAAACCGTAGGTTTGCTAACTATCTATTATTTTATCAGGCCATTCTGACTCATGCCGTAAGACACTATGTACTCCTAAAGCAACGCGACATCATTAGATCTTCCTCTCAAATCCTAGAGTATATAAACTCTTATCTACATTTATGTGTAGATAAGTGTTCGCAAAAATCCAGCATTTAACAGGGTGCAGGGAAATAACATATTGTCAGGTCTAAAATTAACCACTCGTCCATATATCTGGATATTTGAGCTATTTATAATCTGCCATGCTGACTCTACAAAAAGTGTTTGCGGTGGCATACGGTTGCTTTACGGTGAATGAATGAATTTTGATGCCGACTGAGAACTGAAAAACATTGTACTCACACCGTCTCCCAGTTATGATTACAACGTTAATAGAAACGAACATTTACATAAGTACGCATGCTGATGAAATATGAGCTGTAAACTGAAATTGTTAAAATTTGACTGCACTGTCATCACCTCATTTGGGAGGGAAAGCAAACACCGGCAATTTGTCAGCAGTTCACAATTTAGCAAGTTTAGCATTGAAGTCCCAGTATCGTTATCACGAAGACTAGCGATCATGTCAATTCAAAGCGTGAAATCCACGGGGAGATGTATCCACCAGCGACAGAGGCGATAAAAAGACGAGGACGCCGACGGCCCTCTTATTTTTTGATGACAAAGAATGATGCTACTGCTAATTGGATTCAGCAAAAGTTTAGCTTAGGATTAAATGCAGTATGCATTAATGTATGTACAGGAAGCCAGACAAGAAGACCGAGATGCACGAATGGAGAAGTAGAAGTGATTGCCAAGTTAATGTATTATGTTTGCAGTCGATGAATGAGACAAGTTTTATTTACCCAAATACTTACATATGTAGAATTCCGTCACTTCCGTCTTTCGTTCTCCCGTGCAGAACATTCTAAGGAATTTGCAGGTGAAATGCATATGTACTATATTCGTGTATACTGTAATATGCATATTATGATGCTAAACAAGTAGTAAATAATGAAAATGACTGAGAGCATCATTTTATATTAAGGTTAGTCAAGCTAAATAAAAGTTATATGTAGGTCCAGTCGAGTTTATGGACGAAGTATGAAATGCATTGCAAAATTAGATATTTGATTGTCCATGCAAAATGATCGGGAAATATTTGAATTTACGTTTCTTGTTTTCTATTTTTTCGGATATTCAGTATTGACGGGCAAGTCAAGATAACAAGGTACATAAACAAATCTCCTTGCTTCTTTCATCCCCAAAGACTCATATTTCTTCACAATATTCTCGTCATGGTTCGCGTACTCTCTTTCGCTGAAAAGAGTCGTCGGGTACATCACAGAACTTCTTACGTATTTACATACAGCTAAAAACCACTGAGGGAAATACTAGTAAATATGCATTTACAAGTTTCGTTTGAAATATTTGACGTTGAAATATCAGACTTCAAGTCTGTAAACCAACAAGTTAAACAAATCTATTCAAGAAATCCTTTTGGGCCAAAAGTACAATTAAGTAACTGCTCATTGAGGTTCTAAAGTAAAGTGAAAAGAAGGAAAACTTTTCGTCCACTTTTCCGGGAAAAGTTTTGCATGAAGAATTTCAAGACCTTTTTGATCCAACACTTGGGAGAATTTGCCCTTAGTTTTGACACTTTAAAGATATTTAAGATTTGATAAATAAATTTAACAAGAGATGAAACATAGTACAAAGAATTACTAAAGTTATTCAATACCAATTTAAGTGATTCTTAGATTATTTATTTCCACATCGTTGTGGACGACTAATAAAATCTGATTAAGTGATCAAACGTCTTAAGCAATGAACAATTTTAATGATCCTACAATTTTTACATAATTAGAATCTTTCAGTAGAATTATTTAATATCCAAGGAAATATTTAGCAAGAGCATTATACTAAAATGTGAAAGATTTATTAGTACGACCAGAGGCTGCTGAGGACGAGAAGCAGAATTTGTATTAATTGGTTGGTAATTTTATTTTATCCATGATCATACATAATTTATTGCATGTCTTGAAGCAGTGAAATTACATTTTTCAACAGATCAATAATGACATGAACAAAGTCAAATTATGCAAAAGTTAAACAACCAGTGTTAATGCTAAAATGTGCATAAAAATAAACTCCCCGAGTTTTGTTGATTTTGTCGAAATTCTTATCTTTGGTTTAGTTATGTCGCCCACCCGAAAGCAGGCTGTCCAAAAATTGAGAAATTCTCATAAAATGTCCCCCTCCACGGAAATCTTTAGTAAAAGGCGAAAGATTTATACGGCTTGAAGGGAGACCCGAGATACAAAACAAGCCAAGTGGCTCGCTATCCATACCTGGAATAACTCCTCCACTGACACTCAATACTTTTACGCCAATTTTGCTGGATGTGCAATTATAATAATTTTACGATTTAAAATCCTGACGATGAACTGAAATTACTAAATAAAATTAGAAAACTTACATAGTAAACTAAATTTAAAGTTGTAAGGTTTAAGTCTACTGGTCCTTTCTGAATTTGTGTCATTCCTCAGACCAGGTATCAATATTTTCATGTGCATCAATATTCAAAATATATATGTAAGTTGGTAATAAACTTGTCACCGTGTGTATTAATAGTCACTAAATATGAAGATTTCTCAACGAACAGTAACAATAATTCCCACAAAACTCAAAGTTGCTATCATACTGGTGATAGTTTCTCAACAAAGAGGGTGACATTTATTTTACAGAAATTATTGTTCTATGGGAGGTCATTACGAACACGGTAGGGCGTCATAGTGACTTCGCAATTCGACAATTTTGTTACCAACGTACGTATTTTGAGTGAAAAACTGCTACATGATTTATATATATGTACAAGTATTAGATAGTACTGTTGAAAACTGAAGGTCAAATTTACATGTATGTATGCACATAATCGTACTTCACTTCGATTGCCCACATCACTCTACAATACAAATAACTAGGTTAAAGGTGAATCGATTTTGTTGACAAATACATAATATTGTGAACAAATTAAGTTGCGATGTGCAACACCAATTCCATTTAGATGTCCGACATTAAATATCATTGCATTGGAATTAATAACCAATAAAGTCTTGCACATATTTATTTTCTTTCACAATTTACGTCATACCTGTATCGTGTTCTTACTTCTTACATCATACATAGATAGCTACTTATGTACATATGTAGATACACATGAAATAAATTTCCTTGAGGTTCACGGAGATATTTCCCTTGACTAAAATGATTTCCTTGATTGTTTTTCATCTCATCTCTCCATCACAAAATTGGGAGAAAATATCACTTGTATTTATGCACAACTTGAGGAATTTATATTTGGCTGAATGTTGCAGTGATTGAATTCAGGGTAGCAACTCACATTTAGATACATACATGTTTATGTATATTTGTACCGATATGCATCGTATGGCGAGATATGTATGAATTATGTCAAAGTTATTGTGTTATAAAGTTATGTAAAAATTCTGAATTATGCAGTGAAATTAGATACATACATTTCTCAGCGGGTCAAGAATGAAATGTACAAAGTCAAATTATGCAAAAATGAAGACAACTGTTGTTAATCGTAAGTGGTTAATGATAGGCAAAATTGCATAGAAAAACCAACTTTTCCAATTTTGTCGAAATTTTTATCTTTGATTTAGTTATGTCACCCACCCAAAGGTAGGCTGTCAAAAAATTGAGAAATTCTCATAAAATGTCCCCCTCCACGGAAATCTTTAGTAAAAGGCGAAAGATTTATACGGCTTGAAGGGAGACCCGAGATACAAAACAAGCCAAGTGGCTCGCTATCCATACCTGGAATAACTCCTCCACTGACACTCAATACTTTTACGCCAATTTTGCTGGATGTGCAATTATAATAATTTTACGATTTAAAATCCTGACGATGAACTGAAATTATCTGAAGATAATGGTGCAATTCAAGTTTCAAATTATACAATGCTTATTTGGGATTTTGCAAAAAAAAATCAAAAACGGCTTTAAATTTACAGTTCACTTCACTCGCTTTGTTTGCATAATATGCTTAAACCACTCAACAGGTTATTAGAACTGGAAGAGAGTGATTTTCATATTTTAAATGCTCTTAAACGATACATGGGCTTTTACGTACGAATTTCATAGATGCAATTTATTTTGTTTTACTCATGTCATAAGGAATTTCGAAATTTTATCCAAATACTGGTGAGAATTTGCTAAGTAAAAGTTTTACAAATACGCTAACTGAACTTTTTTATCGATATGCAAAAATTCTAGTGGATTATATTAATAAGATAGATATGTCGTTGTTCTCGGACACATGCATGAGCTACATACTTATTTCTGGTCATAAATTAGTTGGTTTATCTACATAAGTATGTACAATATGTATGCAGTTAATGACAACGATGATCCAACCAATCAATACAATGTATGTATGTATGTATGTAATTTATATTTATATACATACTAAAATTGCTTTCACAGGCTTAACCGAAAGATCGAATCAATTTATGTGCTAATAGTCTCGTTTCTCTGTCTCGAACAATTTTTTTGTTTTGCAATCCATCTCGTCATCCACTCCTTTTAGATTTTTATCTCTGTAGACAATTTTGATTGAGGGTTTTTATTAAACATATGTAGCTGTTGTTATTTGTTGGTTTGTGCAAGAAAGATAGACCATCGGCAAAAGTTTTGAGTTGTTCTCAATACCATGCAATGTAAACTCCAAATCGATTACTCTGTATTGCCTTTTGGAGATTTTTACACAAGCATAAATTGTCCTTCAGATAACCATTGCATTATTGCCACATGATAATCTAGTTTTTTATAGCGTAACTTATCTGTTTTTATCTGTGCCCCTTGGTGTGTATAGCTTACAGTAGAACATGTTAGTACATTTTGCACATGAAGTTAGCTTACCTTTAGAAATTAGCTTTTCCCAGAGACAGGGACGCAATTAGATTATTATGTCAAGTTAATTCAAATAAGTTGTAATATACTCATTGTTATTACTTAAATATTATTTAAATCTTCAGGAGCTATTTACTACCACATGGTTTTAGTTCCTTACTATAACCATGAAATAATCTTCCATGTTGGTCAGGTATCATGTGTGTATTACATAAATGACTTCCTCGTCTTTCCAAACTATTCCACGTGTTTTTGGTATCCACTCACTTTTGCTTTCACCACCAAACCACTTATCCCACTCTAAATTTTTGCAATATAGCTGCATTATGTTTTTGGATCATTATTGAAATTTTTTAAATCCCGCTCGATTCCTATTTTTTGGAAACTATGTCTTTGCTGTAGTTATGGAGATTATATGTAATTAATTATGACAGATTTGGTTGAGCGAACACAGTACTATGTTAAGAAAAGCGAGAATTTTCGTACATGTATGCACATGCACTTTCCTCGCTAACTTTCGATTTCTACCACATACGACTGAGGATGAGTAGTGATGTTCACACTTTGAAGTGTAGAACGGAACTAAAGGAGAATTTGAGAAGCAAGGTAGTAGTAACCCCCGATTTTTCGGAGGGTGGCTACCACCACTCTACTATTTCGAATCTTGTATTTCCTTACCCACAAATGTGCACCTGTCCATGTGTGGCAAAAATTTATTAAGGATAACGGAGCACTTAAGGAGGTTTTTATTAAAAACTAATCTTCGTAAGATTCCACATAGATAAAATTTTCAGGAATTTATATCAAGAATTTATGACTGAAATTTTCACATAATTCATACAGTAACACCGATGTGAGAAACCTAATTACGATGCATAAACTTTCTTCATTCTTTTTCCCAGAAAGGAGAGTAAATTGGATGCATAAATTGACCAGCGTCTCAAAATAAAAGTCTCCAAAACAAACAGGAGAATTTCTTGTGAAACGGTTCACGTTGGTTAACCTAAAAAAAAGTATCATAATTATTCCCGGTTTTATAGCCTCCTTCTTCAGTCCATTCCACTTAACAATGTTAATTTTTATAGGGACAGGATATGTTATAATTTATTAAAAACTGACAGTGCAAGTACTGTAATAAACTCTGAGGGGACTAGACGCGCTGGTACGCGAGAACATACATGGAAAATTAGTTCCGAACCAAAAATATTGTAAGGTTTGCCTGTCTCTCATTGCATATAGGATAATTTTGCTCAGGTATTGTCATCGTCCTCGTGGGGATAATTTCATGCAGTAGAGGTGAAAAAGTGGAAGCAATCAAACCAAGTTTGTTTGTCTTGTGAGAATTTCAGCAGCTGGAATCTATAATCCGATTGATTTTTGCTTTACTAATGTTAGTATTGAATAGAAGTTTTCTGGGGATAGTCACCTCACTCGATGGATAATAATATGCCTTCTTGCTTTTCGTCCTTTTAGAGAAAAATGACCTGTACATAAAAATTGGGTTTGTGAAAGGATGACATATGCATGCCTGATAAAAATTTCAGTAGAAATCTGTCTTGTGAAAATGTTACCCGTACACAATATTTTTGAATGCTAATTTATTTATTATTAGATTATTAAGGGGTGAAACTTCTTTATAAGATCGTTTTGTCCCTCTTTTGGTCCGATAACTCGTGAATGCAACGATACACATGCATACATCAAACTTTGGACGTATGTTCAAATGTTAGATCGGATATTTGATGTACTCTGGCCTATGATACCAGTTACTTAATTTCACGAATTTTACGCAATTCAGAGAACCTTTTTTACTCGACTTTTTCAACCAGTTGTGTTTAATTTGCATCTACTTTGGGGAAACATAAAGTTTGTTTTCGTCCCAAAGATTTCTATACATTTCTCTCGCAACTTTATAACGCGTCCGTGATATGTATCCAAAGGAATTGTAGAAGTAGTAAATATATACGAGTAGTCTCAATAAGGTACATAATCCTGTCACTTGTAATTTTAAGGTATAATTTTGATTAATCAACAGGAATTTGTCCCCCGGTACCTCCCTCACGATCGACCCCATAACAAAAACCCTGTACTACTCCCACTCTTCACCCCCAAAAATCTCTTCATACTTCACAAAAACCTCTGAATCCACGGACCTCCTCATGACCAACCTGGCCTCCCCAATCTCGATCCAATACCACGAATCGCCGCCTCTACTTCCTGGACCCTGTTTACGAGAAAATAACGATAATAAGTATTGGGTGGCATAATGGTTTTCGTTCGTCCCGCATGTAAATTTCGCAATCCCAGTGACTTTCTAAAGTAAATCCGGAAATACATATTTTATGCCAATAAAATGAAATCGATATTAATATTTGTTTATATTTCTGAGTTCAATCCTTACGTGCATTTTCGACGAAGTAGATCCACACACAACTGCTGCGAATAGTTGCGAATATCGAAATCAGTTATCAACGACACCAAGCTTCAGATACACGAGAATGACCTTGCCAATCTCCGATCGTAATGATGAAAATTGTCTGCAAAGATGCTGCGTGTAGCACATATTTATTTATGTACATATGACAAGATAAACAAGGCAGTGATGCGTTTCCCTTCAAGGAAAAGGAGATCATCGTACTTTCCAATTTATTAGATATTAATGGAATTAATTAATATTTGCACTAGGAATTAAATAACAAAATTGACTACGCCCGGTGTCAATATCGTGATATGAAATTATATCCAAGTATCGATAATTGCATTGCACACACAAGAGAAAAGTCTATTTCACGATAACTATGTTTATAATACCGATAATTAAGTCAATAAAATGAATTAATGAATTAGGCAAAGAAATAACTGCTCACCACACCCTTTAAACGAAAACTAAATAAATATGTACTATCAAAATGCAACCAATTTCCTAATTGCCAAAAAATTGCGACTCACAATTGTGACCATTCGCGAAGGACTAACCCTATTTCATCTTTCACACAGGTTCCTCACGGCATCGTCACATTTCATCATGAAAATTCCACTGATTCTGAGATTGATTCAACTTTTAGGCTATTTTCCTATTCCACTGTCCCCTCCTTCTACCTTTTCCCCATCTCAGATTGAGATAAAGGACGACTCATCATCTTCATCGCCAATTTTAGCAAAGATTAAATCAAAACTACCCCAAAGAATCGTCTCACAATCGTTCTTGATTCTACTCGGCACATTTTACTCGTTCGTTTTGCTTGCCGTCGTTGTAACTTTCTTCTTGGAGTTCAATTACTGGCTAAAAAATGTGCCCGGATTTTGGGCAAAGGGTCGCGGAATATTCTTTTCTGCCGTGATATTGAAAGCATTATCTCACATTTTGTGCAGTGTCGTTGTAAAGCTTGGCATGATTTATCGACGAGGCAGGCTGAAACTGTTTTACAACAACTTTCTCTCCATGATTGACTCGGTCGGGGAAATGACTGGGAGCGGGTGTGACGAGGAAGGCTTGCAGTCGAACCGATATCAGAAACGGTTATCCATCAAGGCGTATTTATTTCTGGTGTTAATCACTGCATGGAGTTTCGAATTGTTCGCCGACTTTCACTTTCAGAGCACGGCCGTCCTCAGTTACACTTTCGCTTATGTGACCCCACCAATAATGGGATATTACCACTCCCTCTTTCCATTCCTTGTCGCTTTCTTCCTAAACTGGTATCTAGAAAGTTTGAAAAGGATTCGTACAGTGGTGGCGAATAAGTTGAGGTACATGGAAACCATAAAAATTGAGAAATTTTCAAAAAGAGAAAATTCAAAGGGTGCATCTTCTTGGTACTTGGTCCATAATAATAACTTAAACTTGCACCGTATACCCAATGACACGGAGATCTTGTCCAGTCTTTACAATCTCGTGAGGCAGCAAAGTCTCCAGTTTAACCGAATATTTGGATTCTGGATAACTCTCGACATGGCGCATAGTTTGTTGCGAATCGTTTTCTCGGCATATTTTATTGTGTCGTTGATGTGTCTACAAGTCTACAATTTGCGCTCCATTGTCCAGAACATCATGACGGTGATTGTTTACTTTTACCTTTTGTACATGGTGTGTAAGAAGGGATCGGATATTGCGGGAGAAAGTGAGAAAGTTGTTGACGTGCTGGAATCCTTAATATCTTTGGAGAAGGGACAGGTAAGTGCATGCATGTTTCTCTTGCAAAGGGATATTTACTAGAAGACAATCTAAGTACTTGTAGACTTATCATTTACGGTTTGTTTTTACGGACAGGAAATTCATGGACGACTTAAACCCATTAAGATTGAAACCAATTTCTTCAATGTGGACCTCAAGATTATTACCCCAGTGAGTTAAAGAAATAATTAAATTGCTAATCAAGTTATAATATTTTAAATATTACAGATTCTAGGAACAGTGACGACTTATCTGCTCGTCTTGATACAATTTCAGAAGGGCGATCGTAAAAATGTGAACGTTGGAGAAGAATGAAATATTTTCAATAACTGTGACCTGAGTTGATATATTTTAATAATTATAATTATTATGCATGCATTGCAGTTTTAAATAAATATAAATTCATAAATCTACTGCGAGACGTGTATGTATGTACACATATCAAGACGAACATGTTTAACATATTTTCCTCATCACAAAATACTAGGAGTAACAGCATTTAATTGGAAAACTTGATATGCATACGTACTCATTTCATTAAGCGGTGCTCTGTAACAAACAACTAACAAAATAACTTGGATATGTATATGTCCAACTAGGTCAACTAGGGCATAATGCGTTATGTCAGCAGCCCTTATTAGAGTAAAACAAAATGTTACAAGACTGATCAAACATACAAATACAAAAATAATTTAGCACAAGAGGAACTCAATAGGAATTAGGAAAACAAAAGTTACGTCCGATAATGATGACGATTGTTATGAAATTTAATCGGGCTGATCTTGTTCCCATACGGTGGATAAAATACACATGTCCATTGTCCATACATTAGGTAGTCAAATCTAATTCTGGGTTTCGTACTTGGCAAGGGTTAAGTTTCCATTATTTGAGAGGAAACTTATATGATTTCCATGAGTAGATTTTTGAGGGGGCGTAATTCAGTTCTCACTTTCTTTAGCTTATTAAATACATTCAATAATTTCTTCTACTGCGATTTTATTTATTAGTAAAAACAAATTGTGCCACTTTAAATTTAGATTTATCTATCGAGAACGATTATATCGACGAAAAGAAAGTTATATAAAAATTAAGTACTCTAAAAACTTGTGAATTTTTCCAATTCACTAAAACTTTATGCAGTCGAGGGGTTTAGGTTAGGATAAATTGGTTATTATGAACAACATGGAGACAATGGATGTCGAAAATGTTGCTGGAAATCCATATCCAAATAAGAAAACTCAAATGACAAAATTAACAACTTTCATTGTTCTATTTCTATCAATTCTGGTCATGGCTTTAGTGACAAAAGTGATCGTGTTACAGATAAACTCGACTAAATTTCAGCATATTCTTGCCAACAGTAACTCACTTCTAGATCGAAATTGTCCCAGAAATGAGGAAAATGTCGATGGACAGGTAAAAGACAAAGTTTAACCAATGTAATGGAAACGTTTATAACAATTCAAACGTTTATGACTTTCATCACACACTGAGGGCCCATCTTTAGCTCCAAACTTTTCGGTTTTGGCCGTGGAACAGCTACTGTCATCCCTGAACGAGTCGGTGGATCCGTGTGAATTTTTTTACAATGTATTAATTTTTGTATTTATTTATTTTGATAATATGCATACATACTAAATGTACATAGCGAAACATGTAGTAAAACTTCAGTAAAACCAATAATAAAATTAATAAAATTGGTTTTCGTTTAGTATGCGTGCCAGGGATGGATCAGTGGGCAAAGCTTCACTAGTACCGCTCCAGACGGGAAAACAGTCATAAATCTAAAGGGTCAACTTTCCATGGACTCAATCACTGGCGAAAGAAATACGAGATTGATAAGAAATTTTCTCGGTAAGGAATCAATGGTATTGTATATTTGTACGGGACATTGCCTTACAAGTCGCTTCAACAATTTTCAGATAAAATGGTGTACACTCCGAACAGAACGGGAGATGGAGTAGAAAATGAACTAAAGTCCTTTTACGAATCATGCATTCAATTGAAGAAAAACTCGTCCATAATTCACCCTGTTACCGGAAGGTTAATAAAATGGATGTTTTTACGGCAAGAATCATTTCTCTCCCTTCAAAACGTGGTAGTTAAATTAGTTACGTTGGGCGAAGATGGTAAGCACGCAGATCCATTTATTTTTCGAATATTTATTAACAAACTATTAATAGCAAAATATTCATCCTTAGATCCGAAGCATAACTCAATTCCATGCACAGAACTGGCCAAAAACCTTTTTCCTGAAGTAGTTGGAAAACTCTTTGTTGAAAACCATTATTTGAATGATAACCTAGCTTTCAGTGTTCAGCAACTACTTTTGCAAATTAGAGATACGTACCTTTCTCACCTTGACGTTGTCTACAGTCCGTGGGTTGATTTCCAATCTTGGCTGGAACTTAGAAGACGCATTAATTCCGCAAAAATCATGCAAGGCTACCCGACCGACATTATGGACAGCATTTGGGTGGCCAGTGTTTATGCTAATGTGACAATAAATAAAAATGTGTCGCACTTCATAGTCAACTTGGTGCAATTAATGGATCTCAGAGAGATGCGGAAGCAAACGCTGGGAATGGTAACGATGAACTATTTTGACAACATTCGAGACGTCGCTGCCAATTATCTGCCATCGTGGGACATGCTGTTCATATCTGCAGGATATGCACAATTTCCCATATATCACGAGTCATTTCCGGACGTCTTAAAATTCGGGAGGTTGGGATTTATTATTGCTCACGAATTTGGGCATGCCTTATCCGCATATATTCGAACCAACGATCAATCAAGGGGTACACATTTAGCCACGTATTTTCATTCGACATATTTATACCGCATAATTTTCGAAATTTCTGAAAATATTTTATTTTTAAATTATTTTCAGGTGAACTGCCATTCGGTGCTTCAAACGCAACTTACCAAAAGTTTATCGACAAGCTAAATTGCATTGAGAACGAGTATAACACTTATCAAATTCCATTTTCCTTTCCACAACGAAATACTACTCATGCACTAACCTGGAATGGAAGTTTGACACTGGAAGAAAATTTTGCGGATTTTATCGCACTGAAAATCTCATTCAGTGCGTTCATGAAAGAACACAAGAGAACGCACGGTTCTCAAGTAAATCATGAAATTCCAGGGCTCGCCCGGTTTTCGAAAGAACAATTGTTTTTTATTGCAAATGCTCAAGTGAGTAGAAAATTTTGATAATTATATTTGCATATGTACATAAGTGTTTATTAATTTAATTTCTGCTCAGCACTGGTGCACCGCTTTCTCGGATGAAGTTTTGCATTACCAAACATTCAAGGAATGGACGGATGCTCACAGTATAAACCCAATCCGGGTGCTGGGGCCATTTAGTAATTCAGAAGAATTTGCCACTGCATTTAATTGTCCAGTGGGGTCAAAATACAATCCACAAAAAAAGTGTACATTTTAGAATAAAACAGGACATTATTTGCGAAAGTGATGAATTTGAGGTAGAGAGTACCAACTCATTTCCCGTTTTTTATATATTTGATAATATAAACTGTGTAGGATATAAGGAGTTTTAAAATAAACCTAATTCTGTTAAGTTTACAAGATTTCTTTTAATGTACAAAATCATGATCTGAGGGTATGATACGAGGACTAGTACCAAGGTCGAGGGTATGAAATCCTACAACTTGTAGGCTACAAGTATCACTGTAAAATCATTGATGTTACATCAATTCATTAACCGTGTCCATGACCATGAAATAATTTAAACTCTTGTGATGAATAGGTTGATCTGCCAAGGTGCACACTTCATCTAGTGCTATAGTAATTTAAATTCACGAAATACATCAAATGAGATATAGACACATACTTATGTATACTTATGTTAAATGCGTGGTTATGTATGCATAGGTCAAATGAATTGAGTCATTAAATTCTAAATGCGGCACGTAGTAACCAAGTAACTATTGGGTAAGCCATTAGCGAAATTCGGTTACATTTTCTACAGAGCAGTTATTGTTGAGTAGATGAGTATGTAGAAATTGTGTTACTACTGCGAGCAGCAACAATACAATTTCTAACAATTGTCAAATTCGCCGCAAAACTTGCTTACCTTGAATCATAACCGATATGATTTGATCATTTGAATGCCTAAAAATGGTCAGAATGACAATTCATTTGCGTGATTCTATTGTCGATAAATTATTATATCCTGAAAAGATGTATGCAGAACAATTGTACATTGCATGCAAATTTATAATTTGAACAATATTAAAATTGGGGTGGAAAAGTCAAGTCACATTTCCTTCAGTTTCTAAAAAAGTTTATGAAATGATGGACCAGTCGTGTCAAAGGGAGTAGTCTCATATAATCACGAAAAAAGTTTTAATCTTCGCATTTATGTATATACGGTCCCGAGATACATATGTATTCAGATTCATACATAGATGTGACTAAACAGAAATACAAATTTAAAATCCAAATTTTATTTTACTTTCAAATGAGAGTTTTTAGACATTGAAGGAATACCAGAACAATTACAATAATGGGTACACTAGCATATTAAAAAAAACAATTTACCTTAACTATTGTTTTTCTCGATTAATCGGCAGGATTAATGAATAAAACTCGATATTGGGAATCACCATTTGGAGAAACATATACTTCCCCACCTTTTGCAATTTCATTTTGTGGGCCTACGAGGAAGCAACAAAGTTATGGAGCCGTGCAACCCAATTGGTACGAAACCTTTGATCACGTGAAAATGAAGAAAGCTGATTACGAAGCCTGGTTGCGTGAAAAAAGAAATTCAATCCTCGCAGAAAACAAGGCACAAAAAAGTGTGCCATGGCGAAAAAGGCTGCGCAATGTGATTTCAAATATTTTTTCATGCCTTAGCTTCCCGTAAAGATTTGTTTGTATAAACATTGCTTGTAAATAAGGTTGACGCAAAATTAAATCGAAATTAATTATGGATCAGTATTGTGAATCTTATAAATATGATTAGATTGTGTAATCTATACATTTGTTATAGTATTAGGTTCAATGCAAGTCTTAAATTCCGTCAGGAAATTCACGGAAATTGGCAGTCAAAGGTACTTATATGTATCTCTGCATCAATTTTCTGTCATAAATTTTGCGTGGGTTACAAAGGTCTGGTTTCATAATAAAATTACGCAGCTTGTCATCCGCAAATGAATCGTTTTTGTGTCTGCATTCTTAGAAGACACATTGGGTACAATATTTCCTCAGTAGTTGATATTTCTTGTAATTTGTTTTGACATGTATATGTACACAAGTTAATTTCCAGACATTATACAAATTCTAGTTACCGCATATAAAAAGTTTCCATTGACAATTGTAGCAATTATCCTTAGATATATGGATAAGTGTTTTTTCTATGAATGGAAATAATGTAGCTACACATACACTGAAACAAAAGTGAGCAATCAATGAAATACAGATACGTATGCGTTTATTAATAGACGTCATGAGTGACGACAATTCTAATATCTGGATATAATTGATCTGAGTTGTTCTTAATTCAACCAGTTCAACCGTATCTTACAATTAGTCTGATTGCACTTTATTCCGCATGTCTTTATTTTCGTTTGCGTATGTATGTACACAATCTCAATTTACCTAATTGCTCAAGAAGCTTTCGGTCTATGAATGAAAGATTTTATCTCATCGTCCTGTTCATTTGCGTATGCGTGGCCTATGCAGTAGAGCGTCTTAAAATTTTATCGGAAAGGTTAACCCGGTTTTCGTGCTAAAAATGAAAAGAACAAAAATTTCATATTTTCACCCCCACAAATTTTCTTCACTTTTGTGGATTTATTTGGCCGTCTACATATTTCCATTCGTGAACTGTTTTTCAAGCCTTGAACTACGACACATTTTCAATCATTGTGAGTCTTCTGCAGCAAACCAAGTTATCGCTTGGGAAACAATTTCCAGTATTTTTGGCACCTTAGAAGCTCCATCTTTCACAGCTAACACTGGGCTAGTAAATATTTCTCGTCCGTTAGAGAAAATTGCAAAAATTCCTTTTACATTTCGCCCAATTCCACAACGTTCAAAAGTTCATAAAACACTAAACATTTTTTATTTAGCGACTTGTCCTAGTTCAGAAGTGTCGGGACAATTGATCCAGATCAAAAATGAGCGATTCTTCCACAAGGGGAATGATTACACCGCAATTATTCTCGATATTGAATTATCGTCACAATTTGCACGCAACATTTATCTTCGCCAAATCAGACACGCAGTTATTTTATCGTTTCCCAAAACTGAAGCCAACCCATCCTCACACGAAACATTCCACGTGTTAAAACTGTGCTATTTCTGTCACGAAACTTTCATCCCGACTCCACAATTATTCCAAATTTCTCGTCGACCTTCACAAAATCATCTTCAGGATATATTCTCTGAAAATCAAATTCCCAATTATCAACGAAAAACTATCGAAGTTTCCTGCAGCAACAATACTAAAGTGCGACTCTTCCTGCTTCCCAAATCCGATGGTACTGTTCAACCCCAAATTCCAGGCGTATTTGCCAGCTATCTTTCCCATTTCGTCCAAAAGCTTAACTATTCCGCCGTCTACCGTACAGCGACCCATGGAGGTGGTACCGGAGTCCTTTTGAATGGGTATTGGAACGGCGTCACTGGCGATGTTCATCGAGAAACGGCACAAATCGGAGTTGTTGTCGGTCTTAATGTCAACCGCTTTGAAGTCGTTGCATTCACAAACCCCGGAGAGTATCAAGCCTTAATCATGATCACGAGACAGCACTACCAAATTTTTTCGTGGACTTTGGTATCAATTCCGTTGCATAATCAGGTCTGGATTCTCATGGGATGCACCCTGGTCATCTCGACGTTAACGATTTACGGAATCCAGCTATTTTATCGCGTCTACATAATACCGAGGCAAAATGCAACGAAGAAAATCCGTCTTTGGGATAACAACCGAATTATGGAGTATCTTTTCTCCTCATTTTTCGAAGAGCACGCCCCCTCCCCGACCATCCCGTCGTTGCAATTATTTCTCAGTTTGTGGCTCTTTTGTTCTGTAACCTTGGGGACAGCGTATAATTCTAAACTTTTCTCCGTCCTGGCGTTTCCACCACTGGATTTCCAACCGAAAAATTTTGACGAATTGGTTACATCTCAGTACAAATGGGGCCTGAACACCCTCGGAGATGCGGCTCTCCTTTATCTCAAAGCGTCCACCGATCCCGTGGGGAAACAGCTTTATAAGGGAATGGATGCTCACGCGGATTCGATAAAATGCATAGCAATTGCTATGAACCAAAAATATGCCTGCATCACGTACGGGACCGTGTTGGATTTTGCGATTGCGAGGAATTTCACGAGATCGATGAGGCGATCTTTGACCGAGTCGACGTCATCTATTTACACGTTAGCGGCTGCTTTTATAACGCAGAAGGATTCGCCGTTGGAGGAAGAATTGAATAGAATTATTGGACAATCATTCGCTCAGGATTTACAAAGGAAGTGGTTAGATTTGTATCACGGAATGGTCAAGAAAGGGGGTGACGTTTGGAGGGCAAGGTTGAAAAGGGAGAGGGCTGCACAAGTTCAAGAGGATCAAACGGGCCCCGGAAGTGAAAGAAAGTTTGTTAAATTTTCCATCAAGAAACTGCAAGGTGCATTTTTTGCATTATTTATTGGTTTGGGGATTAGTATGGGGGTGGTTTTATCGGAAGTTAGGAATAAATTGTTCTGTAAAGTTGGAAGACAGCTTATCGAAGAACCATAGACTAACCTAAAGAGAAAGTATTAATGTTGCAATGTTAAATTTATGTATGTACTTATGCTTATTTCAGCAATAGTATTATTATTAGACTATTCTCTGCATAAACGAGTGTGTTATGAATATGGTATGTACGAGACATGCATACATACTTATAAACTAATGGAAAGTATTTAGTTTAACGCCTGGAATAACAGAACAAACCGACGTTAGCTAGCTATAATTTAAGACACGAGTTTGCAATAAAGGTGACTGATAGGACCATATTTACTACATACGTACTTGTACACTAAACGGAAAATTGTACAATGTGTCTATGTACGTATGTATGTATATTTGAGTATGGTTACGTATTATGACGTATTTATGTATGCATAATTTTTGGACAAATTTACGATTTACAAGAATTATCAAACCCTATGTATTTACTAGAAAATAGCTTCATCATCTATACATGTATGTGCTCTATCAGAAATATCATAGTCATCTTAATTACATGTAACAATACAAATTTGTTTTGCTTTACAAATATGTCTTGGACTGATTAAATTATTGCATCATTAAATACTTTCTATGAATATACGTACTTGCACGTTACAATACTTATGCGACATGCGACTAAAATAATACGCACTCAAATTGACCCTTGGCGATCTAGTGGTGTGACAGTATGCATCATACGTTTGTCCATATGTTAAATGAAGTAATTTATCACTTATGATGTAATAATAGATATGCGCAATATGTGCAAAATAATATATATGTATACACATTATACGTATTAACTTGATGCCGGTTATCATTCGACACCTGACACAATTATAAGTGCAAATTAAGTTCCATTGGAATTGGTCCCAATATAAAACCAACTCATTTGGTTAAATACGATAGAAAAGCTGTATCCACTATGTTGAATATTTCCTCTCGTACACTTTGAGCAAAATGTGGCTTCAAAATATTTCCACGATACTTTTTCTTGCGTTGGTTGTGGTAATGGGAAAAGGTAGGTAATTAAAGACAAATACGTACAACTATGCACATGAATGCATCTCTTAATTTGGGAAATTTTTATGACATATAGGCGTATTTTCGCAATCCAATTCCATTTGGCAAATGGACGTATATCTATCCAAACATGTATCAAAGATCGAGGAACTTGCTGCTGAGAAACTTGAACCCTTGGTTCGCTTTCCGGATATTCAACTCAACATGACCTTCCCTTACTATCTAACAATGTCAGGGAATTTGACGTAAGTAAATCAAAAATTTACATATTTACATACATGCATCTCATTAGATCAGTAGAATAATAATTAACGATTTGTCACTGTATTTAAAGCAACTTCAAATTTGAAGGAGCTGGTGGATTGACACACAATTACTCGTATACTAGTCCTACTCTCTTGATGTTCCGCATGTACGCTGTCTTTCCGCAGACAATCCTTTATGGTGAGATCATGCAAAAACTATGTATATTAAAGTGTGTATTACGTCTAGTTTAAAATTGACAATTTTAGGCAAGCACAATTTTCAAGGCGTCATTACCCTTGACAACGGAACCGCTATCCCGATCGGCGGTGGTGAAAGGATTTTCAAGCTGACCACTTCACCAGCGAAAGGGTCATGGCAATTCCATACCGAATTAGATGAGCAGAGAAGAATTGTCATGCAGGGCTTTTCAGAATCATTTGGAATAGATTTAAATCCGAGTCCCTACACACTGTGGGAAATGGACATGGGTGGTAATGCATTTATCTACCAAAAATAAAGTAATGTACAGAGAAACCAAATAATACATGTATTTATAACTATAATTTCAGGACTGTTGGATCCAATTGCATTTGACAGGGATCTTTTAGAAAATGCAGAGTACTGGATTTCTACAGAAATATTAGAACGGATAAAGACAAATTTCCGAGGTTTGGAAGATCAAATTGCAAAACGGATTGAACCGGCTTATGTGAAAGTTCTCCAGGAAGCGTTTAGGGTCAGTTTTGTTATATATTTCGAAATTTTATTTTCTCATAATTCAACTTACTTCAATATGTAATTTTAAATTTTATAGACCATTACAATTGACGAAATTATGAGCATTCCACCCACAACTACGCTAAGATCACTTGGACATTGAACTTTGGATTATGCTTGACTCAAAATAAATATACATGATAAAGTCCATAAGTCACGTATTTAAATTCTACATTTTCCAAGCTAAATTTCACTTTCGGCAGAATTAAAAATCAGTGGATTATTATCAATGGGCCTTAAAATAATTTACCTAGAGCTACATTTACTTCATAAACATGTTAACTTATACCTACACGCATACATGAGTATCTAAGGTATGCACAAATTTAATTGCAATTTGTTTATTTCTTGTGCGTCCATACATACATTCACTCACACTACATATTCTAAATACTCTATTGTGGATTACAACACTCCTTTATAATTACAGGAAGTTTTATAACATTCAAATGAATTGAAATATATAACTTTTTCGTTGAATTGTCTTGAAATTAACCCTGTGAAATTAAAAGAAACGTCGCTGTCGTTCTTGTGCAAAAGTCTTGAATCACCAAAGGAGTTTCTGAGTCGACAAAATTTACCCCGAATTTTATTTTTATTGAAGTGACAGCTCGAATGTTTCTTCTCAGCACAGATTTCCTCCCAAAGTCCGGACTTGCCTTTAAGTTTTGAAGCAATTCACCCGAATTGTTGTACACTTTTGCAGCCGCAGTGAAAATCACAACGGCTAAAATGAAAGCATCCACATAAACTAATGGAAACATGGCGAATGCTGGCCATTCAACGATGTCATGGAGACGGATGCAGACATAGGACGTGAAAAATTGTAGACTAGGAAATCCAATGAATACTGATGGGAAAATCCGCTTCTGATTGCTTTGGTTAATGAAAAGTTCTATAATTTTGAGTTTCCGGTAGGCTTGGATGACACGATGACTCTGTTCCAAACGCCATTTCCTTTATATATAAAATTAGACCTCTAATTAAACATTTTTGTCTAATGAGTAGCTTTAAACTGCATCTACAAATTTAGTTTTTTACGCACCCTATGATATTCACATAATTCCATAAACACACAATTCCAGGGAATAGAGCGTGTCCCAAATAAAATGATGCCGCTAGTGCAACATGAGCAAAAGTAACGAATTCAAATCCGGAAATAAAAATTCGGACCCACACAGGAATTCCGATCCCGTTTCTACAATATGGCAGCATGGAACCCAAAAACGGTGGCGCACATGGAAACTGGACTTGAACAAGGACGAAAGCAAATGGAAGGAGGATTGCGGTCGCTAAAATTAGTGGGAGGAGTAAATTCATTATTCTGTCCGGAATGGATGGTCGATATTTGACGATTTCTACATAAAGCATATAAAAATTAATTTACATAACACTGCAAATTCCTATTTTTTAAATTAATCACCTTTCATTAAATCTTCCTCAAGCGTAATCAGAGCATTCATCATTTCCACCGGAGCAGAAATCGTGCTGTGATCCCAGCTAAAGCGAAGGCCCAGAGCTGTTGTGTATAATCCTGTGAAGACCATCCCTGTAAATTTCTGAGTCACCGAGTAGTTCGAAGTTAGAAGGAAAATGTATTGAAACACGGTGTAAACTATATGAATCATTAGCTCGGACTTGTAAATGAAATAGAAAGCTCTCGTTTTTCGGGAAACTATTCGACCTGTCCTCGAGTCGTACAACAATGGGAGGCTCCAAAAGTAAGAAGCTATTTTTAGGTGGCGGACAAGATGAGGAAGAAATGTCGTGTTGAACATTATAAATTGGTTTAAATGTACTTTAACATGAAGCAGAGGAAATCAATATGATTCTACGAATTTGACCTAAGCTTCTAAACTCCAAAGATACTGAAATTGCCTTATGGTGAGTATTACTGAAATTATCTATTGGCTAATTTATCATTCATTCTGGATAAACTCGATTATTTTAATTACAAATTGGAGCAGGATTAATTATCTAGTTAGTCAATAAGGGGAAATATGTACATATATATCATAAGAAAAATCATTTTCTGCTAATTACTTAATTGGCTTTATATACGTAGGTAAATCCAAGGTGCATGATTCCTAAATACTTTCAATTAATTTGAATATTGTTCTGGCTTTAGCAAAATCTCATATTTTAGTACTTATATAAGTATCTAAAGACTGCGAAAACATGCATGCAATTATAGCTAAATTGTTTGCATAGTTTAGTTGTCATGGCCTTTTTCGTAATGAATGACAAGTTAATTGAAATACAAATAAATATGTAGGTAATACAGTCCTTATGGCAGCGATAATTTGTGTTGGTTATCCGCAACTTTGGTGGTTTGATTACTCTTAGAGTTGCTTCTAAATTTATTCCTCGTGTATTGTTGTAAGTAGCTTGTTAAATACTTATTAATTGTAGATTCCTCAGTTATTCAACATATATTATAAATGACTTTATTGGTTGGACTTTGAGTAATGGTAAATACAAACCGTACAGTAGTGTCAGGCTGAAGTAAAAAAAAAAGAGCAAATGATGTTTTTCAAAACTACGACTGAAATTTCGATATTACGTAAATACATGAATACACACATACGTGTGAAACTCATCCTCAGTATGTCTTAAAAAAACACTTCCCATTTCGCAAAAGCTTGTGGCTAGATTTTTTTTAATTATAAATTTTCTTTATTTCTTGGAATTATTTTCTTTGTCCTTTATAAGAATCATTTCATCCTTTGAACTACCAACATTTTGCACATTATTATTATCGCTCTTTCTCCCTGTCACGGCCCAATCTTGCAACTCTGACGTGCCAAATAGAACATAAAAAACTCCACCCAGAGCGCAAATTCCAGCAGAAATATTAAAAAATATCAACCAGTCTTCCCTCCTCCCATTTGAGGTAAGGTAGCTGACCAAAGGAGGGCTCAAGAGTCCGACACTGAACCCAAACGTGTTCATTATCGCGGTCAGCGTCCCAGCAAATTTGGGCGCAAGTTCAAATATGCTGAAGACATAGCCACCCGTGAATGCAAATTCGACAAATATTTGACCCATCGTTATAAGGACGACAGGACCAAGAACATTTCCACTTGGAACGAATCCAATCAATCCCATGGCTAGCGCTGCACCAAATGCACCTGGAAAAAATGATGTCAACATGTCATAAGATGCATCTGGTACCACAGAGGTTAAAGGTTTTCAAGCATTTACCTAGCGAATTGAACCCTTTCCTTAGCACGGTAACTGAACAATAATTCATCTTCCGAATCCAATCAAATGCTATGGCAACTAAGAAATGAGCAATTGTCGTGCACACGAAGGGGATCGCTGACAGAATTCCATTCTATTAATCATACGCAGGTCAAACAAACTGTTAAATACTGCATTACCGTTTATTGTTGGCGTTGCGTATAAATATTTTTGTAAAACCTGTGAAATATCTTGACGCAGTACTTCTTTCGTGTAAGTTGGTAGATACATCCCAATAGAAATGAATACCCAGGTGCAACCAAAATTAGAAATTAACAAAGCCCAGACCCTCACTGAGAATAAAATCTTCATCCATGGAATTACTTGAGGATTCTACAAAATAAAACTCCAAGGCTGCACAAATGTACCGCATATAATTTGATTAATATGCACATAGATACTAACTGTAGGCCCATTAGATGCATTAGTATATTGAACAGCACGGTATTTCTGCACAAATATAATTTCCTCGTTGCCTATTCTCGGATGAGTTTCCGGCCACTCAAAAATTAGAAAAAATGTTGCAACGCACCACAAAAGTCCGAAAATTCCTGCATGCAAGAAATATATTTGCATATAGGTACATATATCAGATTCGACATTTTTATTTATATCCATTTCTTCTTTGTTACCTGCAAAATAAAACAACCCAGGCCATCCTGTATTCTCACAAAAGAATGCAGCAATTGGATATGTCGTGGAAGTAGCAAATGCAAATCCTGAATATGCAATTCCCAGCATGAAACCTCGCTCCAATGCGGCAAACCAACGTGACGAGAGCGTACTTATCGCAGGCATTGCGGCACCCTTAACAAGATTAAGTTCATTATTTGTACTTGCAGATGCATTTATAACAGACAGACTATGTATGCGGACACATTTATAACTTACATTAGATATTCCTTGAGCTAATCGTAGACCAATTAAATAATTTGGTCCCAAGCGTGCCGCCAGAGGTGTAAAGAGGGTAAAAATACTGACCAAAAATCCACTCATGATTAGTGCACGCTTAGCTCCAAACCGATCGGAAAACCAACCCCCAGGAATCTGTATGCAATCATAAACTCAATTATTAACTGTATTATTTGAATTATTTTTAAGCTTTTAAACCTGATTTCATAAATTATTTACTTGAGCAAAAACAAATCCATAGTAGAACGAAGCGAGAATTAAACCTTGAACATCTCTTGACCATTCGAACTCGGCCTAAGAAAGTTTCAAATAGTTAAATGTGTTTACCTCGGTTGTCGTATTTTTATAGGCATTACTTGATCGTCCCCAATTTCATGGGCCATTTCATTTATTGGTGTACTATTATTTGCAACAGACGGTGATTTCACCATGCAAACTAAGCCAAAGTTGATGGTCAGCCTTTGAAACATGAAATTGTACGTTGCCAACATGCACATGATTGCTAATATTATTCGTTCCGATGGGAACACTTTAGCTGAAAAGTAGATAGACACAGAATATATTTGGATTGGAAATACATACGGGATGTAAACTTGAAATGCATACCTTTTAAGGGTTTTGACTTCATGTTCTCCATATTTCTAGCCTATTTTTGGGATAGTTCTAGTAGTATCTAGTTCAGATGAGCGCCTTGCTACGTATTTGTCAACAAACCTGAATGCAAATTACCACCAAATTTGACAGGTGTCTGAAAGGTGTCTGGATAAAGAAATATTTTTTATTCGCACTCGGGATGATACCAGATAATTTGGATTAATTATTTAGATAAATATACCATAAATTTGCATACGTGATCAAATTCAGGTATCCAGTGAGGGAAGAAAGGTGTATTATGAATATTTATCTGATAATCCAGGATAATATTCTGGATTATATTCATGGGTGAAAAGTAATCCTTCCAACAATTCAGTTTTGTTAATAAGTCGCCTTTTAGCAAGTCGCCGACTTGCTAAAATATTTAACAACCCGATGATATTTTGAAACTTCAATCTGTTAAAAATTTTCTAAACGATGATTGATGTCGGCTTCATACTAGAATTTTTGGCTTGTCTCCCGTTCGTAATAAAATATTCCAAAATTGTTCCCCAAAGATACAACTGCACAGAAAATTCCTCTGTTTACGACCTTTGTTCTTGGTCGGAGCTATGTACATGCATAAATATTTACATGCAAGCATACTTGACGTGGCGTGAGCAGTGTTGTGTGCAAATTAACTGGAAATTAAGAGTATTTCTTAATTATCTAATTTATAGCTAAATTAGCTTAATCATCATTGACATAACATTTTGCTATCAAAAATGTATAAATTATTGATTTGTCATATCCGAACAACTTTTGTGATAAAACCCTTGAAATGCACTGTTTCTGTTAAAAACGATAATGAGGAAATGTTTTTGTCATTCTGAGAAAAATATGCACATGTAAATACGTAAATATGTACCTAAAGCACTTATGTATGTAGGTAGCTGTGCTGCAAACTGAAGTATCTACTCTTAATTCTCTACTTGTAAATATCAATACATGAATCAATGTTTGAGACAATTTTGTTCATTTTTACTTAAAAAAATGACAAACTAAATGCTACAAAATGTACTAATTACATACAAAGTAAAACCTATTTAAAATAGGATAAAAGCGTACGTGATAGTGCACACGTTCCTACAAATTTTTTCCCACAGTTTAATTATGGTTGTAAATACTCATATTTAATTTTATTGCAGGTATATCGAACTATTCTCAATTTTTTTACAAGTCAAAGTAATACAATAAAAATAAAGATAATGCATTTAAAGGCTTTTGTTCTTTAATTAATTCGTCATCATGCACAAACGTAACTTACTACCTTGGGTGGTGCTAAGAATGCAGGCAAGCGAAATTGCATGCCGCATTGTTTATTTATGGCAAATCCCAATTGGACACACTCAATGTACAGACTTGAATAGGATTGTAATCCCGTCGTTGTAAAAGTATTTGCACATAGTGTCAATACTTTTTGGGCTTTTGCGTAAAAATATCCATATGCATGTCTCACTCACTGGAATCTATATTTTCATGCCATTACTAGAAAAACTTGATTCATTGCTTGGACCTTGAGAAGAATGGTTGCAATTTTTCGCAGCTAACATAATACAAATTTTTTATTAAACAAATTTAATAATCACCGATTTACAATGACACAAATTGGCACATCAGAGAAAGACTTGCTCAAAGAGGTAATGCTATTTTATCAGACAGAATATGGTGATTATGTACTAAACCCAATATTTTAGGAGGAACTAGACAACGAGAGTGGTCAAAATGGTAAAAGACGGTCCACCACTTCGGAACCATTTGGGAACATTGCGCCTCTTTCTGATATTTTGATGGTTGGAAATTTATCCTCGAACGAATTCCTTCCTTCAGATCTTATCCTTCAAAATGGCGAAAAGCCCACGTTAAAGAAAGAAAAGTGCCAGAAAAGTGGAAATATTCCGGCTTGTGTAGTTATTGGGATTCGGAACGGAGTACACGATTTTATTATTAAGCACAAAACGGTTATAAGATACTTGTTCTATTTCGGGATATTTTTAGGTATAAATTCCTCAAGTAGCTTTAATTTTTAATGCATATGTCCATCTTATAAAGTCTATTGCATTGTTCAGGTTATAACGCCTATCTCGCGGCCGCCGTAGCATACACAATTCGAAACGAGATTAAAATATCTTGGTGTGACGGGCTAGGCTTTTTGATTGCTTTGACGGGAATTGTGTACTGGAGTCTGTTCTATTACATCGTACTGAAAGGAGTTTTTGGAAGTTGGCTACATGTCATGATTGTGCAGCCTGTCAATAAAATCGTCAGGATTGTGTCATTCAACAGGTAGATGTTGCCACGTAATATTTAATTACATAAATATCTAAATCAAAAAGTTGCCTTTTCAGATGGGGAAGTGTCTTAATTGGAATTCTTGGCTTGGCTGCCGTTCTAACGTTTGTGGTCATCGATTGTTGGGACGAACCGCGTAGACTTGTTTCAGCCGGGGGAATATTTATTCTTCTATTCGTTTTATTCATATGTTCCAAACATCCGGGAAATGTTCGATGGCGTCAAGTATTGGCAGGGTTGGGTATGCAGTTTGTGTTTGGAATACTTGTACTGAGGTGGGATGGTGGTCGAATTTTTGTAGAATGCATTAGCGGAAAGGTATGAAATCGAAGAAAGTGATCTACGTAGTCCAATTATATATGCATATGAAGTTATTGGCGGCTACAATCAGATTTCGTAATTTTGGGGACGGAAATAAGCCAAACAGCATTTTTGCATTGAATTGATTTGGCCGCTTCCCAGAATTTTCATAATTATCTTCGGCTGGAATTTTGGGTTTTCGAAACACTGTCAATTTTTGAATTACAAAATAGAAAACGTGTGGCTTAGAATTATGTACTTATGAAAAAATTCGTAATTTAGCAGAACTGAATTTTCCAAAATTCTGCAAGTTGCAAAAAATGTATGAGTTTAAAAAGATGAAATGCATTTCTGAATATTATAGTACATACTTTAATATTCCTACATACATGTTCACATTTTTTAATTGCACAAAAAATTCAAAAATTCACAACATTTTGAAAACAAAGGTTTTGGGAAAACAATAATTTTGAAAATTTGACGAAACTGTTAATTCGCGCATTTAAAAAAGTTCAAAAACTATGGATATATTAATTTTCGTTTCTGATCAATTTAAAATTGGTCCGGTCGAAATCCTCGTGCAGGCGCCAACAACTTCACGCTATGTATAATATTTCATAGTAAATATTTAATTATCTTTAGGTCCACAAATTCCTTTCCTTTGTCAATGAAGGATCAACCTTCATTTACGATTTTGCTGCATCGGGCCAGCTAAAAATTTTAAACTCAACTATGCCAGAATTAATTGGTCACACACTCAGGATTCCGACTACATTTGCATTTACGGTAAGAAAGTTACGCCATAATTCAGAAAATTAAGCCAAACTAAATAAAATACTTGTGCGAATTATTTTTGTTTTAGATTCTATCCACCGTCTTCTTTCTCGGTTTTGTTGTCCAATTATTGTACCACATTGGTGCCATGCTCTGGCTTGTAAGGAAGTTGGGATGGCTGCTTCAGGTTTGTCTCAAATAATACGTGAGTATTTCGAATATTGTGTGCAAATAATTGTGAATCGTTAATAACAGGTTTTGATCGGAACTTCTGCCGCTGAATCCATGAGTGCAGCTGCCAACATATTTCTTGGAATGGTAATTAAGATTTAGATATCTGCTGGAATTTTTTTCAAACTAAAATAATGCCAAATTTGCCATACAGTCAGAATCAGCCCTTCTAATCAAACCCTTCATAAACGATCTAACAAAATCAGAACTTCATGCTGTAATGAGTGGTGGATTTGCAACAATTGCAGGGTTAGCCAATCGTTCACTCTAGTCGTAAATTAATATCATTCAAATTCATCGACATATGTATTAATATTTAGAAGCGTCATGGCTGCTTATATTTCATTCGGGGTAAAAGCGGAATCCGTTTTATCAGCATCTGTCATGGCTGCACCGTGCGCTCTTGCCCTGTCGAAACTTATGTACCCCGAAGTCGAAGAGTCTAGAACGACAGTGAAACACTTGAAGCATGTAAACATCAAGTAAGACGCCGATCAGAATTTCAAGTCTAAACGTTATTTAATGTTTACATTAGATCAACAGTAAATGAAAAATTATTTATTTCAGTAAAACAGGAAACGCTTTAGATTCTGCCGCCAGAGGGGCCGTTGAAGGCGTCACTCTTATCGGGTTCATTATCGCAAACACATTAGCTGTCATAAGTTTTGTCGCTTTAGCGAACGCCGTTTTAGGGTGGTTTGGTTCTCATGTTGGATTCGAGGAACTAACATTTGAGGTAATTTATTTAGCATTTGAAGCAGCACAAATTTGTTTACATAAAGTTTTAGTTAATTCTAAAGTTAACTATTATTTGTATTTATTAGTGGCTTTTAGGCAAAGCATTTATTCCTGTCGCTCTATGCATTGGAGTTGCTCCATCCGAATCGGAGAAAATTGGGCAGCTAATCGGTCTTAAGGTTGTCGTGAATGAATTCCTAGCTTATGGGAAACTGCAACAATGGGTGGCGGATGGCCTCGTGTCGGAACGTTCCCGCCGACTAGCAGAATACTCTTTGTGCGGATTTGCAAATTTTTCCTCCATGGGAATATTGCTGGGGGCGATGGGAGTCATGGCTCCCAGCCGACGCGCTGAGTTGTCACAAATTGTTTGGCGTGCATTAATGACGGGAGCAACTTCTTCCTTTGTCAACGCGTGTGTTGCAGGGACGCTGTTGTCATTCGATGACATAATAATGGACGATAGTTCTGCATCTAACGCGACAGCAACAACTAGTTCAATGTTTCTTCTGTAAAAATAAGCTAAATGTATTTGTTTGTAAATTTATTATGAATTTCTGCTACTGATAGAAGTTGGCATGTATGCATGTATGAAAGTCTATGTGATGCAATCATTTTTACAAAATAAGTAAGTCCATTGCTACAATATTTTACATAGGTATGTACTATTTATTACACTCGATTAATACAACAAAATAAAATGAAAGATTATGTACAGAAAGTTTTTTTTATCTATTTTCTTCGCCGTTTTATTCTCCAGTTTCAATTGGCGAAAGTCATGGTTGTTAAGATTTTGAACAATTAAGCTCTGTGTGCGTCGATCCAATCGATGAAATAGCTGACTTCGGTGTACACGCCCGGTCTACAATTCAGCAAATAAATATTTAGTTACATACAAGTGGTCTAATACAGACCAAACAATTATTTCTAATTTCTATGCATGTAGATATTTACCTATTTGGTGCGGCACAGCCATAACCCCAACTGACGATGCCGGCCAAATAACCTCCATCCACCGCGGCTTGGGGACCGCCAGAATCTCCTTGGCAAGAGTCCTTTCCTCCCTTGATAAGCCCAGCGCAGAGCATTGAAGGGATGATGGTCTCCTCTGGATACAAAGTTTGGCACATGGTGTCATTCACGAAGGGAACTTGGACGAATTGCAGGACGGTGGGGTAAAGACCACCAGATGTGAGTCGACCCCATCCGGAAACAATGGTGTCTCCGGGCGTCTGTTGTTCCTGCGTGGGGAGCGCGATTTCTCCGACGACGTCGTCATACACGAAGGGCGTGTCAGTCGAGAGGTGGAGGAGAGCAATGTCGTTCGCGTATGTGTTCCCATTGTAATTCTCGTGCATGTCGATCCTCGTGACCTGTCTGACCTGCTCCCTCGGTCCGGGAGTAGTTCTCAGATGACGACCAGCGATGACTTGAATGTTGGAGGGAACGTCACCTTCGACGCAATGAGCTGCATAAAAAATCCATGAAATTTAGAATATCACCGTGACAGCTTAGTAGTTGTGACGGTTACACTAGTGTAAAATTTACGGTAAATAAGTATGTATGTACACACTAACCAGCGGTTAGTGCCAAGTTCTGTGCGATAATAGATGCACCGCAGATTGGTGACCCAAATTAAGTCAAGCTCAGTTGGTAAGGAAATTGGCCCACGGCGGCGTCTTCCCCTCCAACAATTCGCCCCCACCAGGAACCCGTAAGGACGACCTTGGATAGGCTACATTTACATACACAAACGAGATTGTGGTCAATAAAGCCAATAGTTTTTCAATTTGCCCGATTTAAGGGACTAGATTATCAAAATCACCTGAAGTGTAGGCGACCAACAGGGTCACCACAACGGTTGCCAACTTCAACATGCTAATGATTTCGCTGAGCTTATAAATTTGGTGATATCTTTGATGGGAAGGGCTGGGTCGAGATGTGATGTCTGAGACAAGCGTTTGGGTCGTATTTATATGGCAGGATTATCATGGGTTTGACATGCAGGGAAATCCTCATTTCGAGAGAGGAACAGGAATTACCCACCAATTTTGCATCTGATCCGCATTAAACAAACATGGTCTTATCAAGTGGACGGATTATCTTTACTCAATGGAGTTTAATGGATGTGACGAAAGAAATTGGAAAACCTGAATAAAATCTAATCTGCATTGCAATTCAATTTTTAATCACTTATCAATATATTGTCTGTCGGACTTTGAATTTCCCCAAGATTTCGATATTTCAAAAATTGGCATTGCATGTAGTATTCATTTGTAATCTCCAAACGTCTGATTATAAAATAATTACATCATAGGTCAAAGTGTGTGCTTTTATAGAACTGAGAAACACGTTGGTTACCAAAATTTGGCGACAATATTTATTAAAGGGTGAGAACCCCTTTATGGAAATGCCTTTATAGTATAGGTAAATTGTAAAATGAAGATTAAATGAATTTCTGAAACGTATTTTTTTCTTAACTGGAGAATAATATGTATATAATAATCTTAATATTGGATTCTACAAAACACTTTGCAAATGCAAAAATGTTTAACTGAAAATCAAAAGCATACAAACCACAAAATATCTAGATAAATCTGTAAATCGAAATTCGTTTTGTGCAATTTATATAGATTTGGACTAGAAAACTTTAGGTTTCCAGAATTGGTGGTCTACATATTTGATTCCTTTCTATTAAAATTTTTTGTATCAAAATCGTCCTAAGATTATCCATAGCGTTGTGATTTGTCACATTGACTATTTTTAAGTTTGTATCGTTGAAAATTATAATATTCATATTTGAGTATGTACATTTGACTTGACCTAATCCTAAGTTTGAGTATTTAGGAGGGAATGTAATGACAAATCTATAATGGGGTGTGACTGAGGTAGAATATTCAGTATGTTAGAAAAATAATCAAATTATTTTGCATTAACTATGCGTATTGCAACATTTATAAATACAAACACAAGTCATAACTTTTGACTCATATGTAAGTTATACATACATACGCATGAAATTAAGATTATGTATACCAAATACCAATAATGTATGTGTACATTGCTATACCACACGGTTACATATTTACATGCATACATATGCAAAATATCATAGGTATCAGTAGCTAAGGCACCTTATCAAACGCTTCTAAAAAATGTTCATATTGAAATTATAGTTGCAAACTTTTAGTAGCATCGAATTATTGGAAAATATATCATAAATATTTTGTGTAAAGATTAGTTAAAGGCATTATTCAAGTTAGGATAATTTAATTGGTAAAAATTGACCAAGGTTGAGCCAATATTCGAAACACGTGGGTCACGTCTTTAACTAATAAGGTGACATTGACGAGACTTCCCGAGACTTCGAGATCTTGGGACATGAAATATTACGTGCATTTAGGTTACATAGAAATGTGAACCATAAAATTCATTACATAGTCTGTAGTCAAAGTGTGTGTAATATTAGCATTTAGGCAAAAAGTAGACCAATATAAATTCCAATTATGACAAATCTTATTTCGGTTATTATACTACTACTGTCACCGTCCTAAAATTTATTGTCCCAATTTTATCAACATTCTGGCCACTAAGGTTCGAAGAGCAGTTACTACACAATTTCGTGGATCATCCCTTATTATACACGAGCCGAATATTTCGCAAGTATTTGTTTTGATCATACATATTAATTCAAAAATGTATACCGCAGGAAGTATGCTAATGCATACATACGCCACCAGTCAAAAGCCAAACTGCTGACGTTGAGCTCTACAACTTCAGTATCAAAATGTCATCCGTAACACCATTAATGTGGACATCTCTCAAAAACTTTCAAAAAATCTGGGTTCATTTGTTTACTTTTCCGGTTGAGTGGGACCCAATAAAACGACAAACCATTTATAATCCACCATCGACTAAATTACTATCTTATTATGTATCAGTTTTTGGCATTCTTCTCAGCGGATTTTTGGCCTGTTTCACTCTTCTGTGCTCACAACTTTTTGGATTTATTTCAATGCCATTTCTTGACCTGGTTATGGCTATTGTTCTCGTATTTGCATGTGGGGCTGGAATACTTGGGGAACTGTTGTGCATCGCTTTCGGTGAGGATTTTGTATTCGCGTACAATTGTTTGCTACAGGTCGAGAGAGAGATGGTTTCAGGTAAATAATTATATGATTTCTAGACGTTCATGAGAAAATATGTATTTATTTACAATCGTCTCTTTTTAGGGATACAAATTTCTAAGAGTTCTTCCCCATTTCGCAAAATCGATGGAAGTCTCGACTTTCTTGGGATAGTTTTAAATATGATCGTCCTAGTCACCGCTAGTTATCCCTTCCCCGCCTTCATCTTTGCCATCTATTTCAAACTCGATGGATTCTTCTTGTTTCATAAGCACTTGATCCTTCCCTTATTTGGGTATCGAAGTGGCTATATTTTGCACGCCCTTCGCTTCTTCCTCCTTGTCCCATGTTTACAAATATCTCGCCTCATCTGCATGATGATCTGTATGGGGATTGTGGCCGGTAATTTGTATTTGGGATGTATACACTATTTGCATAAGACGAGGACTAGGCTGATGAGTCGAAGCAGAAGAGTTCTGAACAAATATTTTCTGGGTTACAGCGTCCTAGAGATCATTTTAGTCATGGAGTCTGAAGGGCTCGGAACTGCAGTACTTTTAAACATGTTTCTTATTTTGGTGAATGGAATCGTGTCCAATTTTTGCTCGCTAAAAATGTTTAACATCATCCCAATTCTGTTTTATCTGTTATTCCCCATGTTGGCCTTGATTAATCTGATTTTGATTAAGATTGTGCTACAAGTTCTCCTCTCGGTGGGGCAAACTACGGAGGGGCTGATAACCAGGTGGAAAATTCTACTGGGTAAGAGCCAGGATAAGAAATACTTGAAAAGAAGACTGAGTGCCAAAAAGGCGATCTATGTCCACGGAGAGTTGTTAGGTTTTAAGTTGTACAAGTGCAAACAGTCGGTAAAACCTGCATATTGTTATGCAATCATGAATTATACTATCACTGTACTCCTCTCAATTGATAATAGGAAAGTCTAGTACACTAATTTCAGATATGTTTTATTATTAATGGACACTTTTATAAGTTAACTACGTATGTGTGTATCATGTTATTTTTCATCCATGAAAACATCGAACATTTTCCATGTTCATGTTCAATTTGTGAGTAGATTGGGGGTATACCTAGCAGAATTAATGTGCCCATTAAATTGTATGTACTTACAATCTGGCATAATATTTTCTCTCCTTATTGTTGAATCTCAATATGCGTCTCACAGAAGGTCTTAAATGCATGCACATATGTATGGATTCATGTTTGTACATACGACGACATACTTTCCCTTTGCCTATCTCTTGCAATAAACTAACTTTGCAATTTTTATCATGATATTGTACGAAGACTTATGCACAATTAGTAGCGAGTGGTTCTAGCCCTTGGAGAATATGTGCAAAGTATCACTGGGAGTAGGAAATTAGATATTTCAAAACTCAACAAATTTCACCAACCATGGAGGACTCATCACATATACAAATATACATAGGTACTTATTATCGTCATTAATTTTTGAATCCAGTTTGATTTGAAATTTTGTGATAATTTTGGAGGTTGTGTAATGAAGCAAATGCAGATTTATGTAACAATTTTTATGCATGTATGTATATGCTAAATATGTCCAATTCTCTTTAATTTGTCTCTGCTAAACTGTGCAATTACATAAGTATGCAAAAACTTGTGCTGAAGTATTAAAGCAAACTATTATGACTTATATACCAATGCATATTTAATCTCAAAAAATTCAAAAAAACATTCATGAACTTTATAAAAATGGCATATTTATTTCCTTCCCAACTTAATAGCTGACCCCGAGGTTGGAATATTTGTAATTTGTAGCCATAATTTGCTTTGCGTAGTACGATGTAGTGTAAAACTTACATACGCAAATGTTCTCGTCATAATTTTTCGTCACAATTGCTTCAGCTTCTCTGACGCGATTGACAATAAACCCCACTCCGACCCACACTCGTCTTTATTACAAAATGTGGTATGAAACTGGGGTTATTTATTTTCGAAAGACCATCAAAGTCATACATAGGAACTCGTTCTTCACATGTTACTATCTGGATTGGAATAAAATAGTTGGAAGAGCTCGGCCCACACCCCCCACAGGGTGGCACTACCGATCTTTCCAACTTTTTGGGGTATTCTTGACGCTGTTAGTTCAACCAGCCCTTTTGATACAGTGCTATCGATTTAAGAAGTCAGATCACCATGAGAAAAAAGATATGAAATCTGTCTGTCTAACCTTCATCTTGACCGTACTTGTTTGGGTTGCACTTCCGTATGTGTGGTTCTTCATCAGGAAATCTGGCCCACCAAGATTTATCAAGTCTTTTGAATCCGTTCTTACTTTGGATAAACAATTTCAAGGTATAGTTTTATTATAATTCGATAATTCCCATTTCCCCATCTATCTATGTATGTACATAGGAGCGGTACATAAAGGGTGTGATCGATTTTCGGAGATTTTGACCCCTACCTCACTGGTATGACCCATATTCCCCATGTTATAATTACCATGGGAAGGATAGACGCCTTGACCCCTACCCCCACTAAAATCGATCAATGATCTCTGCACATAGCAAACTAAAAAAAATACTCCATCTTTCAGAAATCTTCCGCAAAGCAAGCAGATACCACGTGGTGACTCGAATTTTCGCAAATATCACCAAAATTATCTATATCTTCACCTTCGGACTTAACTACATTGTCCCAACTCTCATCGTTTGGGTTTCATTTTCAAAGCACAGCCCAATTTACCTTTTTGCACGGGCTACTTACGATTACGAGGAACATCACGGGAGACTGATATCAGTCCCTGTCAACACCATATTGTCACTGGGAACTAGCTTTTCTGCTAATGTAATTACCTCCGCCTACGAAATCTGTCTGGTTTCCATTGCCAATGGTATCCTCGTTTTATATTTGTGGAGCGTTTACCTTTACATGCACGTTAGTAGTGGAAATCATACAAAAAGTAATTCAAAGGCTGTTTTGCCCTTCGACACGGCCATCCGAATTTATAAGAATCTCGGTGTCATGACCGTTCTTCAGGTGGACCTGGCTAAAGATTTAATCACGCCAATCTTGCACCATTTCTACATCGTCATCTGGTCTACAATTTCCCTATATTACTTGTTACTTCAGTTCATGCCAGGGAAGGAAGTATCGCTGGTGGTCTCGGCCTGTTGCATCTGCATGATAATTGGTGGCATTGTCATAGAAATGTTTGCAATTTGTTTTGTAGCAAACGCTTGCAAGATGTCGAAAAAGTTTATTCGGATCATGAAGTATACGCACGGGAGGAACAGATACAGACGTAAGGTTATGAGAGGATTGTTGCCAAACTCGATAAATTTAGAGTTTCTAGGCTCTGCTGAAACGATGCATAATGGGATCGGGAGGGACTACTTTCTCCAATATGTGGAGAGAGTAACGGATAGTACGGTAAGTTTATTGTTAGCTAAAAGCAGTGTGTAACGTTGGCTATAGATTTTATTTCGAAGGCAAAAGCAATTTTAGTACCTATTCAAATTACTTACATTTTTAACCTAAACGATAATTGAGATGACCCTAACTATTAGAAATGTCGATGAATATTGAACATGAACTATGATATTTAACCATTGATACTGTTGATATTTTGTACAACTATTCACTTGTGTATAAAACATAATTATTCAAATCGTGAAAGCTTAACCTATTGCTATAGTAGATTACTATTCCCTGGTAAATAAAGATGTATAAAGCACATAAATATAAACATATCATCTTTAACTCTCTTATATCTAACAATACACATACATACTTATGTAAATGCAAATGCATATATAGATAGGTATTTATTGCATCACCTGGGATATGATGTTTCGAGTGGATAAACCTCTCCTCATGATGTTATTATTTCATAATTAAACAGGTAGATATTACGGATAAATCTGTACTCCATATGTACATGCAATGCCAATTTTTGAAATATCGAAATCTTGGGGAAATTCAAAGTCCGACAGACAATATATTGATAAGTGATTAAAAATTGAATTGCAATGCAGATTAGATTTTATTCAGGTTTTCCAATTTCTTTCGTCACATCCATTAAACTCCATTGAGTAAAGACAATCCGTCCACTTGATAAGACCATGTTTGTTTATTGCGGATCAGATGCAAAATTGGTGGGTAATTCCTGTTCCTCTCACGAAATGAGGATTTCCCTGCATGTCAAACCCATGATAATCCTGCCATATAAATACGACCCAAACGCTTGTCTCAGACATCACATCTCCAACCAGTCCTTCCCATCAACGATAGCACCATTTTTATAAGCTCAGCAAAATCATTAGCATGTTGAAGTTGGCAACCGTTGTGGTGACCCTGTTGGTCGCCTCCACTTCAGTTAATTTTGATAATCTACTCTCTCAAATGGGGCAAATTGAAACTATTGGCTCTATTGACCATAATTTCCTTTGTGTATGTAAATGTAGCCTATCCAAGGTCATCCTTAAGGGTTCCTGGTGGGGGCCGAATTGTTGGAGGCGAGGGTGTGTAGTTATTTATCGTGTAAATATTACACCACTAGTGTAACCGTCAAATCTACTAAGCTGTCACGGTGATATTCTAAATTCCATGCATTCTGTGACAGCTCATTGCGTCGAAGGTGACGTTCCCTCTAACATTCAGGTCATCGCTGGTCGACATCTGAGAACAACTCCCGGACCGAGGGAGCAGGTCAGACAGGTCACGAAGATCGACATGCACGAGAATTACAATGAGAACACATACGCGAATGACATTGCTCTCCTCCACCTCTCGACTGACACGCCCTTCGTGTACGACGACATTGTCGGAGAAATCGCGCTCCCCACGCAGGAACAACAGACGCCCGGAGACACCATTGTTTCCGGATGGGGCCGACTCACATCTGGTGGCCTTTACCCCACCGTCCTGCAGTACGTCCAAGTTCCCTTCGTGAATGACACGATGTGCCAAACTCTGTGTCCAGAGGAGACCATCATCCCTTCAATGCTCTGCGCTGGGCTTATCGAGGGAGGAAAGGACTCTTGCCAAGGAGATTCTGGCGGTCCCCAAGCCGCGGTGGATGGAGGTTATTTGGCCGGGATTGTCAGTTGGGGATATGGCTGTGCTGCTCCGAACAGGTAATAAATGTATATCTACAGTGTAGATTCTACACGCGTAAAAATAGTGAAAGTTTTTAGCTTTAACTATTTATTGGTGAAATTGTAGACCGGGCGTGTACACTGAGGTCAGCTATTTCATCGATTGGATAGACGCACACAGAGCTTAATTGTTCAAAATCTTAACAACCATGACTTTCAATTTATGAAGCGAGAATAGAACGAGACAAATTTACGAAAAAGAGATAAATAACTTTCTGTACCCACAATCTTTAATTTTATTTTGTTGTATTAATCGAGAGGAATAAATTGCATGTAAAATATTATAGCAATGGATTTACATATGCGTATATGCTAACATCAAGGCTAGTATTCACTAAATACTAGCCTTGGAGATGCTCATAAACGAATTTTTAAGCTAACATTTTTTTCGACTTTGCGAACATTTTTTGCTAGGGTACCTAACGATGCTAACTCGTGATGACTACTTCTAAATTTTTAAAAACTAATTAGTTTTAATCCAGCTTTAATATAAAGTTGGATAAGTTAATTTATGAATTGCAAGGACAAGCTACATTATAGGTCAAACGTGGGTAAATAAGTTACATATCTCAGATTCATACGCGACGTAATATATAATTCGTCAGCAGGGTACATAAATATATAGAGAAAATTACCTTTCCAATTTGCAATATAATTGTCTTGGTCTAATCAAGTATTCCATTATTTTGCTAAAATGACGCAAATGTTCTAAATATAAATATATACATACAAATTTGAATATGTCACAAGCTACTCCATCTTTGTAGCCCACTATATGTACTTACATCGAATATTTCTCCCTCACCCATGCTTGTCAATCTATCCCAATTCAAAATGTATAGCAAAATATATTTTATCGTGTGCATGTGTACAATAAATTTGGCACATCCGATCTCATCCCCCATCACACGTGTCATCGACTATTTTGAAAATAATCCCGTAATTTTCAACTTTATTCAACTAAAATCGCCTAATACAAAACAAAGTCCTCTTTCAAACATTTTACATCACCAAAAAAATATTCCCACGACACTTTCCACAATTCCACTCCGCGCCATCGTTTCAAACTCTAATAACAAACCCGAACCCAGCAATTCACACTATAAATTCACAACAGCCTCCGCAGCATTCCTCCTCTTCCATGGAACAACTCCAACATATAAAAACAACGACATAGATTTTTCTTCACACAGACGAAATCTTGCCTTAATCCAGCAATTTGGAATAAATCTGAACCCAACTCATTTCTTTCTTTGCTACGGAGACAATCAAAGTCAAAATTACTTTGGTGTCCAGAACTTGATATTCCAACGGTGGCCAGTCCGTTCATATTTTTGGGTAGTCAACCACTCAGAGTACCCAGCGACGATTGCCATGATATCCTTGACCTCACCACAACATTCTCCAATCCTCGATATCACTGATCCCATGTCCAACACCGGCCCAGAAAACTTGAGACGGATCGCATCTTCCAATCACCGCAACTTTCACCGTGGTCACATCAGAGCGTTAGGTATACCATCAGTACGTCCAAAACCAGTCATCCATTGCCCATCATTTAAAGGACTGATGGAATTCGGTCGAGAATACTGGCTCGACCCTCTCTGCCTCTACGCTGAACTCGAGCATAAGCACAATTTCACGGCAAACAGGGGCGCCCAATATCTGGGCGAGTTCACAAAAACCGACAGGCTCGTCTCGTCCGAGGACAGGTTTTATAATTTTGACAAATCTGGTGGCGTCACATCTACGGCGTCCCCACATGCAACGGTCACCTACAAATACAAATTTATAATCCTCTCCTTCTACCCCATCCCACAGATGAACCCATTCACGATGTTGTCACCGTTCGACTCTTACACCTGGGCAATGCTAATCCTCACATTTCACCTTATTTTCCTCTGCTTCTACAGAATTTGCCGCACCACAGGAACACACTTTCGGGATACATTTCTCTTCATGTCCTCCACCATGTTTTCACAACTCGACGACAAATTAGGGTACAGAATCTTTCGCCAGTTTTGGCTGACTTCTTGTCTCACGACGATCCTTGCCATGAGCTACTTCATGCTCAGAAACTTTTATGAGGGTGCCATATTTTCCAACATGGCTGTTCGAGAGCTGCCCGTCGTTCCCAGTACGGTGTTAGATATATTGGAATCTAAAATGCATATTGCATGCGCGTCAGGAAAAATAGGCTTTGTCGCAGGTTTACCTGTCGCATTGATAAATTTTATGAAATTGAATCACACAAATCCTCATACGCGAGCCATCGTATCCATGAAAGAGAGAATGGTTCCCAGATATTCTTACATGAGCGATGCATTTTTCGCTTATGCCATAGCAACACGAGAAAATCGCTCGGAAACGTGGGAATACAATGTAAACTTGCGGCATTTACAAGAGGATGGGAGGTCTTTTGCAATATTTGGGCTAGAACATGACGCCGTTGCGTTGAGTAAGTGTGTAGAAAGTCTGGTTCCAGGGGCTGTTGCGATTTATCCACTCGAAGCAGAGTTGCCCTTCGATCAACAGGTTTTTTACTATGGGAGCAGAAACTTTGTGTATGAAATCTTGTCAAATAGTCTCAGCCAGTTGGAAGAAGCTGGAATATTTTCCAGGTGGAGGAATATAATTATCAAGTATTCGACTCTATTTGACCTGGCGACCATTGGGAAATATATCATGTTTTATCCGAGCATATCAAATAAAATTCCAAAAGTTAGGTCAGCATTTCTGTTTACTCCGTCCGCAGTGGCTGAAAAGACTGCAAATGACTTGTTTCCCGAAGCGGCACAAGTTTCGGTGAGAACAATTCTAATACCGGGAACCATTTGTTGGTTTGCATTGATTATTCCGACCTTAGGTTTTTGCATTGCTTGGTTAAATGTCTTATCTAAAAAACTGCGAACTTCATTAAAAAGCGGGATATTAACTACATATGTACATATGCTTTCGTAATATTTGAAACAGTCTCAAATAATCAACTAAAATTTTTAACAACCAGTATTCTAGAATATGTACATATAGAATTCATGTGTGTGCATATGTTCATTAATTTGAAGCAGGTTATTCTTAAAGTATACCCACAAATTTGAAAGTATGTATGTGTATGTACCTATGTAATAGCGTTCCAGAACAATTGCGACTTTGCACAGTACATTTGTATGTTGTAAATGAATAAGCGCTTTATGAGTAGGACAACACACAGGTATAATTTAAAAAATAATTGCCGGCTAGTTTATGCTTACATGGACGTAATTAAGCAGAAATATATAAGATTAAGAAACATTCATTAACGATGTAATCACTATTGTAAACGTGTTTGAACTAGACTATCGTGAATCTGAACGTGTACATAACTTATAGTACTAATCCCAGTAAAATGACATGGTTTATATAAATATGTATATACGTGTATTTGTCGAAATATTAACATGGCGTTTCTTAATTATTTTATTCATTTTTTAGCTTTGTTATGAATCACATCGCCATGATGACCAAATATATTCACCTGCTTATTTTACTTACATTAATTTTTAGTAGTGCAAATATAGTTAACACTTCCGAAATCTCAGCTTTCACCCGCATAAGAGACTACTTCATTAAAGAATCCGTTATCTATGAGTTCATAGATTTCACTATTTCCAATCATTCAAATACCGCATTGTTAAAAAGCCAACGACAATCCACATTTCCAGACCAGTTAATAAAATGTACACACATTCACTTTCCCACATTCAACATAACAAATCATTACTACAATCTTGAAATCAATCCAGGATGCAAAAAATTTTCTGCAATCACAGTCGCATTTATTTCCATCCTTGATGGCACCAAAGATTTGCTAACTGACCTGAAAAACATCAAATACCGAGTTTTTATTCAGTACTACGCAACAAACTTAAACCCGGAACATCTCATATTTTACTTTGGAGAAAGTCCAGAGAATAATCGGCTATACTTTCGACAACTAATTTCTAACAGAAGATGGACGGTAACATCAACATTCTGGCTGATTGGCGAACCCTCGTCTGAAAATGTGTCCCTGGTGTGCACATCATGCTCTCACTTTGATCTAATATTGTCCATGGAGGGACAAACTAGAAGAAGCTTCGATATGGAACTTATAAAAAAATTAAACCGAAACTTTCACCACTGTCAAGTCTGGGCTGACGGAGAGATCACTAGCAAATATCTGGCCCAACGGTATTGTCACTCATTTCAAACTTTGCTTCATGCCAGTGTGCACTACAAGTTGGAATCGCTTTGTCTTTATTACGAATTGGAATCGAAACATAATTTCACCACGACAATCTCAGGGTATCATTACTTAGGTTCGTTCTTAAAGTTGGCAGTGCACACTTCCACTGCAAACAATTTGTGGATGTTTGACCCAAAGCCTGGAGTAAGGAATACTCCGTCATCACACGCTGGTTTCGTAAATTCGTACAAATTTGGGTTAATTGTGAAAGATCCGGTCGCACAGATGGATCCTTACACGATGTTGACGCCCTTCGATATTTGGACGTGGTCCGGACATATTGTAACATTTATCGTCATGACGCTATGTTTTTATAAAGTATGCGGAAGTTGTGACCCCAATGAGAAAAATGGTCGATTTGGGAAAACTATTTTTTGGATGGTTTCCATCCTTCTGATCAAAATTGATGACCATTTGGGTGGAAAACTGTTTCGTAAACCGTTCTGGCTAACGTCCTGCCTCACAACGATTTTAGCCACAGTTTACTTCTTGCTGGGAAATCTTTACGAGGGTGCCATCTTTTCAAGTCTGACGACGCAAGAATTGCCCACATTTCCGCGAACTATGCAGGAACTGGTGAAGTCAAAGTTTGGCATTGCGTTTGCCGGAGAAAGAGTTGACTACTGGAATTCAATGAATTTTCTATACGCTAATTATATCACTAATGAGACCAGGGCTAATTATGTTCTTCTACGAAATCGAATGTTTGTCACTTTTTTGCCGAACGATGCATATTTCGCATATTTCATTGCGACACCAGTCAATAAGACGAGGGGTCACTATAAACCGCTAGACCCGGACGGTACTTTCGCCATATTTGGAGCCCACCATGCCGTCACTTCTTTATCTAAATGCCTGGAATTACTACTAAATGGAACAGTCGCCGTAAGCTTGGACGAGATTGAAGTGCATGTTAAAAAACATACTCTTTTCTACGGATCGAGAAACTCAGCAGACGTTCTAGTTAAAACCCTGTCTCAACTCGAGGAATCAGGAATTTATCCGAGGTGGAGAACCATTGTGGAAAAATATGCGATTTTGCACGAGTTTGGAAAAGTTCATAATTACGACCTTTTTAAAGCTCATGGGTTGAAGAAGTATCAAAATATTAATGCTGCCTATGTTTTCACACCCCAAGCAGTGGAGGACAGGATTTCTGCAAAGTTGTTTCCCGAGGCGGTCCAAGTTTCTCTGAAAACAGTAATAATTCCTGTCGTCGTGTGCATGATTTCGTTATCATTTCCTTCTTTGTACTTTTTATTGATGTGGCTAAAGTTTGGATTCGTGAAGTTTTGGGTTTGTATTAAAAATAACAAGTGTAAAAATATGAAGAAAATGAACAAGGTGACAAGCCTTCAAGTATGTTCTGTTAGCATAGAAGATACATAAATATGTATGTAGGTAATTATATTAGGTGGGGCTACGTACAATTGTGCCTAAAAATAGATAATGCTAATTGTAAGTACAGGGTTTATTATGTCATTTCAAAATGTTGAATCATTCCAATTCCACCCCCGATTGATTATATCTTGATAAAAACACCCGATTCATTATAATTGTTATTGTCAACATGTAAACTAATCAAAATTGTGGGCATTAATTCCAGACATGATAATAAAAAAAGCTACGTATTCATCTATGCATAAATAAATTTACGATAACTATGTAAATATATCATAACACTAGTTTGATTAATTAACGAGTATGGACTAGATAAATAAATATATGAATACTTTATGACGCACACATAATTATTTTAAATTTCTGAACAAAGTTGAGATACAGATATTTTATCTAATGGTTCGCATTAAATTATATACACAATTAAAACGTTATGCAAAATTCCCGATTAATCAGAATCACAAGGCTAAATAAGAACACAAATATTATCTTCATGGGTATGGAACTCCTCCCATCGTACAATTCTCCATCGCACTCGCCTTTCCCCTAAAAATCTGACTGAAATGCACATTTCTAAAGACATTCCCCCCTCCTTCTGCCATCACATCGCCGCAATGGCTTTTCCTGACCACCGTTCCTCTAGACGAGCGATCCGTTAACAGACCCCAATCCTCCAAGTCACGCCTCAAACCTGTGCAATGTAGGTGACTAATCTCATTATTCTCCCCACTCCTGACCCAAACAACTTTCACATTTTCCCCCACATCCGGATTCCTAACAAATGTAAATTTCTTAATAAAATTCCTCATCGATCCCTTATCAATCTTAATCCCGTGCGTAACTCGGTCACAGTCAAGATCCATAATCCTATTATTATTGCCATACAAGTCTATCCCAAGCCAAGAAATATTCCTCAGTCTGACCTGGTTAATTCTATTTTCCATCCCCTTAACATACACGCCATGAACTGCGTGTAAAAATTCACACTCTTGCAAAGTATTTGAACTACCCAGGATTTTGACGGAATTATGAGCATGCGTCACACAAACTTTATGCAACGTATTTTCCTCGCCTTTAATTTTCACGCCCATATATTGGACAAATAGACCTTGTTGTTCTGAGCCTTTAACTTCTATTGACAAGTTTGTGACGAGACACTTATCCGCAGAAATTAGCAGAGCGGGTAACAGGCTATTTTTCGGGAGCGGTGTAAACTTCAGGATCGTTTTGCCGCCGATCCCACCTTCGAGAACGACACGTTTTGTCTTAATTTCAAACCTGCCAAGATATACCCCACCCGCAATTTGAATTAATTCGCCCTCGGCCGCATTAAGTAACATCTTTTTTAGCTGGGTCGAATTAGTGGCTAATTTTGCTCTCGAGTTTATCGTAATATCGCGAATATTCATCTGCCTCGTGTAGGGAGAGTCTTTGCTGGTCAGACGAGAAATTAGGTTTCTGACGTTATCTAGGACGAAATGGTCTTGAAGATCGCTGTAATCATGATTCAGACTCAACTTTTCGAAGCGTCGTTGAAGTTTTTCGACACTCATCGGGTGCAAAAGTTCGTACAAGACAAGACCTAGTGAATGAAGTTCCGACTTTATATTGTAGGTGGAAGATGTCGTTCCTGGAGCTTGATAAAGTTTAGAAAGTGGACTTGAATGAGGACTTGCTGACAGATTTCCATCCCTGAAGGCGTTGTTATTTGCATCTGGTTCAAGCTTACAGCATAATCCGAAGTCTCCGATTTTTATGGGGAGGGTGAATTCACCTGAAAATTGTACAACAGTTTTTGTCGAAGACAGATTTTATAAGTGGTGAAGTAATATATCCAATTAAGAGTAAATATGCAATAATTGCCTACCATTTTGGCTATATGAAAACATAATGTTTTCCGGTTTCAAGTCCCGATGCAATATTCCTGCACCATATCCGTGCAAAAATTTTAAAGCGTCCAACATCCCTCTCGCAACAGAGGCCTGCATTGAGCTGATCTCATATAATGTGAACTTTTCAATTTTTCCCCGTTTGGATAGCGATTCTGTTTGCACTTCTTGAACCCAGTTTAACCAATCTCGTAATGTTGGACCACACAGCTCCATTTCGAAACAGATAGCTCTGATCACGGTGTGTCTGTCAATATCTCTAGTTCTCTTATTAAGTTGTTCAGTTAAGAATTTTGGTGCAGTTTTTAAGTCTCCACAACACGAAGTGAGACGACTTAGCATCGTCTTTGTTATCGTATCATCCCAACAAGCAGTCATCTTAATGACATTTTCATGATGTATTTCTTTAAGTGCGTCATACTCGCGGCCGCGAACCCTGTCCATCCGTTCTTGTAACCTATAGAGAAGATAAAATGTGCAAAATATATAGTCTGTCAGCAAAATACCTACTTAATATCAGCAAAATAAGCACTGGTAAATGTTAAAATCAACTCTATTAACTTGCCTCTCAGGCCTCTCTTCATAATCCAGAAATGTCACTTTTATTGCAGTGTTGTCCTTAGATCTAAAAACTAACCCGTTTGCACCAATTCCTAAAAGTTTGGGTTTGTGTCCTTCCCCAAATAGCTTAGAATCCAAGAGATCCATTATACAAATTTGAGGAAATATTTGCACCAAGCATAAAGCGAGAACCTCGTTCGTAAGTTCATGGTAAAATAACAAAGCTTATCAAATTCGGGGCAAATTTAAGTGTCATTCTGCATTGAACTTGGTTTAGTATTGATTTTGCTAAATACATGATAAATGATATTAGTATTAGTAAGCACTTGACATTGTCAGGTGCAAATTATGTTCACATAGTTAAATGGTTAGCCCCGGCCCAGAAATGCACCCGTAATATTGCTTAAACGTGTTTTTGTTTTATACACGTACATTGTTTTATCGTTTTCCTATGTATTCCTACGTTTTATTTACTGCGCAACTAATTACTGCTTTTATCCTTAGTTGATCGAGAAGTCCATGAAATATTCACTGAATTGCCCATCGAAAGATGGATGATGTAACGACTTATGTAATACGACAAAATATGTCCATCATCATCGATATTTTTAATTTAAATTACAAACTCACATGACATTTATATTGGAACAGGTAATTTGTCCAACGTTTCGATATAACGAATTAAATTAGTCACGTACTGAACATTTGATTGATTAGTCAAAAACAAATTTGCATTGGCGAGTAGCTTCAGAATGTTCGCATAAACAAAGCAGAGGCAAAGTTTTCCTTATCAAACATCAATGGACATACATATAACCCCATTTGTACATCACATTGGTATGAACGTGAAAAGTATACGTACATACATGAAAGTTATGACCTTGGGTTATTATGTACGTAGTAAAAGAATTCACCGTTACCTTTGTTCACATTTGGCGTAAATGAATTAAAATTGTTTTCTCACTGAATTTCAAGCTTTTCATTCGTCGGGTATTTGTTAACAAGAACAATTTAATGTCCAATATGAACTCATTGGTAGAATAATTATTCACATGGTCCATTTAATGCAATGACTAATATAAATATGTACACTTAATTTGATCAGTAAATGAACTGATTTTATTTTTAAACGAAAACAACATTATTTTCACAACATATCACTGCCTCATTCTAGTCTACAAACTTAACTATCGTCTTATCAGCCATATAACTCGTCAAGTTCAAAACCGTCCCAGAATTTCATTCTATCAACTATTACTTCCACCATGACTGGATCTTCATGCAATTCCAACCATTTAACATTTTCTGTCTTGCCACCCACTTCCGTCCACTCGTTTCCATTCTCTAAAATGAATGAGTACCCATCCGTGACATCGCCCCTTGACCCAAACCTCACCCAAGTATCTACCATCACTTGAGAAAAACCAGCATCCGATGAATTCAGAGAGATGTAGGGAAATTTACTCCAAGGAAACAAATACCGAACTTCGGCTGCATGCGAGACACCATCGTAAGCTTTCTCCTTCCCATTTTCTTCATCAGTTTTTGATTCGTACGTCAACCAGTAGAGATAAACCGGGCTCTTACTGTTCCTCGAGTGCATGGTCGCCGTGACGAAGGTCGGATGAACCCAACATCGGTCTGACATCATGTCGACAAACGCTTCCTTATTCTCAACTCCAATTTCCGTATTCTGACCAAAGTAAAACTCTCTAATTTTCTGAATCACTTCGTCCGATCCGTTTTCGAATTGCAGTAAAAGTGGGGCGATCCTCCCCCAATACTCGTTCAGGTATCGAACTGCGGTAGAATTTTGCAAGATTTTTGCAGCTGGGCCCATTTCGGCAGAATTGGCTCCCAAAACCCAAGCTACATCGGTAACAATCTTCCCATCTCGAAGGAGATTCAATGGCGTATCTGGTAGGAAAACGTTGCTCAAGTTGCCATCTTCTGGAACAAAGTCGACCGTAAGTCCCGTTAGTTCAGAACTCTGAGCGTCCAAAATGTTGATCGCGTCGGCGTCTTTTAAACATTGGACAAGTTTTTTAGTATCCTCTAAATCCGTGCAGTTTAACTGCTCCCCAATTTCCTCCACTATTTTACGCGGATTTGGTGGCACAACGTTGCACCCCAACGCAGACCCACTCTGAGTAATCGCTCCATGAAATAAATCTTTGCTCATGGGTGAATAAATATGAGCATGAATTGACATTCCGCCCGAGCTGTTACCAAACAAGGTCACATTTTTCTTGTTTCCTCCGAACTTGGAAATATGTTTCTGGACCCATTTTAGCGCCATTGTTTGATCCTTAAACCCCATATTTCCTGATATGACGCCATCTTCCGTGTTCAGATTTCCAAACGAACCGACGCGATATTCAGGGAGGACGATTACGACGTCGTGGTCTTGAAAATATTCGCCTCCATACACGCTGGCACTCCCACCTATGAATGCTCCGCCAAATATATAAAACATTACTGGGAGGAGGACATCATCTTCGGAATTACGTCTCCTCCCGCCACGTCGACGCGAGGATGATGTCGAACTTGGAGGCAGTTTTGGCGTGTAAACGGTGAGGTACAAGCAGTCTTCTGACCCTCTGGCTTCGTCAGATCCTATCTTTCTTTGGATGCATCTTTCCCCCGGGGTTGTCGCGTCACGGACTCCTACTCGTGATATACATACAAAAGTATTAGCTAATATGCATAATAATATTATTTACTCCCAAGAAACTATCACTGCCTCACCTTGCCATCCTTCCTCGTATTGTTCTGGTGGCTCAAACCGCAATTTTCCCACGGGTGGTTTTCCAAAAGGAAGGTTGTAGAACGCATAGTATTTGCGTCCTCCTCGAGACTTTAGCAGCTTTCCTTTAAGTCTTCCATGTTCAGTCGTTATTGTCGTCGTATTCGTGTCTCTCTCTTGTCCACGTGCTCGCTGAGTCAGAATCTGATTTTGTCCATTGTTGGATGGACCAAGGAAAACGATGGAGAAAATAATAACCAGTGTAACACAAAGTACAGAAATTATTGGGAGGAAAATGTTCTTTGAGCAGAAGGGAGATTTGGAATTATCTTGTGAATCCAGATCAACATAATCAGAACGACGAGTATTAAATTGATTCATGATTGAAGACAGAATGGTTTTTAGTTCATGGAATCGTACTTATTTTCAACACTTCCTGACGCTGTCTTGAGTAAAACTACATACTTAAATATCAGTATTACTGTGTTTATGTGTGTATGTTTGAATGGCTGGTTTGTACGGCCCGTGTCATGAGCCTTTAGCTCGTGACGCTTTATCTCGTGAAAAAGTTTATTTGATTTTACTTTGGTTTAATCAACAGATAAGAGGTTCAGGTGCGAGACTATTGACAAGTGTGGGAACTCATTGTTTCACCAATAATAAAACAATAGTGCATACATATCAAATGATCCAGGAGAGAAACAGACTTCATACATGCTGAATTAATCGGTTATATTATACTGTAGTGAATGCTTGATAAGTTACTAAATATGATGAGTTTTATATGAGTACTGGTGAATAATATGATGTGATTTTTATACTTCACCTGGGCCAGCAGAAGAATATCAGGTAAACCTGTTTAAGTTATGATTGGTTATAATCCGGAACTAAGAAAATATTTAAGAAAACAAATTATTATCTGCAACGTGTATTGGTTCCAAATTATGTATTAATGCATATATTTACATATACTTGTGTTATCCATATGGGTCTAGGCATAATGAGGACAAACCAGTATATTAATGCCAGAATACGGATAAAGAAATAGACAAAACAAATCTCAATACTGTAAAATTAGGATACGAAAGGTGAACATTTTCATTTATTTTCTATATTGTGCTCTTTAGTTTTCTGTCCATATTCCTTTATCCGTATTTTACCAATTCTTGTACCACTTTCTCATCCTTATGCCCGGAACCCATCCATACACTGTGCATTACAGATGCAATACATACATATTCTAATTTTCAGAATTAATTGCAAAACTTCTCTGCTTAATTCATTTCGAAAGTTCCCATGTCCAAAAAGTCGTTGGGGTCGGCATCCGGATACAACACCTCGCCGTCCTCACCTTTGGCTTCGAGCAGATTCCTCTTGGCTAGCTGGATGAATCCATTATGATTGGCAGCAGCTCGGCTGTACGGACTAATAAATGAGACCAAGCCCCACGAATATCCACGCTCTTTGCATAGCAACTTCGCTCTCCTGTAAATCTCGGTGGCCAATCCTTGCCGACCAAACTGCTCGTCAACCGAAACCCCGAAGAAATGAGGGTATTCGTCCAGGTTGTAGCGGTCGTGAAGTTTACAGTCGTCCACAATTTCGAAGTAAAATGTGATGATTCCTTTGCAGATACGGCTAGTGACTGGGAAAGGCTCTACCGGTTTGTTGCGCTTTTCCAGGGTGATGATACGACACCCAGCAATCTATTTGTATCAGCAGAATTGTATGCTTTGAGTCAGTAATCCTAAGCGTAACTTTGTAAACTTAACAATATAATGAGTACTTTCTGATACCTTCCCCGTCGCCTTGTCCTCCGCATAAAAACTGAGGTTGCTTCCATTGTTGAGAATATTAACGAAAATGAGGTGCATCTCGTGATCCATGTCTTTCGTGAACCCGATGCGATAGAACGCCTTGTAGTAGAAGCAATCCTTCAAATGGGCCAAAATCTTTTCATGATCTTCGGGTTGTATCATTTTAAAGACAAAATTCCCCCATTCGCCGACTATTGAGTTGCTCGTCATTGTGACCACGTGTATTTTCTGGTGGATGAGAAACAAAAATAGTAAATTATTATAGACAAAAGGTTTGAAATAGATAATAAAAACTTTACTGGATTTATGACTTTTCTTGTTTGAGAGGAATGCAGTGATTTGTGTGCAAGGGTTTATCAAGGACTAAGATATGTAACTTACCACAAGCAGAATTTAATACCATGGCCTACTACCCGACTGGTCTGGACAGAATTTATGCATCTCAATTAAGCCAAGTAGTTGTAGTTAAGGTTGGCACTGCAGATATATTTTTTATTTAACTGAACACAGATACGAGATAAATGCGAGACTGGATTGCTGCGATTAAACCCATGCTTGTTTTTTTAGTAATCTGTCAATGAGCCGTTTGCTATAACAAATTGCACTCGCCACTAAATATTTGCGCAATGTTGTCTGATTTATGCATGCTTGTATATTGAACATAACTTTGGTCAGCAGTTATTATTGGTGAAGTCTTACATAAGTACAAATGACAACTGGGCAGCCTTGAAAGTAGTGTTTGAGAATCACAATGGTGATTTCATCTATGTAAATAGATGTAATATGTAGATATGTACATACATATATCCCTGTCTGCATAATTGTACATGTCTGGAAAATTTTAAGCACGACAATTCAGGGGTCAATTTACTTGTTAATTTAAATTATATTATATTTTTTGCGATAAAACTGTCCCTGTGTTTTGCACAATTACATATTCATTGTAATCTGTAAGCAACAAAATACTTGAAAATAAGCATGTTTGAATATTGGTAAGATTGATCCGTAAAGATTACTCAAATATATATTTATCAGGGCGCATAAAACTTTTTGTCGTCCTTGCTTTCACCTAAAAGCATGGCATTTTTCTAAAAAAAATAAAAGTTGGAAAATTGCATTCAATTTTCCCATGAATTTGGTTGTCAACTAAATTTTATTAAAATTCTGCACCAACGACCGCATCTGAAATATATGACCCCCATTGATGACCAATGATTGGTCAACCACTTCCCCGATCTTACCAATTTTTCAACGTTATCCCTCATCTTCAGAGATGATTATTTCATTTCTGATATGTGGTTGTCAACCATATTTATGGGAAATTTGCGTGCAATTCGCGGCGATTAATGGTGTTAAATGGCCTGAAAATTTAAAATCAAAACCGTGCAATTCAAATCACCTCAAGCATCAGATTATGCGATGTTACAAATTCCATTTACTTCTCACGTTTGTAAATTGGCTACAAACCTGGCCTTGATTTGACACTCATCCTCAGCCCTCAATCACTCTCATAATAATTTGAAAATTCGGTTTCCATGATTGCGTAACCGTTATTAGATACATGGGGCAGCCATAGATGCAAAAGTTATAACTTAAAATTATGACGTATAACTTAACTTATAATTATAAATAATATGGCGTTTCTATGACTTTCTATTATATAAAGCACCTGCCCTGCAGTACTAGTACGAGTTTTAGTAGATACAACTTTCTAACATTCGGATATTTATGCATGCACATATGTATGTATGCATTTATATTCATGTAATCAGTGATACACATGGAAATGTCAATTTTCACGGTCAAGTTTGGTTCTATTGGTTTTCACATCTATTCAGCTAATCCGACCAAGAGTTAGGAAAGTTTGCATATACAGATCGCAACTATCCTCATGCTTACTTGTTTATTTTTTACGCAGCTTCAATACACTAATGAAGAGTTACATAAATGAATATGAAAAAGGCTCGGCTCTATTTACTGACATGTCTCTACAGATACTCGTATGTGCATACTTATTCCATCATATTAACAAATAAACCGCTAAACGCATATAACGAAGGGGTGAAACCAAGTACTTTATAAAATTAAATTTGACAAATATTTTTAATAAAGTGTTCTCTATATTGATTTTTCAAAAATTAAGTTTTTTGGATTTATAGAATATGTATCAAGTTTAACATTTGGTGACATTTTTGTGACCATTTGACCCTAACAGGTGTGACCTACAGTGCCCATTTTTTAACTTAACCTATGCCTTTATATGAAGTATTTATGTATATTCCAAATTTCAATTCAATACTGACTCGTACATTAAACTTAAGTTATCGCACGCCGTCGCACGGACAGACGGACGGACATATCAATCTTATAAAGGGGTTTCACCCCTTAACAAATACAAGAAATAAATGCATACAAGAATTTTAGATTAGTTATTTCCATTACTTACAGCTAAAGGAAGGTGATAAACAGCATATCCACCTATATACTTGAAAATAATTTGAATTAAGATATTAGATACATGGGGCAGCCATGGACACATAACTTATAACTTAAAATTATGACGCATGACTTATTTTATAAGTTATAAGTCATAGAAACGTCCGACGTATAAGTTTTGCGTCCATAGCTGCCCATGTATCTTTCAATTTTTAGCAGAGATTATTTTTCATCGTCAATAACACCATCATTCTTATAACTATTTACATACACAAAGTAGCGTCTAATTCACCTGTGGAGAATCCATGAATCCGTTTGTATATACACGTACTTCTGTACATATGTACACACATACACACAACGATGGAGAGCCTACTGCTTGACCGGAATAAGATACTTTGGATTGTAATTTTGCATATATACTTTAAACAAATTTGTATTTTATTACCCCTAACCGTAAATAAAATGAATAAAATTGGTTGCATAAATTGATATGTTTATTATAGAGGGCTCACCGCAACGGAATTTATTTAAATTAACAAAATTTTAAGATGGAACTTCCCCACCAGACAAATCCTTGGCGTAATCGGCCAAACCTCCAAGTCGTTGAAGGATTCCTAGGAAAAGGATATTTCGGAAAAGTGTGGAGGGCCCAGCATTCCATAGACAAAAGCGAATATGCCATAAAGCAAATTAGTCTCCAGAAAACCATCCAATATTTTGAGGGAGATGTGAGCAAATTATTACGCGAAGTTGTCCACCTCGCCAGAATCAATTTCAATTCTGAGCACATCGTAAAGTATCACGATTGCTGGAGTGAAGGACCCCACAGCGATGAATTAGTAAAGCCAAGCCCAAATCTGGACAAGCTCTTAGAAAACCCAAGTTATACTTCTTACTCAGAAATGGAAGATGACACGTATATTTTTATCCAAATGGAAATGTGTCACGGAACTTTGGACACTTGGTTAAAGAATTTGGACCCACAAAAGAGGCGCTTTCAATATAAAGAAGAAATTTACCAAATTTTACTCCACCTCGTTACTGCATTAAAGAGTATCCATGAACAAAATATTATCCATCGGGACTTGAAACCTGACAATATATTTTACAAGAAAATACTACCTCAAAATAAATTAATATGGAAAATTGGGGATTTTGGACTGTCCATTTCGCATAAAACAAGCACTGAGAATCAAACTACTAGTGCTTTATCAGTTAAAGGCAACGTCCGTTACGCCAGTCCCGAAAAAAACAACAAATTTAACTACGACGCAAAATCAGACGTCTTTAGCCTCGGATTGGTCTTTGTCGAGATATTGTACCCCTTCCAGTCGACTCTGGAGAGAAACACAATTTTCGACAGTATCCGGGATAACACAGATTGGACACATGTATCAAAGCTTATCGAGACAAGATATTCACCAGTCGTAGCTAAAATTTTGAAGGAAATGCTTCATAGTGATCCCAACGTGAGATGGAATATCGGACAAGTTTGGAAGCTACTCAGCAAACGGGACCAAGAAGTAAATTTGGTTTCAAAAATATTTTTCCGAGTTTTTTTGCTAATTTGCAAATGTTTCCTTATTTCGTAGCAAGATAGCTCACTGGAATCCTCAGGAGCTACAGCTTCTTGGGAACAGAAGCACAATTCGGACCTTAGTACCGAGCCTCTCCTAAATTTTTGCGTGCCCTCAGCGTCGCGTAAATTCATTGGGAGGGAGCAGGAGCTTAACGTTTTAAAAAACTTACTGAAAACCACTTTCCCAATAATCGTCGACGGCCCGAGTGGCATTGGAAAAACTGAAATCCTAAAACAATTTGTGCACATATTACAAAAGGAAGTCAAACATAACAAAATTACAGATAAACGGGTCAAGTCGTACTTCATTTGGTTGGAGGCCGGTAGCCCAGGAATTTTCCGATGTTCGGTCATCCATTTGGCAAAGCAAGCAGGAATTCTTAACCAACATGTACCAGCCCCACGCAATTGTAATGTCAATTTGCATGTCATGAGTACCATTGCAAAGGGTCTAATCGTACTGATATTTTTCTATTTTAAGCCGAGAAACCCACGGTTGAACTACTATTAGAAATCGTGTCCAAAGTAAGAGACGGAAGTATTGTCCTCATCCTGGATGGCGTCAGAGATAGCATCAATCCTGTAAATGCTAGCAGTGCAAAAAAACTTTACATGGAACTGGAAAATCTGGTAAATTCGTTGACAAAAGATTTTTACCAGCGACAACAAACCGGTGGATTGAATAATTTGTTATCGGTAATAATTTCAACCACGCACAATTATCTCCCCGCAGTCGACAAGCTCCTCAAATTTGGAAAATGCTTACATCTCCAAGAGCTACATGAGAACGACGTGGTCAACTTTGTCAAACATAACATAAACGTAGAATCCAATCCCGAGAATTCCATCAAATTATGTTCACTACTTCATTGTCATCCTCTGCCTTTACAACTTGCTCATGGCTACATTCAATATCAGCAGAAGATCAATTTCAATTTCGAGGTTGCAAAATATCTCGAGTTATTTGCGGAGATGGAAAACAGCAACACAATTGAATACGAGGAGGTTACAAATTAATTTAGTATATTCCACGCTTTTCTTGAGAAGCATAATTCTCGCGCAAGCATTGCAATGAACGTATTGTAAATTAATTAACATCCTGATTACTGATTAATTTGAATTTCAGGACGAAATATCCATCCACTTAGGCGACCCAGTCTCTCTATCCCTTCTGATAACATGCTCCCTCACGCTGGGAGCCCTCATTAGGCCCCCAATTGACTCAGAAATTTATCTAGAAGCTGTTCAACTTCTCCAATTCTTGATCTACCTCCACCCCCGGAAGGACATAACATTTAATTTCTTGCTCTTCCTCCGACTGGGGAAGGAGGACAAGAGAGACAGAAACGCTATTATGGTCAGATCTCGAAGGGCAACCCAAATTCAGACATCTCTCACCCTATTAATCGACTGTCATCTCATTACACAAACCTACCCTCCGCCAGACGAGTATGGAAACGTGAACCAGAAAAAGACAACGCTTCACGTCAACCAGTACATTTCTTGGGCTGTCCGAACACTTCTCGGTCTAGATGAAGAGATCGAAACGCTAACCCAACTTCTCAACACATATGTGAAGAATGACCCATATTTTTATCAGTTTTCCGGTTTCGGCGGAGAGGAAAACGTGCACGGACATTATATCAGTCTTTGTTCCCACGCTACCCGACATGACACCTTGATCTCTCAGTTTCCGTACCTGTTTCAAAAGTTTTACAACGTCCACTTCGAAATAGGGTTAGAATCTCTAGAACAATCGGGCTCTGAAATTATCGCCACATTAACCAGAGTACTCGGCGCGAGTAATATTTACACGTTAAACGTTGAGTTTAATCGAGCTATTGCGAAAGAGTTGGATCTCCTTGACCTGGGCGTGGAATCTTTGGAAAATGTGGTGAAAGTTGTCACCCTGTACAGAAAAATATTGGAGAGACAGTCAAAGAGATTTGGAGACAGTCACGAATTGACGCAACGCGTCCTGTTTGCCTTAAGCAAATTAATATTTAACAATTATTCCAGAGATGACGAAATATTTTCCTTGGAGGAAGCGGTTCAGTTAAGGGTTCGCATGAAAAATGGTAAAAAAGCAGACATGGGAGACAGCGATGTGTTTCACCATGCCATGAAATACAGTGGGAGGAGTAGAATTATTCGGGCGATGGAAAAAGGGGAGCAAATCGAGATATCGTCCAAGTTCTCTTTACAACATGAATTATTGGAAGTATTGGCTTATTCGAGGATATTAGTTGAAAATGGAAATAGTGATAAGGCACGACTACTCTTGGAAGATGTAATCGAACCGTTTCAAAATTGGGCTGAACCACTCCCCAGTTTTTTACACGAGGAGGAAAATAAGACGCACAGTGGCGAAAAGTGATAATTTATGTAGTAAATTAATTTTGGTGAAAATAAAATAAAGCAATTAATTTTGTATCTCAAACCTTATAACATTTTTCCGAATTAATTAAATCTTAGCTAAATTTGGTAAGACGCATACAAAAAGTGCACACAATATGCAAAATATTGATGCTCGTGCATACTTATAAATATTAAAATTTATAACAACATTTAATTAATGCGGTCGTTGAAACGTGTGCTTTGTGAAATTTGAGCTGAACCAATGCAGAACAAAGTAACTAAATATCTATAATCGAACGGACGAATTAATTTATTATCAATTTATCCTCATCCAATATGGATGACATCAGGCCCACCTGACACTCCATGTCGTTCTTCTACCTGGTTCGCAATTTTTATTTTAGCCACTGCAAAACTGATGGACCGAGATAAATCAATGGATTCAATGAATTTTGCTGCAACATAATAGGTACACATTTAATCTAGGGAGTAAGGACGAGGATGAGACTCACTGTAAACTGTAGAATCCGGATTTAAAGGCCAATGGTCAACGTTTCGAACCTTCGTTCTTCTTCAGGACCGGAGGGAGAATTTTTGGTGACTGCTCACGGGAAGAACCAATGTGAGTGTGATGTGACACTCACATTGGTTCTTCCCGTGAGCAGTCACCAAAAATTCTCCCTCCGGTCCTGAAGAAGAACGAAGGTTCGAAACGTTGACCATTGGCCTTTAAATCCGGATTCTACAGTTTACAGTGAGTCTCATCCTCGTCCTTACTCCTTATTATACTCACTCACACATTTTACCAACACATTTAATCTACATGCATGCATGCATATAAACGTATTACTGCATTCAAACAAATAATAATCAAACCGGCACGCAATGCAATCTTTTATTTTACATTACTTTTCATTCCAATTTTTTGCAATGTTTGATATTTTACATCGCTGCCTCCGGCCTAGCTGCCAAATAGGCCCGAATCTTATCCACATTAAATACTGCTTCCTTCAATTTTCTCAAGTGTGGATATCCGTCGAGCACCTTCGGCCCCACAGAAGTTTCCAAGCGCTCCAATTTGTCCGCTATGAAGATATCTGCCCAGGTCAAATTCTTCCCAACCAGAAAATTTCCACCGTTCTCGTTCTAATTTAAGCAAAGAATATAATTTTAGTAGGTACAACTAAACGTCGTCATTTAAAAGCTGAACACGTAAATATGTGCTTGCCTTGAGCATGTTCAGCTTTTTCAGTTTTGCAGGCATGTGCACCTTGACAAAGGCCTCCTTTGCTTTTGCCTTCTTATCGGCGTCCGGCTCAAAGACAAACTTGACCCATTCTGAAAAATATTTGAAATTAAATCATAAAAATCTTATCCATTCGCTTAAACCTTACCCGCAAACAAATCCACCACGGCATCCACGTACTCATCACATTTGGCCGCCTCCCATTCGTTGGCCCCCGTCAGGGAAAATTTCCTTGCAATGTAGCGACAAATGGCGACGGATTGAGCGAGCGTTTGTCGCGTGGTGGCAGAGTTGATTTCCAACGTGGGAAGTTGTCCCCATGGTGTCCCTATTTTTTATGAAAATGAAAAAATTTTAATTTCATTAACCTTTCTAAGTAGTCAAATTTTTGCCTACCATCCTTCACACCAGGCCAGTCCTCGTTGCTAATCCGTTCGTCGGTAAACTTTACACCGGCTGCAGCGAAGAGAAGACGGATCTAAATATTTGTATGCACGTTAAATTTTAAATAAGTAAATGCTACATTTAAGAAGAAACGATTATGCAAATTACATCTTCCCCTCTGCCCCGCATGTTAAAGTATTTTAGTTTGTAGGTCATAGTTTAGTAGGTTTTTGCGGTCTATTAATGAACGATTAATGATGGTTCGAGACGGACTGGGGAAATTAATTGGCTTTCCAGTTACACATAATCGAAGGTTGGATGCATTGTTTTTATCGTGATTTATGTATGATTGCATTATCTTCTCAGGAATTGTGCTCTTCAAAACTAACATTGTCATCTATTGAAACTGTCCAATGAAAAAGAGAGGAGGCTCGATGAGCGTGTGTACTGTGTATTCGCTTAATGTGTGCACGTAATGCATAATGGGTGTCACGAACCATCATCAATTTCTGTCCCATAATCGACCCTCTCACGATTAGGAGACTGTACAGAGCTAAACGCTTCGCTTTGCAAACAGTGGATTTGCTTGCAGGCGTTCTTTTGTTTGCAAAATACACAAAATAATCTCGATGCATTAAGTTAATCCTGTAAAGCTGAAGGTAAATAAAATAAAACTTCCGGAAATTTTAGACTGCAAATTATTTAAACTTGTCGTTTGGTTTTTGCAAAAAAAGGGTAAAGATGGGTTAGTTAATTTAATAGAGTTTACAGTGGGACTCGATATGTACAAAAAATATTCTACGAAATATTTATGTACAACTTGTGCACATATTCAACAATTTTTTTCGTCTTCTGACCCTTTCTCATCTCATCATTCTGCAAGAGCAAAATGTGCAAAAACTCGGCTCAACTATTCCAGTCGTGTCCAAGTCAAGCCCGAGTCAACAAGTCGTCTCACTTTCCTCTCTCTCTCTCTCGTCTCACTACTTAACTCCTCGAATACTCAACGGATAAAATTGAGACTGGATAAAAAAAACAGGATTTTCAAGTTCTGCAATTTTTATTCTAAATTGTTACTTCGTTTTGTGAAGTTTTTATCATTTGCAAATACTCGGTGATCCGTAAAACTGCACGTGCTGCATGCAGTGGCGAAATCCATCTAGCTAAATTTTGCCAGATTTATGTTGATTGTCATCGCCACAGTTATTTCCTCCATTTCGGGTGAGTATATTGAATCCAGATCATATTTATTGGACCATATCTCACAAATATAATGACAATGTTGACCCACTCAGCTCATCTTTTATTTATGGAGAGGGTATTATTAGACGTGCCACCTTTTGTTAAGGGGTAATTACATAAATAAGTATGCAATTTATTTCAAGCGGTGACGACGTCATGCCGCGATCAGACTTCTCCACAAGCTAAATTATAATGCTTGCAACATAATATTTCTAAAAATGGGTACGGGGGTCAAAGTTCGACCCTACGCAAAAAAACTACCCAATTCAACTTCACATTCATACCGTTTTCTGAAGTATAGAAATATTTCCAACAAGTATTTTGCTTTCCTACTGACGAAAAATTCCGTGCGGTCAGGTGTAGAGGTTTGATGATTACTTTGATTATGAGCAAGGCACGAAAATAAATATAAAAGCAAACAGTAAACGGTGGTGAAAAGAGGGCAAGGCATGAATAAAAGATTATGAGTGGTTGGGCTCCGTAGGTGGTTGGTTGTTTAGTGTTTCGAGTCAGGTTTGGAATGCGAATTCAGGATTTCAATTTGAGATTGGTGTGGATATTGTGGTGGAAATTGGCAGAAATTGAGTCAGTGTATTTTCTCCATTATGTATTGATTTTCGTGTAGGGGTCCTTGTGCTCATCAGCTTTATAAATAAGACACTCTGCTTATTTACCCTTTAAATCTATTCTTGCCATACTTATAATCAAATTTACGCCGGGAAATGATAACGTGGGTTGAACAATGGGTCACCGGAAATTTAAACCAAGTAGCACATCGTGACACAGCTCAGACATTATTATCAAAATATGTATCCTAAAATGCACAAAATAAGGAGCCAGGCTGGGCATGAAATTTTCCCATCCATCAAAAAAGTCGGGCAAAAATTCAATTTCCTATTTCAAACACGCCATTTGAATAATGAATTATGATAACCTGATTTTCCTCCATTCTTCGTGGTCTTGTTGTCATAAACAAATTTTTGCAAGCATACATAAACAATAACTTGCAAGACAACATTTCGGTTAATGACGCATTTATACAACAAAAGTGCTAATTGTCTTTGTGCCTTCTTGGCTCCCAACCAATAAAACCACGACAACACAACAGAACCACTAAAAGACCGCACAGATTCACGAATTTGCAATCACATATGTATAAGCAAACTAGTTGTTATATAATACAAACGAAAAGAGAGCCGGTAATTTAACGTTATTAATTTAATTTTTAACACAAATCTGCACCTTAGAGATGTTCATATGAAATGAGGAATACGCAAAAAAAACTAGACTACTCTCCACATGCCGAGCTGAAGGTCAAGTTCATATGTATGCAATATCCAGATCAAAATCTCTCAGTTTCCTGTTGGTGAAGTATAATGACGGATGAGGAGTGATAATAATTTCAAGTTTAATATCTCTTTGGTAGAAATTATACATGATTTGTGGTCTCCCTTCTCTTAGTGTCATTTTCGTTGAAGGGAGATTAGCAAAGATTAGCATGAAATGTAGTGTTTGATTGCCTGTCAATGGTTTTTTTATGTCGAATGGAAATTTTATTTGCGGCCAGATTGAAGTGTTCTTTGTTTTAATGATGACATGTTTCGTATAAGTAATTGCACTTCAAGAATTAAAATATCCAGCAGAGATGAGATGACTCATTCTTTCATTACATACACATCTCACGCCTCCATCACAATACACATAGTTTTACACACGCATAACTACTGACATGTTACAAGCATACACTTTTTGCAAACAAAAAGCCACAATGCAATATATGTACGAAGAAAAATCTATAGCACGAAAAGAATAAACAACGCATAATTATTTGCAGGTGTGCAAAGGAATGAACAATTTCTCTGAATAAGAAATGATGGATCTTTCCACCCGTTCCTCACTAGAAATCGGGCACAATCTCAACTTTACCGAACTTCTGGACACGGCTGCTGCCGAAGCTGCTGCGGATGATTTCGAACGTAAATAATTTTTCAACCTGACATTGGTTTTCACCACGAAAATACTTACATTGACATTGACTAAACAGGTGCAGCCCAACTTCACATCGCTGCTGCGGAATACGCGTGCAATGTCACGAATGAGTTGACATCTTACAACAACGCTTCAGGTGATGCATAAACATCCGAGAAATGCCGGAAATTGAATTTAATGATGTGATGGAGCGTGTCGGATTTCTTCCGGCATTTGATATCAATCAATCTATTTATAGTTTGATACAATAGACAAGATGCCGATTTTTGCATGCCTGTGGAAATGCCTTCTATTTTGTGCAAATTATAATTTGCGAACTTTGTGGTTGTAACAGGGACCTACTGCCCCAGAACCTTTGATGGCTGGTCATGTTGGAATGAGACCCCGGCAGGTGTAACTGCATTCGCCCCTTGTCCCTGGTTTATCTCAGGGTTTGATCCCAACTGTGAGTACATTTTCTTGTCTTCTTTCCAGGATAAATGTCCCACATAAAATCCGTCTAGTGTAAATGGAGACGTTTATCTCCCTGTTCTGTTCTTTGGTGGCGAGGGAGGCATTCAGAAATGCACATCAAAGAGTGAAACACAAAAGCAATACCAATTCAATTTGAAATTTTATCAGGTGAAAATAGCTTTTGATGTAAAAATAAAGAAGTCGTGCATACAGAGCATTACGTCTTCGTGCACTTTTATTGGGTTGTAGAAAATAACCATTGTTTTATTATATAAGATTCAAATGGGTGTAAGCAAATGGAACAATTTCAAATGATGGGTGTGGGTCGTTCCAGATAATAAATTGCTGTGTTGTGCAACTTGAATGTTGACCTCCGATTTTTGGATGGTTTTCGGCCAGCTTTTAACTTAATTAAAACTACGTACGAATTATTATTCCAATCTCGTTTGGACTGCACCTTCTGCAAAATTTGTGATTCGGAAACTAAATAAAAACAACCCAAAAGCAAGCCGAAACTGGCGTATGCGGACTTTAGAGTTAAAGTAAAAGTCAGGGGAAAGCCTGTGGGGAACATTAAGCTAAATGAGTGAAAGAGGCGGAAAGGGTGTGATCCATTTTAATTAAGGAGTCTCTTTAAGGACGCAAGTCGGATGAGCAAAGTCAACACCTTTGTGTGCTGCCAACATAAAGGGTTTGCAAACCCTTTATTTGCACTGCATTGACGGGATTATTAAATATTTTATGAGAATTTGCACGTGTTGGCTGTAGAATTTATGAACAAAGCAAGTCAAAGGGAAGGAGCTCGCAGATTGATCATGCATGCATTTAGATACAGCACGAGTTGTATTCATGACGCGAGGATGAAGTGTGATTGATGCTTCTTAATTAAAAGCGAAAAGTTGTTTAATTACGCTTTAATAGTCGACATTTAATTACTTATTAGGACAAATTGTGTCCTTTGTAGTCTTGATTTGATTTAGAAGTTGTATCTGTTTTGCTTGTTGAATCTAAAAATTCATCAAACTATTTTATACTTGTATTCATTTGAATCGACAATTTAAGAATCCAGAAATGTATTTACTTCCAGCAAAAAAAGTTGTGTATTATAAATTGGAAAAGTTTGACAATTAAAATTCCTTCAGTTTTTATTAACGATCGAGAGAAATGCACGCAATAATATGCGTCCCGTAACAAAACCTTTCTGCAAAAAAAGACGGAAAAGAGACGGAAATCCAACGGGACCGTATGCATTGAATCGGTCAGTACCGTGGAACAATTACCGAATAGGGCGTCATATATCTGCAAGTGAATACGAGGTGGAAATGAACGTGCAGCAGCAGTAATAGAATGTCATGTCACTTTGGCTAATTAACCACTGAATTAATTTGCCATTTGGCCCAGGAAGAATTACACGGATTGTCTATGCATTGTGCCAAAGTGAATCTGGCTTAATGGAAAGTGCTCTATGGAATTATTAGATTTGGAAACTTGTACTACTGTTTTGTCCAGCTAGTTGTTGCAGTGGGTTGAAAGGGGACTAGTAACAAGTACTGTATTGGATGAGGCATTAAGCATTGTTCTGTTTGAGGAAGCGATACCGTGAAATCTTCTTGATGTAATTTTAAATCTCATATTACCCCAAAATGGATTTTGTATACAATTACGGAATTAGTGATGACTTTCTAGTGCATATGCACATAAAGTTAAAATCATCATTGCATAACATCACGACGTTGAACCGCAAGAAATATTTCTTATTTCTGCGAGAAATCTGCGTGTCATTCCGAGGGCTTAGAAAATGTTTATATTCTTTTGATTTATTCTTGTCTTCGAGCCATACAACTTGTATAATTCAATTCTATTGGGACTCGAGAATTGGGTTGGATGGAACATGGAATGAACTGCAGAGGTCTTGGGCAAGTGATTTGCATAAGAACACTGCTGTTAAATACGAACCGTTGTGTAGTTTACTAAGCGAAGTCTCAATTCCAACATCGATTCAGAAATTGTAGGATTAAGATTTTAAATTACTTTTTTTGTACGATTGGTAGAAAAGTTAATCAGCTCGTGCATATAATAGACTGCAAATACATACAAACTCTGCGGAGAGAATGACGACTGGATTAAAGAAAATGTAAATTCAATGCCGAAATCGAAATGGGAATGTACCCCAACATTTCTGTTGTATTTTTTATAGTACAAGCCCACAAAGAGTGCCTGGAGGACGGATCTTGGTTTCGCCATCCAGAGTCCAACGTTACATGGTCCAATTACACAAAGTAAGAAATTGTGAGATTATTATTAACATTTTAGTCGATGTGAGTACAAATTCTATGGTTTTGCTATTTCTTCCTCTAGTTGCGTCAACTATGCAGAATATCAGGTAAATATATATGTACTAAAAATACTAAATTTTTGTATTGATCTATAAGACCATGCTCACAGTCCGTGAAAGTACATGTTCTACTGTTTCGAGTTCAACGAAGTTATTGACAATAAGCAGCTTACCAAACTGTAGAAATTATTATTTGTACGTTTTCTGCTCACACGCAGCTACTTACGACGCACACAAGCATTTGACTCGTATATATGTAAAAAGCTTAACTTTATATCTTGTGAACGAGAAGAATTTCTCTCCATACATAACTTTCCCTTCTTCAATTTCATCCCAAGTGACAAAGTATGTTTGAACACAGATTTTCTCGGAATTTTGAACATTGCATTCTTCTTATTCTTTGCCCGACTGATTTTATATTTCATTTACTTTAATCAAATAATGTAACCAAACCACTGTGGTCGTAAAACAGAGTGCTGCTGCTGCAAGCTCGTGAGATTTGAAATTCGTTTCTGATGCCAAAAACATTTTTATGTACCGTCGCCTACAGAATCTCTTCAAATTTTGAACGTATTTTCACTGCGAGAATGACAAATTGTAGCCGAGAAACGAGTAATATTTTATGAGAATTTCTCCGCTTTAGTTTAATTGGGCTTAAAAAAAGAGAGATTATACAGACGTAATTCCCTACAGAACGTCATAAAATATTTATTTGGTAGGAAAGATGTCTGTTTTGCGTTAATTTTTAAATCTCGCTTTTCCTTTGTCTTACGAGAAGCGAGATTTTTATTTCCTTCGTGTAGGGCAAATCTTTTTCTATGTAATTGCTGAGTAATTGAACAAGCGTGAAGAAGAAGCACATATTTAATGCATTCGTTCAATTATTTATTTCAACCCACGCTAAAGTGCTCCAGGTGAAGTTTTATGATGGAAACCTTTTACAGAGTTATGTAAGTGGAAATTGGTTATCCCAACGTCTCGGAACACTTTGCTGTCTAGTTATTTTAAAATAAAGATCTTCAAGCTGTGCAAGTAGACTGGAAATAGGTCAGAGGACAATTTTGACAGGGGTTCAAAAAGATGAAAAGTTTTTGAAACTATCCGACTGCTCGGTTGTCGGTTCGTGTGGTCAGGTTGGCAATTATTTATTAGTTGAAGTCAGACATATGTATGTAGATTATTTGAGGAAATTGGAAAATCTATAGGTTAAACTTATATAATCATATCACAGCATGGAATCATTACAACATCGAGATCTTTGCCAACTCTCCACCCACATATTTACATAGATACATACACAAAACCACGCAGTTTCATAAGATGTCTTTCTAACATCCGGACATATAAATGTGTAGTCATTGTGATTCACACGTATAGATAGCTGGTTACCTAAGTTGTTTGGCTGGCATAGATATTATTCGGTGCGATACGTGTGAGTGTGGTTGGTGGTGGAATATCTAAATTTAGTTTTTCTCTGATTAAAACCAAACGCACAATGTATGTAAATAGTTTTACTCACTTTGATCTTGCTAATAACAAGAAGTTCACTGATTAAGAGGATTTTTAAGCGAACCATTTATGAATTTAAATATGGAGAATGTTATTTTTCATATTTTTTTGTATACACTGGTAAAATTGAACCAAATGCCTGTTTTTTTCGTTGAGCCAAACCACCCGTGGATTTCAATCTCCGTAGGAACAAAACAATTCGCCTGAGATGACATACATACGCAGGTGTACGAGCATTTGATCAATTCTTGAATATCATATTGCATTTTATATGCAAAAAATAATCAAAAAAATAACCGAAGCTCCAAAAGCCAACAATAACATGACATATACATATTCATACCGTGAAATCAAGCCCACACAAAGTCTTACATTTACGAAAAAAATATGGCTTGATTGATTTGACAACTGTCAAGATTGGTTGACTGCGAATCTTGATTCTGAGAAGTTGTTCAAGGCCCCCGGAAAATAGAGAGATATTTGGAATCATTTATTATTGTCATTTGTGAGAGAGCGATATGTAAATATGCATGTACATAAATACATATGTATATTTTTGCATATGTGCAAATGCATGTTCATAAATACGTATCTGCACATCTTGGTTTTTAATTGTGTGGGAGTTGGTGATATATCTATCTTCGTACATTTGCGCAAATTCATTTACATATACTGTTACATGCTCATAATGTTATTTTTTAATTTAATTTAACTAATTTCAATCGTGCAACATAAAATTGTATCATAGCTTTCTACTCTTTACAGCGTTACAAAAACGTGGTGACAATATACGAGGTTGGTTATCTCGTCTCTCTGTGTGCTCTCGTCATATCTCTCATCATTTTCTTCTCATTTCGGTAACTTATTCATTTCAACTCTTCAACAAACAATATGCAAACTATACTATTGTCGTCATATTTTTAGCTCACTGCAATGTACTCGAGTCCGAATTCACAAGCATCTCTTCTTCTCCTTCATCATGAACAACTCTCTCTGGCTCATTTGGTACAGATTCGTCGTAAACGAGTCAAAACCAGTAAACGAACTAAATCAGGTTTGAAATTAATATACGATTCCACAAACTTATCTTTTAATATATCCGCTTAATTGAGTTATGCAACTGCAACTACTGTTATGAAACTACAATTTCAGATGGGGTGCGCCTTTCTCCACCTCTTTGTCCACTACTTTCTCGTGGCCAACTACTTCTGGATGTTCGTGGAGGGCTTTTTCCTGCACACTCTGCTCGTGTACGCTTTCACCAGGGCAGAGTCCACCATGATGAAAGGCTTTTACGCGTTCGGATGGGTCGGACCGTCCATTCCACTCACGCTCTACGCCGTCTTTCGCTCCAGGGACGAGGACCACAACGAACAAAAAGAGTACGTATTTAAATATGTACATATGCATTTAAGTGCTTCAACATTTCAGCAGAAATTCTACAATGATTTTTCCCATGAATTCGTGCGTGGTGATTGCACTTCGAATGTGGGAGCGTGTGGCAATAATTAAAAGCCAGCACATAAACAAAACCGGTGGCCCTCCCACATTTGGCGAAGAATGAAACACATTTCATGATTTATTTGGAAACTTGAGAGAAAGTTAAGTACCGTGGAAGAGCTGTAACATTCATTCCTTCTTTAGACGAATTATATACATTTTGTGCTCCGCTTTCTCAAAATTCGTGCAGTTTACACTACAGTCACTAGAATCAGCAGCGAATAGCTTTTACCATCTTTGTTCTTATGCATGAGATAGTTTTTCATGAAAAAAAGCATTCACACTTTCAAAGAAAAAAACTTTCATTTATTTCACAAAGTTTATTGCTCAGTTTTACCTAAAAACTTTTACGAGTGTGATAATTTGGATAAATTTTAGCTTAGAATTAAAAAAATGTGAATAGGAAGTGTGAACAGATTGAAAGTAAAATAAATGCGAGATAAGACAAATTTCATTGAAAAGGGCAATGATACGATGAGAAAGACTGCACTCGTATTTCTATGCGGATCGATTCGTCGTTAATCAATGTCAATGTTGTTGGGATGGTTTAAGTCAGTCGGAGGATTTCTAAATTTCAACGCACATCTGCAGTTTTTGCATAGCATTTGCGGATAAGCACGAGCAGCGTAAGACAAATGGAAGGCTAAACCAAGAGATTAAGTTTCTTGGTCTGAGAAATGTTTAATACTCAAGTCAGTGAAATGGGGGGAAGTGTTTAGTTTATGGATTTCATTTTTTATGTAGGTGCATTATTTATTGAGCCGATCTTCAACGTGAAAAGCAATAATATTTTTAGATCGGTCGACTTATGCAAAGCAAAGTGCTAAAGCATGTGGAGGTTTTTGGTCGATTTAAGCTCAAAAGTATTCCTGCGAATGCTACTAAACCTTTCATGTGAAATCCCAACGGATGCAACACAGCGAAACTAAAATTCAACCTCATTTATTATCTCACCACCCACAAGTAGCAAACTTTTTATATAATTTCACATCTAATTAATCCAATTAAGCCATCGAGCTGCCACCTCAAATTTCACATCTAACTTTCCCACAAAGCTTAACAAGGCATTCTTTGTCTGCTTGTAGCTGCTGGATCAACGAGTCCAAGTGGACGCTGTTCCTCTCCGTCCCCGTTTGCATCTGTCTCATCGTGAGCCTCGCCTTCCTCATCAACATTCTCCGCGTCCTCCTCATCAAGCTTAACGCCAATCGAAGGACCTTGTCGACCAATAATCGAAGAGAATCCTCCGTGGCCGAAAATACGGCTTCGTTACGCAAGGTAATTAATACATTGCGACAGTTTTGAGGGCTTTTGTGGTGTGCGCGGTGGAGGTTAAGTGGTTTTGGGATCTGTCACTGCTTACAACTTATGCAACAAGGCTTCTCAGGAGCTCGAAATATGGTGACAAAATCTATAAAATCTTCATCCTTCCAATCTATTCGAGTTTTCGGTTATCAAATCTACTCATCTTTTGGTGAAAGTCGCTTTGCTAGTCATTATTCTCATCTCCTCTCCATCGTAGAATCCAATAACGATATTTAATGCCTACCCGTGTTGAAAAGGAAGGTGATCTTTGCGAAGATGAGGATGGAGACTTTATTGTAGTCACGACGAAGGGTTGTTCTCTCCTGGGACCTTGTTGCCTGAGTTGTGGAGCGGATTCCAACCACAAATTCCGTCGAACTGTATGGTTAACAATTAAACAGGCAGCCAAGGCGTCGCTCATCTTGATCCCGCTGCTTGGAATTAACTACTTCCTGACTCCGTTCAAACCGTGAGTTAATAATCATGACGAGTTAATAAATTGATGGAGCAAAATTATGATTAATTGTACCCAAATAGAGATCCAGAGTCGGATTGGGCCATTTACTACGAGTACATTGCTGCAATCTCATCATCTCTGCAGGTTGGCTAATTGTTTCGATTGTGTAACGTATCCAATTTCACAATACAAGTTTACCCATCGAGAAAACTTGCTAATTTAATTGTGTGCCATTCCCTAACTCAACGCCAGTCCCAGTATTGTAATAATTTGGTGTGTGGAACAATTTCCCCGCGATTATCCGATTATGACTGCATTTGTTGTTGACAAATTACCAAAATTTGATGCTTTCCCTGCCACAGACCTTGAACATTAATAGCAGACATTATTTTCTCTCTGATGGAATTCCATCCCTTTAATACAAATCTGTCCTTATTATCTGCAGGGGTTAGCAGTATCGCTGCTATTTTGTTTCTGCAACAGTGAAGTAATTGCAGCCTTGAGGAGGAAATTTGCTCGCCCAGACAAAGTCAGTCGGGCCGGTGATTACTCGTACGCCAGGACCACAGCGGTATGCATTTAATTCTAAATTACTATTCTATGTAAGCAGACTTTTCCGTGTGGTTTGCAATTTTCCATCCTCGCAAAACTTGTATATGGAGCTGAAAGCTTTGCTACTTGCGTCACGCAATTTGCTCGTCTTGGTCAGCATAAAATAAACTGCAGTGAGTGAAAGTATGGATCACAAGGAGAGTCCGACTGTTTACTTTGCTAATTGCGGAGACGAAGCAGGAAGTCGGCCCTATTCTGAGATGAAAGACACGCTGCTGCTCCATCTCCCCGAAGAATTCTCAGAGAAAGAGTCTCTATGATTGCGAAACACTTGCGAGTGTCAATAACAGTTTCATTTGGTGACAAAGTGTCACGCGTGGGATAGAAATTGGTCAGTAATTGGCAATTTCGAGTCATTTCCTCACCCACGTTACGCAGTTGAAGTCCATATGTCACCCTGGAAAAGGTTACAACCGGCCCACTTTCTCTTTATGCAATGTAATCTCTCTGCTCAGAAAATACAAAGGATGATGAAAGTCTCAAAGAGCTAAAAAGTGAAGATAACACATCATGACAAATGACCACTTTCCATTTACACCGAGATTACACAACCACAAAGGGGCGAGTTGAGTTGTAAATGAACATGCAACACACAAAGTGAGGGAACAAATGAAGGAGACTCTTTACATAATTTTGAAAGGAGAAAGTCATGCTGCTGCTTTTCATTCTTGTAAGTGCGATGCTTGCATCAAGATAAAACAAAACTTGGGTCTGACTCCGGCTCCTTTTCCGTCACGGAAAACTTAATTTATTTCTGATATGCTAATCACGAGAGAGGAATTAATTCGTTATACCCACTGGCGATTTGAAGCGGCTACATTTCTGTAACTATGTAGTTTTGTAAATGAGAGTAAAATGTAGCGTAGAAATAATAAAAACAAGAGGCCGAATTCCATCCCTAAATGCATTAATCCTTTAAAAAATTAACATTAGTGAAATAATTACCCGTCATTTGAGACATCATGTCTGCAGTTAAACCCAGCTCATGTATCACATCATCACATACATTCGCTCACTTAATCCCCTCTCATCTTTATAAAATTGTGTTTCATTTCATGCAAAGATAAACATTTCAGGAAACTTGTTCTTTCGTAAAGCTCAAAATCTCATCTTACTTTCCCCCTTAATTGGCTTGCTTCGTTTTACAACTGCTTTTAAGCTTCCGTTTTGTCTCGTCGGCCGTATTATTATCTTTCTCAAAGATACTCTTCATCATTTCCTGCTTGTGATTAATTGATCACAAAAAACGATGTGACTACCGATCTTGTTTCCACACAAAAAAATTATATGAAGTTAATTCTTGCCTTGTACTTATTTTTGTCCATGTTCTGTTTGCCGTCATCGTCGCGGATGATTCCTGTCTGTGCTGTGCTGCTGATCATTCATGCCTCGTGACTCGATCACTCAAAAATTTGCCATGGCTTAAAACTAAAGAAAAAGGATTGTCATTCCAATGCAGACAATGGTGGTCATTAGGCATCCGAACGAGACGGTTAATGACGTCGCCACGTCGTCGTCCATCAAAAACAAACACACTCATTGGGAGTCTGGAGAAGAAGCAGAGGTTCAGGTTTAGTCCGAGGACAAATTGCTTTGATACTCAAGAATTCGGAGCTTCAATTTGGTAAAACCGGGACAATTTACAATCTTAGTCTGATACATCATCTCATAACAAACACAAACAATGTATGTCATATCTCAAATAGCTTGTAAGAAGAAAAAATCACAAAATGTACGAATTGTTGTAGTAAAAAGTGTGTGTAGATAAATAATTGTGCGCATGCAGTCAACAATATTTTACTATTGCACGTTACATATAAATGCACATTAAAAAGTATTAAGTAAATACATAATCTCAATTTGGAACCATTTTCTGTTTATAATTTTCTATTTTTATTCTTTTTGTTAATGAATACAATTTCTAACTTTATTAACATTGAGTAGAAGATAACCTTGGTGTCGTGATGATGAAAGTGTTAATTGACGTGAACAGTAATTGAATAAAGAAACTCGTTGTTAAACTGTGTACATTTTTAATTTAATTAAAATAACGAGACGTTAAATTCCTGTCAGCGAAGTTTGTATACTAAAATTTATTTAAAATTAGCCATTCAACATCATTAAAAGAGACGACCACATTAAAATGTGTTTTTCTCATGGAATAAAATTTGGACTTGGGCCATGTCGTGTCAATTCTCAGTATTCGTGGGTTATACTGGTTTGACACTCAATAACAATTTACGCAACCAATTCCAGTCACATTTGATTAAAGCAAATATACAGTCAAATTTTCTCATGAATGACATATAATTCATAAGAGTTTGGAATGTTGGTTTTAATACGTAACGAAATATATAAGACGAACTAAATACACATATCAAGATGCAATCTGAAACTTGAGTGAATATTTAAACCTAAATAATGTCATTTGGAACGACACACTTGGTCCCATTAATTTATTCCCCATGGACTAGATTAGAATTACAGGGCAGCAGACACCCATTCATAATGGGCAGAGATATAGATGTACATATATTCGTTTATAAAGTGTACGTACATGAGACGACAGCTTCATATTAATTAGAGATTCTTTAACCAAACCCCAAAATTATTATGTGCAGCATTACACAGTCTGCTGGTGGAGAACAAGGTCTATCTAATAATCTAGATATGTATGTATATATGCAAATAATCCTAAGCAGAATCTGGATTTTATGTACGAATCCACCATCCATCCACCTTGTGTAACAGTGTATGTTTGAACTGAATAGATTTCAAAGTGGGCGTCACCCTCGTTCTTGATTTCAAATTTCCACTCGACCGAGTATTTCAGCCATTTCCTTATTTCCTCCATTGGCGACAAGTGTCAGGTGAGCATGATAAATGTGACATTACGCAGAAATCTACAGCACGTCGCATCGTATGCTTTAACACCCAAGCCAACCAAATTGTGTTCCGCTCCGATAATCTCTCTCTTCGATGTGATTGAGAGATTTTAACAGTCGTCTCCTCGGTACGGATCGCGTATATGGATACATTTCAATGGGAGAGTGCTTGCTGTTTGGAATTTGATTTATGAGAATGGATATGCCCTCAGGATTTTACCCGGTTTAATTTTGTATAAGGAAAAGTGGATCACACACGGAAATAAGTGGCCCAGGATACACACGAAATGACACAATGTCTACCAAATTGCGTTTTTCAGGACATGTAACACAACCAACCAACCCACTCAGACCGACGATACGACACGGCGTCGTCATTGCAAAACTTTGTTTGACTTTCCTCCTGGAAAAGTTGTCCAACGCAGGTTTGCGGTTGAGATGATGGCATGCATGTCACCCGTGTCATCCAATTTCAGCCCGCAACATCTGTGACACCTTGTAAAAACAACCACCCTGGCGAATTTGGCAATTTAATATGTCCAGGAAAACAACTATTGCACACACGCTACAGGATTTTTAACTATAAAACTTTCCCCTGAAGAATTCCCGATTGACAGTGCCAAAAAAGGAAGGAGGGAAAATACTTTCTCAAATGGACACTCCCAAGACGAGATTGACACACACGTCAAGCCGACATTGTTTCGTCGTGGCTAATAATAATCAGTACGAAGTAGGTGATAAGAACCACGTGGTGGTGGTACCGACGGACTGAGTTACGTGAAATGGTACTAATGCAAAAGAAACTACGTGATAAAATTATATTAAACGTAACTGATTGCCAACAAAGATAACAATTGGGATGCTTGGGGCAAGCTGTTCTGGGTTAAATGTGACATGTTCATCCACAATAAAGACAGAAAAGTTTGTGATCAGAGGACACAAACTTTTTATTATTACGCTGACCACAGGCCATGAACAATCGTGCGGCGGTGGAATGGAATGCTGAAGGTCAAGATCGATTTTCACCGCAGAGCAATAAAGACGGCATTTATGATTACAAAGTTGGCCGAGAATCCTCTTCTGACCTTTGTTATTATCTTTTGTAGTGTTTGGTGATCATTACATGAATACGTGTGTTGTAAATGCTGCTCTTGTCATAGTCGAGAATGGGATCTAGATTCATGCGTTACTAAAGGTTAAATTTGCCCTTATTTATATGTTTCTGTACACGATTGGTCCGCGTATTTGTCAGTTTCTAAGTAGATATACCTATGTTTTACCATGTATTATGCATAGCATCTAAAAATAAGCAGGTTTACCTTGGTGAACAACTCTGGATATAAACTGACTGAGCCATGTAGGTAATGCAAACCCCTATCTTTCCGTCCTTTCCCAGGAACGTGGAAATTCTCATTTTCTCCAGAGAGAAAGACAATCTAAGAATCCACAAAGGGAGAAGAAAGTCGTCGGAATTCTCAGTTTCACATAAAATGTGACTACAGATTCCTGTCAACCGTGGAAACAGATCCACCACGGCACCGCGTTTAGCTGAATACTTTCAATTTATATGTACATACATATAAATGTATCGATATGATTATTCTTCGTTGTCAGTTTTAGATTTGTTCCTTCTCACGTGTACGATTTGCAGTGTAAACAGAATAATGTACTCATCTCAATCCAATGATCCTTTTAAGTGAGGGGGAGTTTAATAGCGGTGAATCTGGGGAATTAAATCGGGCCAATCAACTCTATTTCCAAGTATCTTGTTTTCTCATGCAATACAATTTCTGTGTCATTCCCTCAATTTTTTTCATTACGCTGAGTATAAATCTCTTGGGCCACCCTAATGCGAATCGTAGATTAAAGAAAAAAACAGATGCCCGACTTCGGTCTGTGCCATAAAGACGTACGTACATACATAATGCATTTAAGCTTAGGATCCACTAAAGCCATACTATTTCAACCCACATGGGCCACCATGTGCTATCGATATGTCAAAGCTGAGACATCATAACTAGGTTACGTTACTTTCATCTCTACTTATTTGACAACGTATCAAAACTTTCAGTCCAGCTATTTTGGTTTGGTCAAAAAAACTTCACATTCTTTTGACAAGGGTCATATTGACGCATCAACTTTAGCGTGAAACAGCAAGACAAATACAAAGAAGGTGGAAATAAATGAGCCCCTGTATCACTTCACAGGTTGACATGCAATCTGTTTTCTTTGGCGTCCAAATAAAGATGTGATACGACATGGCGCGGATGACATTATCGATGGAACATATTGCGTTGAATGAGATGAAGAAGAGTGAGTGAGGCGATGTGAACATTTCCAATTTTTTTTGCACAATCTTAGGTTTTCTCATATCAAACTTTTCAAGAAACAGAAGACTTATTCAAACTTGTAAATGAAAAAAGCCTTGTTCTCCTCTCCCATTTTATTTGGGAAATTCATACTTACATACATGTTTCAAATTTACATCTCATCCAAGCGAATCCACAGTTCGGGGCATAATTTCCTCATTTCTGGTACAGAAAATTGTGAAAATACTTAACTTACAAGAAGATTTCAAGGAAACATGACTTTCATCAAGCGAACAATTTTTAAGAAAGAATACTCCAAAGTCCAAGGTTTTCCAAACTTGCGATCCGATTCATGCTCAAGACCAAGGCTGACTCATCAAAGTCATAAAAATGCTTCGATGTACTGCATCTGGTTGATAAGACGATGTTTTTTTTTAAATCTAATCCACGTGGCAATGGCTAAGATATGCACACCACTTAAGAGCATTCATACTGAAAATTTGTGGTAACTTTAAGAACCTCAAGAAGTCACAATTGTACGAAGGGGTTTGAACTAGGTTTGGCCGTGTCAGCAATAAGGAGCCATCAACTGCAGGCTATAAGATGACAATAATTTCACCAAATACAAAAGAGTCAAGGTTGTTCTTTTTCTCTCCGCCACATTATCAGAGAAAGGCATCTGGCCAAAGTGAGGACGTAAAGTGATGTCTGACTTTCTTTTCACAGAAACCTTATCAAACTTGAAGTGGTTCATCCATCACTTGCAAAGCCTGCGTGATATTATGGGACCAGATATTTATAAAAGTTGGGGCGAGTAAAATTTATTTGTATTTCGCTTGGAAAATATTATCTAGAGAAAAGTTGGCCTTTGCTAAAAGTGTTATTCTGTTGAAACAAAAGCAGACAATTTATTTTCTATTCTCTGCTAATTCTTTTCATTAAATCTTCTATTCATCAAAAGTGTTTAATAAAAAACAAGTTTACTATGAAATCATGGAACTGAATGAGCAATTCAAAGTGATGACAGTTACGTAAAATCTTAAAGTAGTACAAACTCTGCAAAACTTGTCCTCGTTTTGGAACTGTTAAGTTCAGTAACTTTTACTTTTTTTGTCTCATTACAAAGTGGGAGTTTTTCTCGTTTCGGGAAGCGAGTATATCATTTTCATCCAAATGTAATGATATTGTCTATTCTTATCTCTAAACTTCCCCTCGACCCAGTCAAGGGGAAGAAGGCAAGATCCGAATAAACCTAATTTTGTAAAGATAATTTTTCTGAATATGCTCGTATTGGTTTGCAATTTTTTGTCCATGAAACTTATAAGGGGAGCAGGCTCTGTTAGTTCGATTTGGATCCTGTAAATATGATTTATTTTCATTATGCCAAAGTTTGCAGACAGGTTTGTGTCTACATTTATATAAAACTTACTGAAACGTGAGATTAACTCGATTAATTGTTGAACTGTTGGATGGATAAGATTCAAGCTTCAAAGTACGACGTAGAATCGGACAATTAGTCAACTTGTTAACACACTGAATAATTTACGTTAATCATGAAATTAAAAAAAATCGTTCAAAGGAAAGCTGGGTCTATGTACATAAGTAAATTAGTGTAACAGGTGGCATCCTCATATAAATATATCCCTATAAGTCATACCTAGGACTTCGGAAAGTATTTATATACCATTTTCATGCATTTCATATACGTACATATTTCAGAGACAACTGACTTTCTCTGCATTAAGTCGAGCTGTAATAATGCGAAATGGTGTCAACTGGACAACGTGTGCAAGTACTTACATATATTCAACGTACTACCAGCACTTTACGGATAAAGTGAGATGGCGATAAATTATTTGGAATCAGGGTCACAGCATA